TTTCGTTAAAGGATTTCAATGGACCCCTATTGGTTACTGTGACATCGTGAAAACGCCATAAAATTTGCTTGCCATACTGCTCGACCTAATGCAGGAACGAACAAATGATGGTGTGAATTAGGTAGCAAAGATTCAGACACTGAGGTTTAGGATTAGGTTGAACTTACCACAATCTTTTTCATCAGAGCCATCAGAGCAGTCCTTTTCTCTATCACATCTCCACAAACTTCTAATACATTCTCCAGTGTTGCATTGAAATTCGTCGTTTCCACATTCCGCAGATGATGTCTGACGAACTTCTGAAATTGTTGAAGTAGAGTTTACGAGAATTTTGATTACCAAATTTTTCCTGCTCACCTTCTGATTTTAGCAACAGACTTTAAAGGAAGTGGCTCTTTAGATAGCAAGAAGCTTAAAGGACGTGGTTCTTTAGATAGCAAGGAGCTTAAAGGGAAGAGTTTCTTTAGATAGCAAGGAGCTTAAAGGGAAGAGGTTCTTTAGATAGCAAGGAGCTTAAAGGGAAAAGGTTCTTTAGATACAAGGAGCTTAAAGGGAAGAGGTTCTTTAGATAGCAAGGAGCTTAAAAGGAAGAGGTTCTTTAGATAGCAAGGAGCTTAAAGGGAAGAGGTTCTTTAGATAGCAAGGAGCTTAAAGGGAAGAGGTTCTTTAGATAGCAAGGAGCTTAAAGGGAAGAGGTTCTTTAGATAGCAAGGAGCTTAAAGGGAAGAGGTTCTTTAGATAGCAAGGAGCTTAAAGGGAAGAGGTTCTTTAGATAGCAAGGAGCTTAAAGGGAAGAGGTTCTTTAGATAGCAAGGAGCTTAAAGGGAAGAGGTTCTTTAGATAGCAAGGAGCTTAAAAGGAAGAGGTTCTTTAGATAGCGAGGAGTTTAAAGGGAAGAGGTTCTTTAGATAGCAAGGAGCTTAAAAGGAAAAGGTTCTATGCCATGATCTAATGTTCCTGCGCTTCCCGTCTTTCTTTAAAGACTTTCAGGTTTCTTGCTTGAGACTTACACACCCCTCCCTCTCCCATTACAATCATGGTTTTCTGTCATTGGCTATCAACCTACATCATATAGGATGAATCATAATCTCAGCTCAAAATCAAATAGCCATCTTATCGCTTCTTTGTTGTAATTAACAGTTTTATTAATCTTCAAACATGGGCTGATTGGTTCCCCTGTTACTTGAACAGTAAAGTAGTTCTTGTACAACTTAGGTAAGATTTTTTTACCTGAACACAAGGGTACAAAATGTCTTTTGAGGGTGGTGCACTCTTTTAAGCAATACATTTGCCTGGAAAGTATCATTTTACAATATTTACCAATTGATTTGCTATACTTGGAAGCATTCCATTATTGTGCATCAATGCCATTTGATGGGAAGGGTAAAGCAAATAGAAAGGATTTCTACCAGCAGCCCAACATATTTAATGATTGGAAGGGTGAAAAAAAGGATTGGGTTTTGATGCCAAACTTTGTGAAAGTGAAAAATTCAATCACAGAAGCCAATTGATTTCCTCGTTCAAGCAAAAAATTTTAAATTTTTAACAAAGTTAAAATTCTTTATCAAGCTTTTCAAAAATAAAATGTTTCTATGACGTCATCAAAATAGCAAATAGACGTACCTCGACGAAGAATCGCAATATCAACAAGAATTCGTTAAAGTTTATACCAGGAGCAAATAATCCTGATATTTAGGAAAAAACACAATGCCAAAACAAACAGTAGTCAAACAAAACAGCCTGAATTTAACCAATGAGAGCGTTTGTCGCCACAATAACCCATACTTTCTTATAACCCATATCTTTTAAGGTTACGGTAAACGTTTTCTAGATGAAAACATCCATTTTAAGATTTTTTCACATCCTAGTAGCCAAACTTTCAAGGCACACATTGATACCATGTTTAACACATTGATAACAGAAATGACCTGACCCGGATCAATAAAATCCCGTTTTCTCCGGACACGAAATTCTTCTACATACAGGTACAAAACAGCCATTGTGTACCCAAGGAACCAATCGAATGGCTTTACAATTTGCACACGGCCTGGACAGATGGCGGGTAAGGTAAGCAAAATGTGTCTCAAAAGTGTTGTGCTTGCTCTGGTCCGTCTTTTATAGCCAAACACACACTAGCTAAGGATCTGTGCTTTCTGCTGATAAAAGTCACACTTTGTTAACTCAAATCATAGTTAATAGAGGAGTTCTCCTCTATTAACTATGCTCAAATGCAAGGGTACAAAATAGTTCTTGAAAGTGGTACGCCCATTTAAGCAATAGATCTCCCTGGAAAGTATCATTTTACGATATTTGCTAATTATATTAATATGGTTGGAATCACAAAACGCTTCTGAATCGAATGATATATAGTTTAATCCGATGCCGTCAACAGTTTGGCTTTTAGAGAGAGAAGATAAATTATTGTGTCAGAAACGTTTACCGTGTACCTAAAAGGATGGATTGTCTTTGTAACAAGCCATGCCAAGACGTTGACTCTACGTCTCCACACTTTCTTGATCACACAAGCGATAGATAGAATCTGGGGCAGTAATCACAGAAGAACGATGAAGCATCTGGGTTACGAAGGAAGTGTCTCTATGCCTTTTTATACACGTAGTTTCCGTTCTTCTCAGTGTAAACAAAGTCTTCGAAACGAGATCATATCGGGGGACTGCCCGTTGAGTTATGTTTACTCCCTTGTTTCCGTTGAGCCCAGTGAGGTTCATTCACATCATTGCTTTGCCCTCGCTCAGTACACATAGATTTATACGGGCCGAACATTTTTATTTATGTACGTAGCCCATGTGTCGATTTCATATCCCAGTGACGTCGGAACAAAATTCATATTGGAGGGGGGGGGGGGAGCGCTGCCCATTGTATTATTTCTTACTCAGTACACTGTTATCAAAGAAATATATCACAGTTTGACAATTATTGGGGGCTCCAGCCCTAGCGCCCCGGTTCCAACGGGCCTGTACCCTAGAACGGCGGAGCCGTGGGGGCTGGGTGGGTTGTAACCCCCACTGTTTTTTGCTGAAGTATCAAAGAACTACGCGTGTTGTGGCATCAAAGATCTACGCACAAGAGTTTGCCAACTCATCTAGCCTCTCATTCCAAAATATGCTCCGGCGTCCCTGAGACTTTAATATTATTCGGGCTATAATCTCGATTCGAAAACTAAACTCTTTTTTATAAGAATCAGTAAATTGAAGTTCAGGCCGGCTGCTCTTAATTTTTCCGAAAATTTGAGGTTGGATTGTTCTTAATTTGTTCTTTAATTATGAGTGTAAGCAGCGTAAATTAGGGTGAATTATTGTGCTCAAGGGGAGTCTTCAGGCCCTATTTGCAAAAAACTTTGCCAACTTATTTTCTTTGTTGGGTTCGATTTCTTGACAGGGCGTGCCAACATTGAAGAACGTCAACAAACGTTTTTCAAAATTACACTTTACCTTTACAGTACCTCCGTGGTCAGCCTCAGCTTTTAAAATTTTTGTTATAGAAACCGAATGTAATTGATGAATGATCAGGGGGAAAAGTGTGGAGTCTAAAGCAACTGAAACAATAGTAAAAACGAACAGTGAAACATATGGCTACTTACTGACTACTGCTGAAACGAGCAGCAATGCAACGGATGCTGCTAGTCGCATTCTCTGGTAGCTCTTTAAACGCGTATGGAACGCTTTTCGTTGCGGATGCAAAGAAAACAATTTTAATACGAGCAAGTGATTCGCAAGAACCCACTTCCGTCCAAGCACAGACTGCTGTGGTGCAAGGCACTTCTTTTATCCGGCAGTTACAAGGGAGTCGGATTTCTCCTCTTGCTTTTGTTTAGTGTGAACAGATGTAAATCAGGTGCGTATGCTGAATAAAGCTGAAGTTGTAGTTAATTATGTCAGATTTCGATAAACTATTCTTAGTTGCAAATCGAGGTTGTTTTCCAGAGGAGGCTAGTACATGCGCTTATTCACAGTGAAATGGCAAATAATGTATTAAATGGCAAGTATAAATGTGATACACAATAAAACTGAGTATCAGCGAAAAATAGAGTCTCTCAATATTCATAAAATAATTAAAACTGCGAGTTTTCTGATTAAAATCAAGTTTTCAATTTTCTATTGTTCTTGGTCGATAGCCAAAACAATTACAACCTAACATCAATGTCAAAAAGATATAATATTGTATTAGAATATTACAGAATAGTAATTCGATAGTTTCCAAAAACCCAAAGTTCTTTATTAGCTTAGGCCAAGGCCGTAGGTAGGAAAGTTCATAGGGGGGGGGGGGCAGAAATGTAGATTTTCCGACAAAAATCTAACAAGAGTTAACATTTGTTCATTACTCGCATTGTAACATCAGGCCAACGACAATTAACGCTTGTCACACATACAATGACTGCAATTCATATCATTCATGTGATGATCACTTCGTTTCGTTCCGTGCGATGGCTCGATGCTCGTTGACTTAAGGATGAACGGTTGCCTCACTCATTAAAAGTCTTTGTCTTTGTTCAGGAGACAAAACCTTTAATCAATGTTGCAGAGTCACGGCACATACGCAGTAATAAAAGTATTGCACAGCGGTTGTCTGTGACCACACTACTCTTGAACTGCCTGCCAGGGCTTCAAGTGATAATACGCATGCGCAATGAACCTGAATAGATGAGTAGGTAACAGCGTCGAGAATCCCTTAAGAGCACCAGGCCGTACAAAGGTAATGCCTGCCAAATGTACTTGGAACACCCAGCAATTTTCATTGCATTTTATATCTTTCATTCCTTTTCCGAAAAAAAATTACTACTTCAACCCCCTTCTCCCTAAAGCAATGTTGATAACTTATAGAAATATCGTAAAAGGAGCGCAAAAGAAAGTGCTTCCTAATATTTTAGCCCGTTTCATAGTAAACCAACATTGTTCTGTAGGGGAGATGGGGATGATTGATTTTGACCTTGGAAACTGACGTCAGTGTCCCAAGACTTTTGGCAGGCATTGTATATATAGGCTAGACGAGATCGGATGGGGTGCTAAACTGCCTCATTTGAAAATTGGTGGAATATAAAATTTATGTTCAACGTGTAGAATAGATTGTTAATTTTTCTGAACATGTGAAATTTTTTTCGCCCCGGTTCGTTGTTCGGAAATTATTCAGCATTAAAAACGATTGCCCCATTTCTCTATTCTGTGTCCTAACTTCAAACCAACTTCGTTGCCTTGCGAGTGTGAACTCTAATGACGTCATGCCTATAATCTGTGACAAATCTTTAATCGTTAGTGATTAACATTAAAATGCAGCGATTTCTTACCACACCAGCCGCTTACTGTGTTTTGTGTACACAAGAATTCTGCTGTTTGCCTTAGTATTTCATTTACCCAAAGGTATTTCTTGAGTGTATTTCAAAATTGTAACATCAGGTGGCCTAATGGAGCTTTACAGTGTTTACTCAGACACTCAAAGCTCCCTTAATTATCTATCAATTGGTTGACAATGAAAAGTTCACATTTATCATTTCCAGGAAGTTTCCTATTTCTTTTGAAAAAGCTTGCTTAGAAATTTGGACGTTTTACCAGATATCTTGAAAAAATGCCAAAAAATACCTCTAAACGAGCAAAATTGGTTGAATCTGTTGCATATTGACTGAGATATGGCTAACTTCTGTGCTTCTGTGCACATGGCCCGTTATAGATACCGTGGGGCAACTCACTCCATAAAATCTTGCACACCTTTGGTGGAAATCCTATTTGTTTTATCTGGAAATCCCCAAAAGTCCTTTTGTTTTAGAGAAAATCTCGTACGCTATTTGAAAGAGTGAATTGCCCCACGAAAGACAATAGTTTTGCTCATATATTTATGTTGATTCTGCCTGGTTAATAACTTTTAAAACCAAGACCAAATTACAGTGAATTGATAGGGAAAGAACTAATGCTGATGTGTCAATGTCTTAATGCATTTAGCTGATTTGGTCGCCAGTTGTGAATTTAAAAAAGAAGGCCAGACGGGTGACGGCCAAATCGAAGTTTCCCCATAAACAAACGTTGAATATTTTTCTACGCATGCACCATTTAAATAATTTTCAAAACTCAAAAAGAAACTGAAAAACTTTCTTCTTAAAAAAAACGTCTTTGCTAAACATTAGGTTAAGTGATGTTATTTGACATTAAGGTAGTATTGATCTTTCAGCTAAAAATTTGCTCACAACTGAGGATGTTAAGCAGGGGCGGACTGGCTGGTCGGGCTATTCGGGCGATCGCCCGAAGGGCCGGTCGGTTTGAGGGCCGGCTGATAAAAGTGCCAAAAAAACTAGCTTAAAAAGTGAATGCGAGGCAAAAAAGTATACCCACGCGTTGATCTGCTTGCCTTGAATTTTCAGAGACTTTGTGGGAATGAATAAATATACACGCAAGTACTCGAGAACCATTAAAATTACGAATTCATTATTGTCACCGCAGCACAGACACACTTCAGGAAACATGTTATTGTTATATTTTCTCTTGACGGTATTTCCTTTTTGGCGACATACTATACTGTAGCACCCCTGTTTCAATGCGATACATAAGATTTTAACCTGCCCTGGTGACCTTTTACTTAGCTTTTGCTTCAAGCTGGTCATGTTTTTGCCTAAGCACAAGCTATTGCTTAAGGAGGCTGTTGATAGTACACTTACAGAAACAGTAAAATGACTATAAAATGAAATCCATGCAATGTAGCTCCTTAAAATTTAGCACACATTTGATTCTCCTTGTTTGAAATATTTTGAGCAAAAATTTTGAGCAAAAATTTGAATGGTTTCCATGGAAACATAAGAAAAAGAGTATCAAATTGCAATGATTTAGTGCAGATATCTAAGCTGAATAAAACAATATAAATGTGAAATTTTGCACAAACATCAATTATACCATTAGGAATGCAATAAGTAGAAGAAATTTAGATTTTTCAATTTTGGGGGCAAAATACTCCGAAAAAGACTGTTTTCATGGCAACTACCACCAACTGTGACAGATTTCAAAATCCTCTACTTATTGCATAGTTTAATCTTTACTACATATATTCCAAAAGTTTCAGCTGGTTTCACAAAACAGCTTGAAAAATACAAATGTTTTTGTAACAGAAGTGCTGAAATTTCATGTTTTGAGAAAAACGCCATTAAAAATAAAGTTGTAAATCTTGGCAAAGTTTGGCCTTTGCAAGTAAAATTGGTTACTTGGCTTAATTTTTCATTACAGGTGCTTGAAGCTTACTCCTTACTGCAAAAACATCTTCAATTAATCTACAAATCAAGCATACTTTCTTGCTTCAGTTTATCTTTTCTTCTTTCTCTCTACGGTAACAAAAATGTCTTTTTCATCACAAAATGTTATATTAGGGACTTCTGATTGCTTTGTCACTGAATAAGGTCTTTTCCTGCTCTGCTTCTTTTTGGTACATTTCTCAACCTCTGGTTCAACTTCTAAACCAAAAGCACCTGGTTTATAGAAGGTTTCACTTGGCTTTCCTTGAATCTTTTTTTTTCATTCGTAATTCTTTTCTGCGTGCTTTGAATTCTGCGCTAGACTTCCTTTTCATATTCTCTATTCTTCTTTTGTTCTCCTTTCGAAAAAATTTAAGGGTTTGAGAACCTAAGTCTGTTACCCCCAGACTCTGCATCAGCAGTGCTTTGAATGCAGTACCTGTATTAAAAACAGATACAGCTTCACATACAGCAATTGTCACTCTTTTTATACCACATTACTTTGTCTTAGGGCATCGATTTGTCCAAAGTTGACCATTCAGGTTTTGTGTCGACTCTCATTTCGGTTTTGTGTAAGGCCCCTTAAACATCTCTTTAATAGTTCATCCTGGGATAATCTATCAAAAATTGGTTTCAACTCTTCATGAAAAACGGCAGGAAGTCGATTCTCTTGATTGTTTTCGCCATCACCAAAAATCTTCTCTCTCCAATACTTGCACCATGTTGCTTCATCCTGTGGGCAGTACTGGTGCTGCTGCGCAAGAGAAAGTTTTTCTGACTTTACCATGTGGTGCTGAATTGCCATTATGCTGTTCTTCATACCATCCTTGTTCCCTGCATTTCTTCTGATAGCCAAACCATAATAGTTTTGAATGCTATCAATTGCAGCTTTTGTCAATCTACCTTTACCCCCGACAGGTTTTCCATCTGGAAGCATTTCTTTCTTCATCCTTCTTTTATATTCCCTGAGTGATGTACCAATTCGCTTTTGGACATGGCCAACACATTCTTCCTTTAAAACTGAGTAATCATCCCCATATTTGACTTGCAATGCCTCCTTTACTTTTCCAAAAGTACTACTGTCCCCATCTCCAATAAACTCTGTATATTTCGAAAACCTTTTTTCAATACTTCTTGTGAATATTTCAATAGCACCATCCACTTCCATGTTTCCTGAAGATCCCTCATGATTAATGTGACAATGTCCTACATGCTTTTGATGCCAATTTTTGTACTTAGCTGTGTCTTTACCATCTTTTTCATGACTTTTACACTCGTGGCAAAATAAGGATTTGATGACATAATCCAGCACTTGACCAGTCCTGACAGATATCACAAAAACTACTCCAACTCTTGATGAGTGGCCTCTCTTCTGCCAAGTTCCATCAACTGTCACTGCAACTTTTGCAATCTTTTTACCATCTTGCATCACTTCAATTTTAGTTGGCTCTTCCTCTTCAACTATCTTGAAATGCTGCTCAGCTGCCTCTGACATAACTTTCTCTGCAATTTTAACTGATTTGCAAGCAAGTTTCTTTATTTGTTGATTGTACGATCTGCTTGACAATGGTGGAGGTAAGCCCATACCTCCACAAAACTTTTCTAGCCCTGCACGGCCCCATTGGTACGATGAAATTACTGACCGTATATTTACTTCTAATGTACTCCTTCCTTTAGTACTAACGTGTTTGCTTGTGGGCTTTCAGCAAGGCCTTCTCTCTTCGTTGCATCCACAACAATTTCAATCTTTGTTCCCTTGTTTTGCTAATTTCAAGCTATTGCTTAATGTAATAAACTTAAAAGTCCAAAAATTAGAAATCTCTAAGCGATTTGCTCTGTATTTGAAGCAATGAAAAAGACATACGTAGAACGGGGGAAGAGCAAGAAGACTTCAATCAAAGGTGGAGCACAGAAATTTCGTGAGGAAAAGCTGCGAGACTTAAAAAGGATTCAGCTACGATACAAAGCTTTTTTATCAAGGAAAAGCCACAAACATAACAAAAAACAGCATGGTCTTGCTCTTGCTTCTTTCAATAACTCATACAAGTTATGGAAAGTTTATTAGGCCTACACTATCATAAGTCAAATGCACCCCCTGCCCAACAGGGGCATGGTGCTACACGATAAAATTTCAACAGGGGTGCCCTTGTTTTCTTTTTGGGGTCAGAAATTGACAAATTGATATTTTTGGGTTGCTGAAATTACATTGTGGTTTTTCGGAGGATTAGAAAATTATTTGTCACATATGGAGTGTGATAGAAGCCTTCCACTTTAAATATATAAAGAACAGGTTACGTAGTAATTTTTCGCAGCCAAACCTGGAGTCCTTTATGTTAATGTTCTTAGAAAAACACCTGTTAGATGACATCCAGAACGATCACATTATCAACATATAATTTACTGTATTAAGAAACAGAGTCAAACCAATGAGTTAAAATTTTTGTTTATTTACTGTTTAGTCAGCAAATGACATATTTAACATGTTCTGTTAACCAGCATTCATCCATGCACTAAATTACTGAATTTAAAAACTTGTTTTCCTTACAGACTAACATTCATTTGTATTTTCCGAGGAGTTTTTTATTTGCTATTATTGTGGGCCGGTTTGATCAAAATTTGCCCGGGCCAAAATAATTAGCGAGTCCGCCCCTGATGTTAAGTGAGATTAACAATACGCAATGCCGTAATGGCAGATTTTGACAATGCAAGTAATGGGCAAATAATAAAATGCAAGTTCCCTCGCTTTGGTCAGTTCTTCTATTTATACAGGCTCACAGCCCGTACAGATACATGCACGTACAATCAAATTTTCCTATCAAAACGAGAAACAGAGGATTTTTAATTCCGGATAAAAACTCTCCCGGTTACAAGGCAAAGAGTTTAGGAAACAAGAGGGTAAAAACACGATACAAACATTCATTAGACACTAAACAAATCTTTCTAAACAAATCTTTATACGTTTTATAATTTCTATGCAAGGATACGAAAGGTATTAAATTTCAAAATTCATTTTACGTTATTTTCTCCTCTTGGTGATACTATTTTACAGACAGGTTCCTCGATTAACCTCATCATGCTGGATCTCATTAATTACAATAGGTTATTCTAAATTTCACTTTCGAGCCAGATGGGATCATGATTCAATCACGGTTGATCAAAACTTGCTGATCAAATGCTAATCAATCAATCAAATTCAAACACCTCATTCATCGTCACTAAATGATGATGCGGAAGAACCCTCATCTATTGATCGATCATCATCATCATCCTCTGCGTTGGCACCTCCGCCTGGCATTGGTGCGTCCGGGTTTCTGCGGAGGCAAACACAATACAAAGCAAGTGCAAACACTACCAATGGAAATGAATTTGGAGTTACACTGGACTCATTTTTTTATAAGAAACTGGCTATAAGAAACGAGTCCTGGACAGTCAGAAAAAATTAAGAAACTTCATTACTCGAAGCAAACAAATTAAGAAACTGTTAAATCGTGATAAAACTGAGAACAACGAAATTTTATAAAATCCAAGAACATGATTGCCCTGTTGGCCCAGAACTTAAGACACAAGGGATAAAAATATACTTCCCACATCTAAATACAGCAACATTTCATAACATCATTCATGACATCATTATTAAGAAACTCTTAAGAAACAATCAGTATTGAAATTTCCAGAATATTAAGAAACTGGAGTACTCAACATCGACCTTTGTTTCTTATAAAAAATGAGTGCATTCCAAATTCATGAGAACTGAAGCGTTCAAACAGATTTGCAAATTGGTTCTTACTCTAACAAGTCTGGGTCCAGGCCTTCGGCGAGTACTTTGCCTCTTATTGCAGCAACCGGAACCCCCTGAAAATACATAAAAGTAGTAATGAATGTCGACAACCAAACAGAAAAAAGTTTATATCTAGCAGTGTTTACCTACTCCGATTTTTACATATATTTAAACAGGAAATCGATATATAAAGCGTTATATAAACGGCTTATCTGAGAAAATCGTTTAAAGAGAGAGCATTCAATCATAACGCGATCATATATTAAATGTTTACTTTACTATAAATTAAATGTTTACTATATAAAATGTTTACTATATAAAATGTTTACTATATCCTGGTACAAAAAGAATTAAAATATCCAAGGACTCCTCCAAACACTTCCATCTCAAACTCTCAGCTGGTATCATTCAATGAAACGATAAACCCCACCCTCTCCCGTGAAAGCTTAGATAAAAACAAATCTATATGATATATAGAGAGAACTCTTTTTATAATTGATTTCAACTGACATAACTTTAAGAAAGCTTGTTTACATGCTTCTTTGTTATCTATCATCACAAATTCATATACTTACAACTTTAAGCATTTTAAAATATTTTCCATATCTTGGATCATCGGCTACTGTTTTTGCTAGAAATTGAATCACAAGTTCGGCGTAAAATTTCCAGAGATCCTGACAGTACCATTGACAGTCACATTCGAAATGAAAGTTTCATAAATGTAATTTACAACTATATTATAACATTAGATTGTATTCTAAATAAACAAAATATTAGCAAAGCTGATAAAAATCTAATTGCAAAAAGAAATAAGCGAATCTAATTTCATTCCAGATTCACATAACTTGGAAAGGTAAAACCTTCAGCAAAGCCAAGTTTTCAACGGTCATTAAAAAGCCTTAAAGCTGATATACAGTTAATCTATAAAGATTATTTTCAGCTAATCTGTGGTTGTTATCTGTGCCATGTAGACAGAGTTGTGCACAACCTGGTGTGTATAACAGGAGCATTCGAAGTTGTAGCTATGAGTATTCTGTTACACATGATTGTCAGTTGATTTAGTAAGTTATATAATCGATCAGATAAGTATGCTTAAAATTATATACACGAAGAGTTGAATTACTGCTCTGTCAAGGGCCCCATGTCATATAGGCAGAGCTATACATGCTTTTATGTTTAGAAAAACTCTGAATTTTATGCTTAAAGCAATCATCAGGCAACTGCATATAGAGAAATAAACAACATTTCAATTCGATATAGAGTTTATTAAAAAAAGTGGTCCAAAATATGGAATATATCTTATGGCATATCTTTTGATGCTTAGACTTTTAATATGAGGTATGAGCTAAAGTTTTTAGAAGGCAAAATAATAAAGATAGAAAACCACGAATGCATACTTGGCGTCTTTTCAGGTTCAGATTCTGTGAAATACAATGAAGAATCAAACCATTACTGAAGCATTTAAGCAGAAACGAGATCAATGCAACTGACTCATGGCTTTAAAGCTGACTAAAAGCAGGTTCATACAAGGGTGGGCCCAAAAGCAGGGGTCGAGTTTTTGAAAATAGGCTTATGCAACATCATAAGGTGGATTTTTGGCTCAAAAAGTCTAGGAAGGAGTTATGTTGGACTATCAAAATTCATCAGGGGTGGAATGTAGACCTTCAAAATTCAAAGGGGTACAGTTGTAAAATAGTTGGTAACAACCATTTCATACTGTCAACAGTTGAACCTATCAGTTAAAGCAAGAATGCTAACTTGCATTTTTGATAGAGTGAAGTTCCTCAGTATTCTGTGGTGGATTGAGTTTAGTACTTCTACAGTACATTATAATCTACTGAAAGAGACACATGCAGCAAAATCTCACCTTCTTTGGTGGTTGCTTGTTCAGTGCTTTCTGGAGGTTGTGATTGATTTAACTGCTACAGTAAAAATGTACAATTTAGCAAAAATGCACAGCACAGCACAAAACTACACATTCTACTGTATTACATTAATATATTTTTTCTGGTACATCAAAATTCTTAAGAGGGTAGGTTTGTCTCTTTTGCTGCATTGATTTATGTTCCATCTAAACTGCTCCATCCAAAGATTTGAAATAACTACAATTTTTTTGTTTCGGAAATTTTCCGAAATACATTTTGGTTTCAACTAATTTGCTATTTTCTTAATCACAACTTCCTGTTAAAATAGGCGCTTGCTCAAAGGTAGTATTACAGAATGCATATGCATTAGAATAAATATATTTCAGGCCATTAGAAGAATCATAGCAGTGCGATAGGAACACAATTAATATTGGGGGGGATCTGCACACTGTATCTCTTTCTATTCAGTAAATTGCTATATAGGGAATATAGTACAAATAGAAAATTATTGGGGGGCCTCAGCCACCGGCTCCCTTTGGCCCTGATATGTGACTTACAGGTGCTACACTTGGCACTTGTTGGTTGACTGTAGGGGGTTGACTGGGCTCTGGAGTATTAACAGTCACATCTTCCAGACCAGGGATTGAAGAAAGCTACAGTTTAAAGAAAAAGTGACAAAAAATAAAGTTAAGTTATCTTGTGCTTATACATTTGACAGGGAAATACCAGAAAAATCCAGGGACTCAACAAAAACAATGCTAAAACATTCATAAAAGAGATTCTTTTCCAATGTACCATAGTAGCAAACCACTACAGCAGGTGTGGAGTGAGACTAAAATTGCAAGACCTGTCCCCTGGCTAATAAGACATCTGCTCTCTACTCATAGGACCAGCAACAGAACATATTTTTCCAACCAAAATAAGAGGTGCTATAAACCAGGCAGTAAGTCAACAGCAAACCTATTTAGTATTACTAGGTTTAAAAAAATTTTAGGTTAATTATCCAATACAAAGCAGCAATCAAACTATTGCCATCTAAACTAGCAACACAATTTCACCTTGCTTTTTAGGCAAAAAAGGAATGATTTTTCTGCTTTTCAGGGCAGAAAACAAACTTTCAATTTGATAACCTAACAAATATTTTGTTCCTATCTCTTTTAAAGGAACTTGACAAACTTGAATCATCATAGATGTTAATTCATACAAATTTTAATGTGTGCATTAGAGAAACAAAAACCTTTCTTAAGCACAAAGTAAAAAAATGTTTTTCAATTGCATTCAAAATCAGAAAAACTCACCTTTGTTTCCAGAAGGCTAATTGTTATTTCAAGTCCCTGAATGCGCAGAGAGAGATCTGCTAGTTTCTAAAAAGTAACACAACAAACAAATGTTGGCATCTTCAAAACAATATATTACTTGCTCTAAAAGTTCAGTCTTTACAATAGAATTAGTTAGGCACTATTTCAGTTATCATTATGGTTTTAAGTGTTAACATATTTCACTCCGTTGTGATGGATCTAATTGTTCTAGATCCAGCTATGCATAATGTAAAACTCACAAAGTATGATACTTGATACAATGAGAAAACATGTACACTGAAATGATGCCTTTAGCAAAGGTTTGTAGGATTAAAACACTTTGTCAATATGTGACATAGCAGCATGTGACTGTGACGTGACATATGATAGCTGTTGTATTGGAAATTTCAGGTCAAGTTTTTTACCAAATTTACAGGAATGTCCTATGGCTGAAAATTAGATTAGAAAAGTATTAACAACACAGAGCTTTTTATATCCAGAATGTTAAAAATCATCTGTTGGTTTTTAACTCTTCTCCTTAAGAATCTTAACTTTAAAAAATTTTTCTGGCAAAAAGCCAACATTTGCTTATGAAATTCTAACTCTAAGTTGAGAAAACAATAATATTTTCAAGATCAATCTAATATAAGCAATATAATATAAAGCAATACAATAGCAATAAAGCAAAATATTAACCAGAATATACAGCAATGAACAAAAAAATACCTCTTCACAGACACAAGCAAATCTGTTAAGAAATTTGACGGTATGGCTGATAAATGGGTTAAAAAAGGCAGCAAAATCTTTGTATCTCATGGCTGGAACCTAGCAAAGAAATGACGAAGAGAAATTGAAAGGAAATCAAACTTTAAAGAATGTATTAACTGTTGCTTTATGATTAATGCGATATGAAAATAACTTCAACAAAGAAAGATTTGACTTGCTTATTAAAAAGACAATTTTTATTCTCATTTTTCTAATTTATTCTGTAGAGTTTCCTACAAAAAAAATTTAGTAGTTACAACAAGATCACTTAATTTTACAGTTATTTAACCAAGAGGGTGCCAAGGGGGAGCAATCTGCAATCAACATTTGGTGCTTTATTAACTTTCAAAACCTAGCGATTTGAAGTTTCCGCCCAAGAGTTGTCTTCACTGTGTTCACTTGATTATTCTGTTCTTAGGTGACCATGGCAAAAGGAAACAAAGTGGATCTGGCGACATTTGTTGGTTGGGGAAAGAATGAAATTATCAGAAAACTACGAATGCCATACAGTGTTGTGGGGATGCAACTTCATATTGCAATCAATGATAAGATATGAACTGACAGAGAAAAAATCAAATATCTTGAAAAAGGGTAACGGTGCTCTATCTTTGGAAGAGCAGAAAGCAAAAGCTTGATAATGGCATCGGTACATTGAAGAAACCTAAGCTAGAGAAAGAGGTGACAACTGAAGAAACTCTGAGGAAGAAGAGATGTTGACTGTACTGTTTTTAAATTACTGAAAACTGCTATCAGTGGATTTTAAGGTTATGAGCTGTAAAAACTTGCTTTTGAGTTCAAAGAAAGTGTGTTTATTTTGACCTTTGAGTCATTTCTATACCCCTTCCTTCTCATTTGATTGTTCACTGAATTCCATATTATCATGAAAGGAACACCAATCAAATGGTAAGATATTTTCAAGAATATCGGCTTTGATATCCACTACGTTACAGAAGTCATTGATGCTGCATGGTAATTTCTTGACAATGCTTGGTAATTTCTACGAGCAATTTAAATTTTTTTCAACCCAGATATCTTAAAATGGTTACAAAAAGATTCTATAATTACTTCCTAGAAAATTTATTATCAAATTAAATTTAACATCTTTAAAGAAGAACAAGAACAGTTTCTCTGCCAATTTCCTTGGTTTCTGTTCAGTTTGTAACACAAAAGGCTTCCTTGAAAGCAGCACCCTATGGCACAACTGCTGCCATCACAAGTGCAAAGAAGTTAAGCCATGCAAAATGCTGCAAGCCGCCTATTTTCATATTACAAAGACTGCTACAAGCAGCAGTTGTTTTTAACTGTCATATTTGTATTTGTTTTTCTTCCAAAATTTCATTGCCTTTGATCTCCCAACTCTTGCATCAGAGGGCAAAGTATTTTTGGTGCATAAGGAATGATTTTCTGCCACTTATGCTTGCACGGGAACAAATCATGTTGCAAAATAGCAGGTTAAAAGCTGTAGGATTTTATTTCTAAATAGTATTTGTAAGTCTTGGGGGCAAGGCTGTGTGGGGGATTCACACAAAAGTGCTGCAACTGCATAGATTAATCTTAGTTTGAAAAACACTGCACAGGGAATCGTTTCCCCACACATACCCAATACTTCCACAACAAATAGAAGAACTTGGGGATATATGATGTCGGCTTTCAAAATCATGAAAGGTATTGTCGATTTGAAGTAAAGAACTTTCTTCTAGTTGTGTACAAATCAAATTATCTTCTTTCTGCACTCAAAATGTCCTAGAGAAATAGTTTCTAAACAAGGCTCATGTACGGACATTTTCCTCCAAAATTTTAGATACAATTCAACCTTTTAGCCAAGGACTAAGGGTTAATAATTCAAATGTAATGTCATATCGTTTATATTTTTGGCTAGTGCAACGATAAATCAAGCAGCATATGCAGGGAAATTGAGGCAGAATTAAACATGCGATACCTGTGTCATATCATCGACAGCTATCTCAACGAGGGGCTCGTTTGCATCCATCTTCCTGGATTTTTAGATAATTTCTCACTGTCCCTTTCCTCGCTGGCCTTCGCCAGTTTCTCTTTCACCCTGTTTTCAAACTTGGCCTCGATTTGAATCGAGCAGAGCTCTTACGTGTGACGTCATAAAAATTCAATTTTTAAAGAATGAGCATACTGTGTGGTGTGTAGAAGGTCGTGACAATATATAAATATTTAGAATTTTTGAATGTTGACTGCAATGCATGTCCACTGATACATAACCTGAAAAGAACCACTTCTAAACATGAAAAATCAGTTAAAGAGCCTATTCACACGTGACCATATCTCAGCCAACTCAGACGATATGTTTGAAGGATTTTGCACATTTGAGAGATTTTCAAGATGTCCTTTCTTTATGGGACCAAAATGGTTTGAGAATATTTACATTGTCTCCCCTATATCTTGGTGGCTGGCACCGCAACTGACTCCTGGCCTTGAGTAATCCCTTCAAGATATAAAGGCACGTCATTTCAATCACTGGTACAGCTTATTATCAGCTATAAATATTCAGAATGGAATTTGAGAAAATTTGACAGAAAATTCATAAGAGCGAAAATCCCATCAAGGGTAATTTATGGAAATTTTAAAGCATTGATATCCTTATATACTTGCAAATTGAGTTGTTTCTAAAGAAAACTCTATCAGGAAAGATTTTCATTCTCATATAAAGGGGCAGACTTAGGGGGGCTTCGGGGTTTGAGCCCCTCCTGGGAAAATTTGGGGTGCTTAGCCGCCCCTCCCCCTTTGGAAGCAGTTAAATGGTCATTAAATTGTTTAAACTAATTTTTCATTCAATGAAAATAATCTCCAAATATTTAATCAAGATCAAGTAATAACGACAATGGAAAATAAACAAGAAAATCACCTTAAAACCCTCAGCTAAGCCTCTTTCTATCCTTTGCCGTCGACAGCCTCCATTAGCAAAGATTATAAATCCCATTGAAAATATCAAAAAACTAACCACAATTTCTTTGTTAGATACACCAAAAAACAGTTATTATTTAAAAACAGCATTTATGTTGTCCACCTTCGGCATCCCTTGAATCTTGACCTCGTTTTAATTTTCAAGAAATATCTTTTCAAACCACTCTTGTTTATCTACACCTAAGGTATCTCTTTGAAGATGATTTTTTCACCAAGTAAATGGTCAAATGCTGGCCTTGGATCATACAAGCTTACGACAGGCATGTTTTGTTTCCAGATGAGTAGCGATATTCTCTTGCTAATTGGAGGGTACTTCTTGAACGTGACTTAATGTCGTTATATGCCGAGATTAATCACTTTCTATTGACAGAATGGGGTTTGCATACCAAAACATGCGCTAAAACTTTTGTTATTTCTTGCTATTTCTTTTCTCTTCTGGTGTGGACAGAATCCAGAATACATAACGGTTTCACGGCTGTGAGCCGGAGAAAGGTTACCCAGCGATACAGCAGAGGAAGGCCACTGCAAAGTTTGCCAAGAGTATATAAAGTGAAAGAAACTTATCATTGTGCTTGAAATTTTTTTACTCCTGAAGAAAAAACGTAAAGACCAAACCATAGATGACTCAACTTGAATCTCTATGTTATATGATAATCTATTCGAATTGCTGCAGCATTTCTTCTTCCAGTAACAATTAGATTTCGTTTGCCTGTCGTTAATTCTTCCAGATATATACGTAAACAAAAATTATCAAATAAATCTCCATGTCCATGTTATCAACGAGTGGGACCATTATGGAACCATTATGGAAAGGTCAACTTGACCATTTAATGCTACCCCTGCCTCTGAAATTAGGAGTCTCTTTAACTTTTATTCTTTTTAACTTTTGTTACTTACAAATACTTGTAGTATGACGAACTATAAATTATACAGATGGATGTAATCGATAAAAATTGGTGCAGAAAATCCATAGAAAAGGCTTTTTAAGATTGCTGATTTCTCCCAAGAAGACAGCGTTCCATTGAAAAAAAACATGACCATATATTTATTAGTGAAAACGTTTTCGTGTACGAATCAGTTTGTTAATGCTGTTCTTCAAACAGTATATTTTGTTTTCAAAATTCAAGTTGGCATTCCAAAAACCTTTTCGAAAAGATAATGAAATATATCAGTTAGTATATTTGATTGACAGTATGCAAGGTGCATTAGTTTAAGGGTATTAAAAGGGCATATGTCGCATTAGCAGTTGGTTATACAACAAAAGCATCTGGAGTGGATTTCTATGGTTTCTTCTTCTTGAATTTTTACTGCCAATCAGGTTCACGACACATGCCCTTTACTACTGTGGAGCCTTTCGCTTTCAAAATATTAAATGAACCGGTCGCTCGAAAACTAGCGTCTCTGAACAACATTTTCTGAAGGATGGTTTCCAAGATAGTTTCGAGTCAGCGTCGACCCCGAAATAGGTCATGTCTTAATAAAATTTCAAAATTCCCCCTCTTTTTATAGAGCTGGATTGTGAGCGAAATCTGCTTCATTGTTCTGGTAATACAAAATTGCCGAGCCCCCTACCCTCCCTAAGAATATGCATGATTTGTCCCTGATCTTTATAACATTAAAATATTATAAGATACTAGAAGAATTCTTTAGGGGGAATAGTTTCTACTTGAAAAAATACTATGATGTCATGACATGTCACCACAAAATGACTGTACATGTGATGAATATGACAAGCACATTGAAATTCGTTGTTGTCAGAGAGAAGAAAGGGACGATGGGATGGCATGAAGACTTTCTCAGCGATTTTTAAAGCTGTGTGATTCTGTTATAAATGGCAACAAACCATGTAGACATCCAGCCTGAAAGCGAAAATCACACAGAAAAAATGGATAAAGAGTATAAAGTCAAAATTATTTGCCTGGGTGACAGTGCAGTGGGAAAATCAAAGTAAGTTTTGAGTATCTTATTAGATTCTGTCTGCCAATGGTTAACAATATTTTACGACTAGGCCTAGTGTACACATTTGCATCTCCGGAGCAAGCCGGTAACGTAGTATTTCGCTTCTTAAACTCAGTTCCTATTGTTTCTACATTTCAATGCTGCCAATTTTCTTTTCTAAATCAGAATTCCATGAAACGGAGTCTGTCGTTTTATAAGTTTGAAGAAATGCGTCCAAGAGATTCGGTAAATTAATTCCATGGAAACGTATTGCAAAATGCGGTTGCCATGTCCAGGCCAAAGTGTCCCGACTTTGCCCAGGGTACCCCTTGCATCGAAACTTTAGAAACAAGTTGGCAAATCTAGCAGATTAAATAGAAAAATAAGCCTGTTTTGATTAAGGGATGTTAGTTTTGCAATTCGATGGAGGGAATCAATAATCGTTACCGATGCTTTGTGTGAATTATGCTGCAGATCTGCACCGTGATTGTTAATGAGAATTTTTCGGTTGAAGGTATATTTTCTGTTAGCGCGTGTTATTCTATGATAAAATTTATCTATCATGGTACATGCCAGAGGCCTCAAAAGCGTATGAAACCATTTAAGATTTCAATGCTTAACCAATATTCATAGTTTCTTAAAAAATTGCCACAAATTTTACATGTTATAAAAATTATTTAATTATTTTTATTTCTTACCTTTCCTTCAGAGCATTTTAAAATTGAGATTATAAAGTTTATTTTTTCTTCAAGGCTAGTTGAAAGATTTTTGATGGATGGGTAGTATCCTTTTCAAATTTGTTGGATGATTTCAATGTTGATGCATAATTCAAAATCAATTTACTTTTATCTTAGGTCTTATACATAAGCTGAAGAACCCATATGAATTCAAAACATGGTCAGAACTAACTCAATGCTCTTATGATTTAGAATGGTTAAAAGAAAAAACAAAAAAAACCTAAATTTAAGAATATAATCTAACAAATTTATTATTAGAATAAGTATTCTAAGCTTTCTGATTAAGAGCCTTTAGTTTTTAAACTGATCAATTACAAGCCAACCTGGATGTTTAATTTCCTTAACAAGAAAAAGTAAACCACAGCAGTTATCCACATATGCACTAACCTTATTCAAATATCACACAAATTTGGATGGCAGGGAATTGACTGTTGGTATGTTAGAATTGTTCATATTTTATTACAAAATTTTGTTATTATTATGTATGGATTTTAAAAGCAGTAGCTAATGGTCAGAAGCCTGGCATTGCCTGAAGTTAAGATTTTGTCTCCCAATTGTATGGATACAGAGGTTTTGTGGGGAGAAGTTGAATAGCATTTTGAAACTAGAAAAGTGAGTAAAATAATGATTGTTGTTTTAAATTGGTTTTTAGGCATATTTTTATAATACTTAACATTAAAGGCAATCCTGCATTGATCAAAATAAAGACATTAATTAGCTGACAAAAACTCAAGTGACTTGTAACAAGTCCATCTGAGAATCAAATATTGTTGAATCATTAAGTGTGGATGTGGTATCCTGTGAGCAGTGCAAGATGCTTTAAAAAAACACTTTTCTAAACAAGAAAGTTGCAAAACCATTGGCTTGTATAGCTATAGACTTCCTTTAGCATTTGGCATAGATACAAGACCCTTATGGACCCTTTTGTTGATATCTTGTAAGGAAATATAAACAAAAGGTGGAAACACAGCAAGTCTTTATATACAAACATTTTAGTTTTTGAAATAGAGAGAATGTTGAATAAGCTTTTCAACACAGAACTTTTCAAGTGTCTGTTGTTTCTTTCAAAGATTTTGGCCCAGTGACTCTAGACATTACTCAATTGAAAGAAGTTGAAATCTTAAAATCCACAGCAGGCTTCATTTTAAGCAGTTAATACTGCCTTTGGAAGATTTGTTGCTATAGAGAACACTGTTGTTATTTTTTAAGTCTATAATATAAATGGAAATGACTTTTTGATCAGTGAACAATTGATACTTATGTCATTAAAGCATCTTTGATTGTCTTCTTAGTATGTTATAATCTCTTTAAACGAAATTTTAGAATTTTGGGATACTGCTGGACAAGAAAGATTTAGTAGCATGCATCCATCTTATTATCATCAAGCACATGCTTGTATATTGGTAAGCTTTTGAATTGTTTAAATGCATTGTACTACAGGCATAGAAAATGAGGGGATTTTAAAGAAGGGGCTCAGTCAGCCCTGACATCATTTTAATGCACAATTTATATTTAGGAAGCTGCAAAAAGCAGTATTTTCACCGTTTAAAAAAAACAGAAAAATCAAAATAGTATTCTAGATTCTTTATCAAAGGAAATTTTCTGGTTCATTGTCCATTGTTGAAATTGATGATAATAAAGTTTTGTAAAAGATATAAAACCCTTTTCATAACAATGTTTTTAATTGATCAATCCCAAAAATTAAAGTCAGATATGATGCTTACAGTATTCGACATTTCACTATGCCATATTTTCAATCTATGAAATCAAAAAAATTTTAATGATTCTAATTAATGACTTGGTTATTCAAGATGAAACTTTGAGCCGCAAATGGTTGAAATTTTTTTATTGCCTGGGAAGAATGATAAGTAATAGGTTTGCTTTGTATCATCTTAACAACACTGCTTCTAATTATCTTGCAGGTATTTGATATCACTAGAAAGATAACTTACAAAAACCTTGCACAATGGTACAAAGAACTTAGGGAATACAGACAAAAGATACCGTGTATAGTTGTAGCAAATAAAATAGATGGTATCCTTTTCATATTTCTTAAACTGCATCATACATTAGAAACAGATTTATAGTGGAAATAATTTATTGTTGGTTCGGGTGTACTTGGTTGGTGATAAAGATGATGATGATGGTGAAATTGAATATAATTTGGTAATCTCAAAACCTAAGTAAAGTAGCCACCAGTTAAATATTTTTTTGCATGTAGTGCAGTTTTCATGGATGTTATTAAGTCACTGCAATTTTTTCTTAAGTTTAAATACCAAAAGCAAAATAGATGTAAAAAAATATCAAAAGCCCATCTGAAGAATAAATGTTATTCACACCAATAACAAGTGACTACATCTCAGTAATTCACTGGCACTCTTAGAAAAAAATTTCCAGTTGCAAGTTTTCTTTTGTTGTGAAGCTTCAGAGAATGATCACATGTTAAACAAAAGCCTTCCAGAGTCTCAAGAAATAATTGGGTTAACAAGCTGACCCCAAATGCAATATCTTTAGGTTGCCAATTGTATTACATCTTTTTGTTTGAAGTAAAGGTAAAGTTAAATTTCTTTTGTCAGAAAATAATCCATCTCTAATTGAAATAGAATCAATAAAAATTTAATTAATGTTTTGATTTTCTGTTGGACAGATCACAGTTTGCAATTAATTGATTTTGTGTGGGTGTCGGGAAGGTCAAGGAAGATCAGGTGCAGAAAGTAGCAAACAGAAATAACCTGGTGTACCCATGAAAATTATTTATTTCAATTGTTTACATTCAAATTTGGGACATTTTCTCCTTAACATTTACTTAGTTGATTGTAGTATAACCTCCAAGACTTTCAATTTTCCAAAAAAGTATAAAATGCCTTTTTACTTTGTGTCTGCTTCAGATGGAACAAATGTTGTCAAGGTGAGTTTTCTTTTGCATGGAAAAGTTTTGTGTCATTAATTTTAAACTGTTTTTATTAATTAAAGGAATAGCATTATTTATTTGTTTATTTATTTGTTCATTTAACCCGCTGAATTATCAGAAACTAGGATCTGCTGTTCATATATTGAAATGGAATATTTTTTTTACATAAAGATGAGACTATTTAATATCAATAGTCTCTCAATAAATTTTATCCTTGTAAATCGTTTGTAATCATGAGTTTCACAGTAAAAACCTAAAAAGCAGGCCTTTCTTCCAGTATCAAACATAGCTTGTTGTTGGTTTTGGTAAATGCTCACAGGAATTTGACGGGACTTAACTTTACTGAAATAGCCGACTTTAACTCAGAGTATTTCAGACGCAAAATGGTGGAAGTATTTGGAGCCTATGTCACTTAGTTTTGAGTCTCATATGACAAAAGTATGATGATGGGTGGGATGAAAGCTAGATACATATGTGTGCAACCACAAAATTTTTTCCTGTATGATAAACAGGATTCATTGTGTGACATGAATCGAGTCGTTTGAGATGGTTCTGAATTTTTTGGAAATGTCGTCTCACTTCTCCAAAACACATGTAATTATCAATTTTAATTCATGACTCAGTGTCTTTCATTAAAAGAGCAGTTGTATGATGTCCTTCTGTTATTGCTTTTGAAATTTTTCGCTCTTGCTTTCTTTCAGGTATTTAGAGAAGCTATTAAGCTAGGATATAACTACAAAGAGAATTCATCAGACTTTATGGATGAAGTTATGCGAGAATTAGAGGTTTGCAAACAGTGATTTTTTTACTGCGCATTCCTTTGTAAGGATGTTATTAAGCATTCTGTCTGTGAAATATATAGAGTTATTGGATCCCTTACAGGTGATTTATAAGAGGAACAGCTGCCCATTCCTGATCATTGTGCTCTGATTATTAGAATTGATAATCATTGTGTCTTGATTATCAGAACGGATAATCGTTTGCTTATCATTAATCTTTGCAAAGTCAGTTTTTTTAAGTTCAAAGACCTTCAATAGACCCGGTTTCTCTGAAATCAAACTAGAATTTTGAATATTTATATACTTATGTATTCATGACCTTAAAAGGGTCTTTTGTGACGTTAATATTCAGGAATTTTCACCAAATTTGTTTTGCATAGCTAATTGAATCATTTGGATAAGATGAACGAGTATGATTAAGATTTGACCAGTAAATTAAAATTAATAATTAAGTTTTATTTTGCATTTTCTGGTGTCTCGATGATACCGTTCGTTAATGGCCATTTATGGTTTGGTCACTTCGTTAATTGTCATTATGGCATGGTTCGGTATCTAACACTCAAAATATAATACTTCAATCCTTTCCGCGGTTGTCATAGACATGTGGTTTTAGTTTGAATTGAAAACCTCTCCCTTTTGGCTTTGTGGCATATTTATACCATGAATTTTTGTTGCCCAAAATAACAAACATATTGTCTTTATTCAGAGGCCTCTGTATAGCATTAGGTCCTAACGCTTCCGAACAATGTTTATATTTTCATTAGAATAAGTGTTTATGAATCCAGTCCTAGATTGCCAATTGATTTAAATCACCATTGTAGGAGAGGGGCAACTTAAACAAATTGGAAGACTTGGTGTAGATGTTCGAAAATATTTGGCAAAAATATTATTGTAGCATGTTTGGTTTGATAGAATTTTCGCTGTATTGTGAAAAAAGAGCGTCTTTTCAAAGCCTTCAATCATTTCCAAAAGACGATGTTTCATTTGATAGCATTATTACAGGAACGACAAACAGCATTATTCAATAAATTGTGTATCCGCCCCTGTGTTTATTTCATTTGAAAGTAGAATTGATTTTTCAAGTCAAAGCGATGTAGCCTGCCCACTGTCAATAGATTAGATGATATGCTGCAGAAATTTAAGTTTTACTGTCCATGGCCATCGAGGGGGGGGAGGGCAAAATGCTGCAGGGACTCGAGGTCTAGGGGGCCTCATAAAGTAATGAATTCCGTTTTAAAATGAAATTAATTAGAAGCTATAAACTTCTGCTCAAAAATGAATAAACATTTTAAACGCATGAATCAATTTAAGCTTATCTATATGGCTGGCTGCTCGCCGGAGGCTCTACTTTCGGTTTTGCCCAAAGGCTTCCAAAACTTTTGGCGGCCATGCTACTGCCTACTAGTTGGATTGGACCAGAGATAAAGCTGTACCTATATTATGGGGTATAGAGGTCCTCTTCAAACACACTTTTGAGGCTATCAATACTTAGAAAAAGGTCGATTTCCTTTCAGAAACTTTCACAGAGTTGCCCTTGACGACACATTTTTGTTGCTTCGTTCGCGGTAGCCTCATTTTCAACAAGTGCGTTGTAGCCACTCTAGAGTTGTCAAGATAATACATATGTAGCTATCGTCTTATTTTGTAGAATTTTGATGATTTGGACCTCGAAGATCAGGAAAGCTCGACCGACTAACAGCAATGCTTTTGTGCATCAGACCTGGCTTTCTGCAAGTAGAGTGAAAATGGAAGAGTTATTTCATTTCTTGTTTCATCGCATGGTGTTTGGTGTTATGAGTTATAAGTTCATACACTTATTTTGTGTCTCTTGATGAATGAAGAATTTAGCAAAATGTAAGGCTCTGTCGCGACAACAGTTTAAAGAACGGCAGAGGAAGATTTTCACCTTGTGGTCAATGACATTTGATGAAAAGCATTTAAACTACTGAGCCATGTAATAAACTGTTTGTTGTAGACCTAAGCTTTACTTTGTGTGGTTTGGTATTAGCAAGGTTGTGCCTGCACTTTGAAACTGCTTTAAAGAGAACTTGAATATTTAAAGCCCTTTTTTGACACAAGGCTACTCCAGAGAACGTTTTTAAAATACAGCTTGTTATTACAGTTTACATTTGTTGCCACTGAGTACTCAACGCAACAGCTGATATTCTTATCGTAAAGGCTCGGTTCAATAACAAGATCCTAGCAATCTAGATTTTTGTTTTGCTTTTTCAATTATTAAAGCATGGTAGCCCATTTGGCAATGCTGGTTTTCAAGGGGCCATGCATCTAAACTGAAAGAAAACTAACATAAAATAGAATAAAGTAAATAGTTTCAATAGATCTAAACATGGTAGAATACGCTACACAACCCGTTCTCACCCATCATACCCTCGCAAGTTTTGATACCCTTATATATACAATAGTCAAAAGCCTGAAGTATGATATTAAAACAAAGAACAATTTTTAGAGCAAAGTTTTGAATTTTTTAAGAGATGCTGCCTTCTTAGCTTCGGAATCTTGGTTATTACATTGATTTTTGACTTTTAATATATAAATTTTCGATCTGTGAAGCAGTTTTTTGTTTCCTTAGCAGAAAACTATTATATGAATCGAAAATTTTGTTGCTTCAATTTCGTAAGGTTCTAAGTTAGTAGAAAGAGATTCAATCAAGTATTTGGCATATGCTCTACAATGTAGCGAAAGAAGTCCCTAACCTAACGTAGCTGTGCGTGTTTGTACTACATGCAAGCATTTATTTCCTCAAATTTTACAAGCAAAGAGTGTTCGAAAACTCAACTCTCTTTGTTCCCAATAACCCTCGTTTTCGGCGCAGAGTATATATTCCACTGATCTCAAAAAAAGACTGGATCGAGTTTTTCCAGCCCAGTGTTGAATCCACGTAGATGAATCCACAGCGTCCATCTTGAGACCTCGCCGTGTTGTATGAGACTAGAGTGCAATCATATTAGTTTAAGTTCAACTTGCTTTTTCATAGCAAAATTCAAAGTAACCGTTGAAACAAAAACTTACAGCATTCGTAGGTGACGTCAAACATTTTTGCCATGTTATTAAGCTTATGTAACGAAGAATCCACTGTTCAGTTATTTTCCTAGGCCTGTTGTCTCTTAGAATATTTAAGAATTTAATGACTAATACACAATTTAAAGCGCAGCACTGTGTGTGCATCATTTTAACAAATGCCAGCCCAAAGCTTTAGACGCGAGAGGTCTCAAGATGGAGAGATTCGATCGCTCCCTCGTGCTGATATAGGAGGACAATAGGTTGTTCGATCCAGTCTTTTTTTGAGATCAGTGATATCTTCCCTATATGAAGACAATCAGTGATAGGTTGTTGACCGATCCATTTTTACATGTCTACACAAAGGGCATTGTTTTTTAACCTCCTTTTCACTGCATAGATTTGGACCGTGGCTAACGAGGCTAGATATTGGGTTAATGACTTACACTCGACAAGACACATGCTTTAGAAACACGAATTCGCCAGGGTATATTCTTAAATTTATATTTACAAATAAGACGTATGTCTCCGTGTCTCGCAAAGTGTTGTTACTAGAACTATAATTGTAAGCGATTTTTCGTAGCGTTAATCAGATGTTGCAATTTAGTCGAATTGAAATGGGTTTTTTCGACTAATATTTAGTAAATCATAATAGACCTCGTTGTTCAGTAGATCAATCTGTCAATAATAGCATTTAATTGTTTCTTATGTATTAATGAAATACTACCAGGGAAAAATTTCGGGTCATCTATGAAGTTCAAATCGCCGTAGGTTCTGTTTTACTCAGGGTGCTTTGTGTGCAAGCTGGGCAATTCATGGATGCGATATCCTCTCTCCAAATTTCTGTCACGCGATTTGGATGTGCCTCTTTTGGTGGATGTAACTGACTGAATTTGATCAGGTCCCTGAGTTCCATCTGTTCAGTGAAATGGCTGTACTTGGCCGTCAATGTGTTTGAATGTACACTCTTTTTTTTATAAGAACAATTTTTTAAGAACACGAGCCTCAAAACTGGTCAAAAGTTAAGAACAAATTAAGAACAAGCATAGGCTGAGCTTCTGCAAAATGCAACTTTGAACGACGTTTTTTCTCAAATTCGAATATTTTTAGCGATGTGTGGGTGCTTTTTCGGTGAATATTCAAATTTGTCAGCAAATTAAGGCTGTCTCACTCACTCTGTTGGCAAATGAGGCCTGAACACCCCCTTAGAGCGAAAAAACTAGCAATAGCACTGCTTACACCATTTTAATTTAAGAACAATCCAGCCTCAGATTTGCGAAAAAATTAAGAACAGTCAGCCTGAACTTAAATTTACTGGTTCTTATTAAAAAAAGTGTACAGTGAAATGGTTGGATGTTAGGTGCTCAGGCGGTTCACCTTTTCTTGCAAGCCTTTTTGCACCTGCCTGTCAATTTTTTTACCAGCAAGAGCCAAGGACGCTGCAGTTTTCTTGCGGCAGTATTCGCATTTCTCTTTTTCATCGATTGATCAACCCTTTCAACTTTGAAAGAAAAACTGTAAACAAAGTTACAGTAGATTTGATTTGATTACTTGCGAATTCGACAATCAACTTCACGATTTGATTACTTGCAGATTCAACAAGCAATCAGAACAGGGGCCTATGATGTGTTCGCATTGTCGGTTTAATTACGAAAGAAGGAGCCCTGGAATAATATTATATCCTGAAAAAACATTTTAGTAGGGAAATTTATGCTTTTCTTCATATTTCAAAATATCACGAAAAAGAGGAACCATATTTCGGCAAACAATAAGTAGGAAAAGATTCTAAGATGACTGAAGACGGCAACTAAGAATTCGGTATTTTTGAATTCATATTTGTTAAGTCGTATTTGTTAAAAAGCCTAGGTCACCTGACCAAAGCAATAATCCAGGAACAAAATAAAGTTTTTTTCACTCGCTGTTACTCAGTCATCTTGCAGCAGTTTTAACTTATTTTGCACATTCCGAGGTATTTCTTGGTATTCTTTCTGGCTTTGTGGTCATACTGAATAATTCTAAAAATATAGTTTGCAAGATGCCACGCGTGGGACCTTTCTCTGCACGATTCTGCGATTCTCTACTAGCAATGTTAATTACTGTGAATAGAAACTGTGCGTTTGGTCTATTAACCAGTCGAGAGGGCTGGACAATAACCCACACGACCCATACATCTCTATAGCTCACTCTGAAGTTGCAAGATAGAAAAATAAAGTAACACGATTTGTTTCATGATTCAAATTTCAATGAGAAATAAATCCAAATATCTAATTGATTTATACGCCGTTAAAATTCATTAACATCGAAAAGGTGAAAACTTAATTCGAGTGAACATTTTACGTTATCAAGAGTTACAAGATATCATACCCTGTAAACAACTGCCAGAGAAGAAATGGGGCTAGTCAATTGTATTCATTTTGTGCAACAGAATAACAGTGTTGCCATAGGAGGGGATTAATATTCCAAAGCGAGGCACGGTTTAGAAAGTGCCGTCAACGAAGAAGGAAATGAAATTCTCAAATGGAACCTGTTTGTCACTGGGACATGCTTGCAATAAGCCCTAAATCTTAAATGAATTATTTTATACTCTTAATTGGGTGGCAATTTGCATAAGGGTCTTTAATCCAGGCATAAAACTGCCAATCTCTGAAAAGTTTCCTCTAACCACCATTTCAGTGTGTATTTGAATTCCCTGCTGATAATTCATCTGCTCGCAAGCTGAAAGAAACAAAAATGTCCTCAATTTTACGGCGTAAAATTGTGCTTTAAAACAGAACAGTATTTTCAGAGGTAAACATCTAAGAATTTCGTTTTAAAAACAAATATGGAAGAGTGGTATGCGGTAGTTTGGTGAAATGCGAGAGCAAGAGCCATTAAGGAAGTTGGTTTGGATCCTTGCATATAAGCTCAAAAACGTTCTCCGTGATTGAAATTAAATAATGTTATTGTGACTATGATAAACGAAGATTCATTGAATAATTTCGATATAACTACCTAATGACCTTAGCGGTTAATCGTGCAGGATTTTTATACTCAAAATCATTGCAGGAATTCTTTTCCCAAAGAATGTATGCATTTACTGGTGTAACAAAATAGAAAACGGATTTATCAGAAACTCCCTAATTCAGGAGAACATAAGCAATAAATACTCGTTTTTATTTTCAAAATAAAAGAGTTCCAAAATTGAAAATCCATTCATTTTACGTTTCCCTTTTTATAGCTTACTGTAAAAACCTTTCATAATAAAAAAGACTGAAATCTGAGCGAATTGTTTGAGATCCTGAATATGTTTGTACTGGGTAACTAATATTTCATAAAAGTAGTATACATAAATAGGTATTTGTTTTGAAAAGATGCCTGTACCTTGAGAAATCTGATGAAGTCCGCCAAGCACGTTCTGTGAAAGCTATATTTGAAAGAAGAAATTCAAATTTCGATATCAATGAAAAATCAACTATAAAAGGCAAGCGTATGAAACAGGCAAAATGAAAACAGATTGCCATTAAGAACAAGAAAAAGAGCAAAATATGAGTACTAGGCAAAAAGGAAATGATAGAAAAAGATGACAAGAAGCAAACATTGAAAGAATCAAACAGATGACAAAAGCTAAAGAAACAATCAATGATAACGATATTTCAATTCAGTCTCTTACAGATGAAATTTCGTGTTGATGCTTAAATAAATGTTTCAATGTTAAAAGTTTCTTGGTAACATACACTTTATTTAGCAAAATAAAGGACTGCTTCAGAACAATCAGGTAGTCAATAGCAATTCTTCTACTTATGCATTTAATAAAGAAAGTTCAAACTAAAGCAAACTACAAAATATTGCACAATTAAAAGTTAATGTTTAATGAGATGGCTAACACCAACAGTTGGAATCATCACTTTTTCTAATACCCTTATTTGCTAACTAACGTTTCTATTGCCAAAATTTACCATAAATGTAGAGGCATATTTGCTTTTAAAGGGAATGGAAAAGGAGAGTTTCAGCAACTATCTGCAAAATTTCAAAGCAAAAGTGAATCTTGCAGATTAGTCAGATGCAAATACAATCACCCATTGATGGTCTTAAAGGCTCTTGCGCAACCGGCAGGCTTCGCGACTGTAATTCAAAGAACAGGCCTAATACTACATAAAAATACAAAACACAGTCAATTTCTCAAAACAACTGCCGCTAAGCATGATGGTTGCGCAAGAGCCTTTAAGTCTACATTTCATGAAGCTGAATTCTGATTACTCTGTCCTTTGTAACATAGAGACGTGAAAGGGTTCATTCCCCCCCCCCCCTTTACTGCTGTGATAGAATTGGCAGGACAGCCGAGAGGCTTCGGAGGCCCTTGAGCAAAACAGGAAGACGAGGCCTGACAAGAAAAGTTTTGCCATCACGCTCTTAGATTAAGTTAAATTTAATTCGGGATATTTCTTGCAGACATTTTCTAACATTTGAAACCTTTTACCACTTTAAGGCATACTTCTGTTACGCTTGATTAATTCCATTCTTAAAATGGAATTCAGTTTTTATGACGTTCCTAAACCTTGAGGCTCTAGGGCAATGTCCCCCTGTCCCCTCTCGACAGCCCTCATAGCAGGCTCGAGCTTTTCAAGGAGCTGCACGTTGTTATCTCCGGTCTAACATTGTTTGTAATAGCTCTGTAACACTGCTGCTAATACTCCCATTACTCCCTTCCCTTAATGAAGCTAATATTTGAGTACTTAATCTTCTGCTAGGAAATGGCAGGCAAACATAAAAAGCAGAGATAGCCGTCTGTTTTATCTCACCTTGCTGCTTCGGAGCATATCGTAAAGTGACTCCACCCTTCTGTTGACTTCTTCTAATTTTCGTTTGGTTTGCTGCAACAGAACATTGTCAAAGTAATGCAAATTCAGCAAAAAGAATTGATTTTTTCATAAATGTATCCATTGGTTGACAGCAATTCACAAACTGACTCTTGAATTTTCAAATTTTGGTTTAAGTTGACAATTGGTCAGCAATCTGAAAATGAAAAACCCTGTAAAATGACTCGATCAGAACAAAAGTAAAGGCCGACCTTGGCAACATTGACTGATCTAACTAGTAACATCTTCAACTTCTGTCTGTCACAGCATTAACAGGCGAAAAACTTACAGGATTATTGGCAGCTGATCTGCAGCGATCTAGCAAGGCATTAAAGGTTTGCTGCAACACCATATGTTCTGCAGGAATTGGCGCCCTTGGTATTTCTTGCTTTTCCGGCTCTGGCTCGGGCTGGAAAGAATAAATTGCGTAGTAAAGATAAAGCATGGAAAAATGCTCGGATACATGTGCTTATGTTACTTAAAACTGGGACAATCGAGCATAAGGGACATAAAAATTATAAACCATTATTACTAGTGCTGTGCATTCAGGTACTTGTCAATGGAATCAGCGATCTGTATTAATTGACATAGGCCTTTTCACTTGACATGGCACATCAACGTGCAATAGCCTGACACCGCAATCTGTTGTTTCTCACCAAGGCGATAATAACAATCATACACAACAAGATATCAATATGTTTTGGTAGGAACCTGTTTCATAGTTCACTTCAAGTGAATGATAAAAAAAGATAAAGCTTGTTAAGGCATTTCGCCACAGCTTATGAAAAACACAAATTTCAAACCAGAGCGGTACAAACAGCGTTTTGTCAAGATTTTTAAAAAAAACGAACTTATGGTTCTGATTTTCATTGTCCCTAATTTACAACACTTCTTTGGATGTAACAAATCCCTACATTGGATTTTGTGGTTTTCCGGGGGGTATAGCAGCATGACTTACCATATGAGGTTTTTGCTCATTGACAATTGTTTGGCCAGGAACAAAAGTACCTGGCGGCGTTTGAGGTCCTGCAAGAAAAAGTTGAAACAATACAATGAATAAAGGCTTCAAACAGACAATTCTTAAATTGAGCATCAATGCTAATAAACAAAGTAAAAAACTGAGGTACAGTTGTACGATTCTGTTAAACAAACACTTTCAATGCACAAAGCGACGTACATACTTTGCCACAGGGAAGTTTTCATACCACCTCCTGTCACAACAATTCAAAAAAAGCGGACGCTGTTTTCTGTGTTTTATGCAGCTGGTTACTATGAAGCAATGCAGCACAGACAAAATTGTCTTCTCTGTTATTTTTGTCCCCTTTCTGCATACCATTGGTTCATTAATCTTAAAGCGTCTTAAGATGCTCTTTAAAATGTTTAGTCTACTTCAGCTGCTCATTTTCTGAAGTAAATCAGTTTTACAAGAAGTAGCTTTGAACATAGATTCGAGTAATCTTAAAAGATCATACTACATAGTTGGATTTCAGGTCACATGACATGGAGGATATTTGCTTTCATGTCACGGAGAATTTCTAGATCAAATTATCTTGATCAAATCTGCAAAATTTAATTTGACATCTTTACCTGGTGATGGCTGATTGTGGCTTGGCTGCACAGCTGCAGGGTTGAAGATGTTCATTGGCGGCTGCGGTTGCGGTTGCGAGGCTGGAGGGTGCGTTTCCTATAATCAAACAGCAACTTTTTCATAGCCGTTGCGTTGCAAGATTTTTATAGCGTCCAGTTTTTTAAGCGAGCTTTCTTGAGCTCTTAGTTATTTCTGTGTTGTTAGAAACGCTCGCGTGTGAATTCTGATTGGGCGGGAATGGTACTTAATGAAATTCCTCTCAGATGGTTTGACAAGATGTTGCAATAGACGCTTTCTAGAGGATGTTGAAACAACTCAGCAAGAATCTATCGAAGAGTATTTGGACACTGCTTTGAAAAGCAAAAAAGGTTCCAAAAAAACAAAAAAATACCTGCTTCATTGCTTTCATAGACATGAATGACTGTGAGCCGCTCGGATCATATGTAGGAAGTGGGCCTAAAAATATTGGAAGGCTTAGAACCAGAAATATTGGAAAGATTACACTTTAATTTTGCAATTGTAAATTAAAAGCAAGTTATCCGCTTAACGCTAACAGGCAATTGAAAACTGTTCTATTTTCATGGGGTGTTTTAAAAACTGTAAACAGTTGAAATAATACAGTGCTTTCAATATAAACAGCCAAAAGGTATGGATTTTCTGGTGATTCACAAAAAAGTCACTGCGTCCTTCGTGTTTTATTAGAAAGGTGCTGGTTGCAAAGAAGACTGCAGAAATAGTAGCAATTGACTTAAAGTTAACACACATAAAAACACCCTTATTCACTGTATTTTGTTCAGGGAGGTTTGGAAAGTTGTGACACTTTGGCCTAACTGCACTCCCCTGAACCCTTAGCCACCCTCTCCCCAGGCCTCCCCCTTCAGGCCCCTTTCTTTATAGAAACTGTCACTAGCAATTGTGCGAGGTGTTTTTGTACTGAAATTCGTAAGAGAGTGAGTTGTTTTCTCCACTAACCATATACCAGTTGAAGCGCAATTGCTGCATATCATTGGTTCTGGGCCTGTTCAAAAGCACTGCCTATCCAAGCCTAATATTACGACTTTTTTGGGTTAAGTTGGTCTGATACGTTCAACTTTTTTGTCTCTGTGGCATTGCTAAACGGATGAGTTTGTACTTAAATTGCAGCTCATCGTCTTAAAAAATTAGGTGCAATTTTTATGGAATGCAGTTAGGATTTTGCCGAAAAGAAAGCGAAATATTTTCGAGACAGCCAGCCCGCTGGGCGCAAACCGGAATTTGTGGGGGAAAGTTAGTCTGATAAAAGTTGGTCAGATTTTCTTGACCCTTTTGTATTGTTAAACGGCAACTAAGAAGGTGTCATCTTTCTGAAATGAGGCGAAATACAATGCATTCTTTACCAGTTTGGGCTGGGGGCGGCATTCCGTACCCCGGATCCGCTTGATACTGGCTGACAGCTGGCGTCAGTGCTTGGTGGTATCCATACTGGTTCTGAAACGGTGGCTGTGATATCCCTGGGTACTGTCCGACCGGAGAAACATTGGTTTGGTAACTGGAAACATTTGCCTGTATCGGAATTCCAGCTGGCTGTCCATACGATGCAGTCTACAAAGAGTCCATTCAGTCAGTTTTGTAAAAATGAGCGACCATATCTCTACATGATTAAATGGCAGAGCAACGCCTAGGACTTTAATTTTCATTTCTTATAAAAACATGATAATGTTCAAAATAACATTGGTATGTTCTTTAAAGTAGAATAACACATAATAACTGAAAAAGCATAAAGGTAGCAACATGTCATGTCTTTATTAATACGACCACTTCATTCAAGCATTTTAATTGTATTGCCCTTCTCGTGTTCGCTATCAGCCCCGATTATAAGCTAATCTGATTTTGTATTCATCGCAGTACATCAGAGAAATAAGAATATACAGCGAGCCGAAAAACATGATAAAGCTCTTGAAATAATCTGCTGTCTTGTGATTAATAAAAAGCGTTTACAAATTATGTTTATGTTTACAAATTACAAATTAATTATGTTTACAAAAAGTTCCATTTTATCAGCATTAAAAATCTTTTGAAGAAATCTTAGTGAGATCGTGATTAGGAACTTTATCAGATCTGGGTTCCAATGACGTCACATATGATTGGAGTGAAAACTCTTGCCAGCCTTCCTCAAACTCAAACTCTAGGGTTTCATCCTAACAACAACGTCAACCCGTGCTGAAAATCAAGAGCTGGTAGAGCATCTAAATGCTTTCAATGCAACTTGATGCATTTGAAGATATAAGGGGAACGTATCTGAAGAGAGATATTACCTGTTTCTGCTGGGGTTGCTGTGGTTTCGGTGCAGGAGTGGTTCTCACGTTTACTTTTTCAAATGGCAGCTGGGAATCGCTGACCCTCTGTCCTTGAGCCTGCAGCAACCTGTCTTTCAGCATGGCTACACCCTGAGCATATGCATTGAAATCGATCAAAGAAGTCGAAAAAGTAACACTATAACCGACACATTATTTTCTAATAATTAGGCCTATTCAGAGATTAGATCCAAGATGTTCACTGATTATATCCTTGACTAAACCTCTAATATAATATGATAATACACATATAAAGTTGACTAAACAAAATCAAATACACCACAGGAAATTAATTTTACATTTTCTCTTCGTGATTGTGGGTCCTATCAATAAACCTCGCCATTAATTCATACAGTGAAAATTTCTATTACATATAATATAGATTTTATAAAATGATATATTCTGTTCCTGAGCCAAACCTGTTGCAAAAATGACACGAAAATTCTTGCTGTATGCGATATCATTGTAGAATAAAAACAACATGACAAGAAACTCCTTGTTTCATTACTATCCAGAATACAAATAACAATACCTGGTCACTGATTGTTGACAAGTAGACCATTGCTGTTTCGTAGCTCCCTTGAGATGCCAGGATATTGCCGTATTTGCTGCAAGAAAAGGTGCAAAAAATAACCATATAAGCTTTCATACATGTCAGACAGCTTTTACGTTGATTTTCGATCCATTTCACCCCTAGCAGCAAGCCTCTGTAAATCTATATGCTAGGATTTCAGTGTCTTATTTCTACGACACTTCGTTTAAAAGGCTAAGCATTAGGCATGATCACGATCAATCAATCACGATCATCGATCAATCACGAGCAATCAAAGATTTTTACATTTGAACCAAGGTATCAATAGCATGCAATACACTTTTTAAATTACAGGCAAACCTAAATTAGAGTAATTAATGCTTTCTTGCTTCCACTGTTTGCTAATTTCGCACCGTTTTTGTTTTATTTAACACCCCTAGGATAGTTCTGTCATTTTTGCCGTGTAGCTTGCCATGAGATAGACTTTGTAGTGTAATACAGCCATAGTTAGTAAACATAATATTTGAGAAATAATGCAGAGCTTATTGAATAGAAACCTTAATTGCTCGGCTAATAATGTGTTTGGAACAGCGGCATTTTGCTTCTTTTCTCGTTCTACAGCCTTCTTGAGGACCATGACTTTTTCAATCAGATCCTGCAACATTAATGGAGCTGGTTCCCTTGGCACTGTTTTGGACCTGCAAAAAGAGATAGGAAAAGAGTTCGGAGAAATCAGTGCAACCATTTGTAGTTTATGCTTTGTTAGGTTAAACAATATGATACAATAACATCATGAATGAACTCGTTTTAAGAGGGTGGGTGTAACGAACCCAGACTCGCGGCAATTCAAGAAGACCCAATTATGCGTCCTTGAAAAAATTAAATTTAAACGGAAAAAAGATATAAGAATATAAGATGACTTATCAACTTTTCAAAAAGCAAGAACTAGATTATACTGAATCGCCCCGTCTTTTCAAATCCCCTCTTAATTCTTGAAACGTAAATTTTTTTAGAAAATCTAACTTCCAATTACATGGTGGGCTCCAGCGAATAACAGGAGAAAAGAAAAAGCCTTTAAAGATATTCATACTTGATAATCGACTGCTTGTTTTAGCCGATAACCTACGACTGTGTTAGAAATGCAACGAAGCTGAATTAAATTTGTTTCGAAAACACAACGCATTATGCACTCACCAACACGAAACAAGCCTTTCGATGTTTCCAGAACAAATGTAGCAGATCATAGCTGAAGTGTAATTTTGAGCCTCGACTTCCAATCTTTGACCAAGAAGATCACAAAGCTCAAAGAATTCCTGTGCGCGGCCATAGGTCACCAAAGTAGCGAGAGCCTCTTTCCAGTTCTCAATTGCACACGTCTCAACTACTGATCGCCAGTCGCGACCAACCACGCAAGTTATCAGCTAAGGAATGAAAAATGATAATTTATAACAAGGTTTTCTCCCAGTGAAGCCTAGTTTCTAAATTGTCGTATCGGTTGTATTTTTTGGGACACGGGTATATATATAAAGGAACAATATATAAAGGAACATTCGGACAAGAGCCGATCACGACAGATAGCCGAATCATACCTGGACCCAAAAAAATATTCTTTTTACCCCCTCCCAAAAATTTGCACATCCTTTTTCCCAATGAACAATCCCTCTAGTTCCTTTTTTCTCAATAATAAGCCTAACCATCCCCCCCCCCCAATAATTCATTCCTCCCTACAGTGTTGTTTACAACGGTAATAGGATAAATTTTAGACTCATTTGAGTCGAAACGTTATCATTAACGGTTTTAGTATAATTCAATTTTCATGATGATACCACAAGTAAACAAAAGTACTAAAGGAAATTCACCTTTGAAATTGAGCTCCTTGCTTGGTCTAGGTACCTCTTCTGGGTTCTTGCAAACAGCTCTGGCCCCCCTGCCACGGCCAGTATCAGCGCTTCTGCCATCCTATCCGCTTTGAAGCAAAGGTCGACAGCTCCTTCGAAGTTTCCTACTAGCAAGGCTTGGCTAACCAGCCCGTCTGTATCTGCAAAAGCATTTAGGTAAAAAATGAGAGCACGAAAACATGACTAAAGACATCCACTGCTCCAAGTAATTTTTTGAAGGCATTGTACCACAAAATACAAGGACTGTCAATGGATTCAAGTCAATAGAAAAAACTACTGTTGCAATATCCTTTTTGTCACCGTTCTTATTATTAGTTTGAATGTGAACTAGGCAGAAGGAGAACTCCCTGCACATCAGGTGAAGCCTAAAAATTCTAGCTCATGTGTTAACTCAGCTCGAGGCTTAGCATAAACAAATTCAGTTATGAACTATAATGAATATAGAATAATTTGCCCTGGCTAGGTTCTTCTAACGAAAACGAGGTTACAGGGGCATTAAGAGGTTCTGTACATGATTCAGGCTATAAAAACAACAAAGGAACCGACAAGAGTTGCCCTTCTGCCTAATTCCTACTCAGTGATTGTTCATTGCATAAAGATGTTCGTGAATTAGATTGATTACTATTACCATTTACTGCCAGTCTAGTTAAATCGAAGACACAAACATGACGATTACGGAAAAGTACCTTCATCCACAGCTATGATGAGCGGTGACACTGGACGACCTGGGTCATCGATCATTGAAGTACCTGTCATGGTAAAATAAAGAATTTCGATGACAAGAGACAGAAATACGGTAGCGTGTAAGCAGTCTATGGAAGCTGGACTCTGGGGAAGCTAGACTATGGGAAACCCGGACCCTTCTTTACAACAGCTGCTCGTAGTTTCGAATATTCTGGTTAGCTCGATATGTTGCTTATAGCTTATCTGCCAAACAGGATCCTGGAACCAATGGCTTATCAAGAAATACAGTCGACTCCCGCCATTAGGAGGTCTGTAGAAACCAAGAAAAATATCAGTAATAGCGGAACTTCATTACACGAGGGTTCGTTATACAGAACAAGGACGATTCCAAGAAACCAGGCTTCTAGCTTGTAATATTAGGAGATTCTATATACGCGGGGCACGTCATAGCGAAACTGCACTGCGTCTATTTATCTGAAATAGAAAACTTAGGCCCTACGAAATTTGACCGTATATCGTTTTACTACGTCGAAGAAAAATTGTCCAAGGGTAAACAAGAAGAAAAAGAATCAACCCTACCACCTCCCAATGAACAAGTCTATGACTTGACACCCCCCCCCCCTCACCTCTAAAAAATAAAACAATTTAATGATCTGAAACATACTGTGACTAAATGACGTGTCTATACTGGTGTTTCCAATCAAATCGAATGCGGAAGCTCCTTCAGTGTCAGAGGCCGGTGTCTGTAACAAAGCAGAATCATAGATATCAAATTAAATAACTGTATAAATTTATTCATAATTCCTAATGCATTTAGACTAAAGTCATAGGAAGTGTTGTTCACAGAGAGATAAAGTGTTTGCAAAAAGCAATCAACTAATCAACAACTTATGATACGGAAGAAAAGATTAAGGAAGGTGCAAAAAGAGAGATAATTTCTAAGCAATACAAGAGAGGAAAATTACTTTTGATCCTGGAGCCGGAGATATAGTCCCACTACTGAGCAAGCCTCCTTCACTTTTGACTTGACCTGTATCCTGTTTGTGAAATGTTGAAATAAAATAGCATTGAGAAATACTTGACAGTTTCTTAAAACAATCGTTTTGGTAAGCACTCACATTGTAGCGAAAGCGATTTTGTTCTAAATAAAACTCAGGAGACTTTATCACAATGCAGACATTAACAAAATAAAAGAAAATTTTAATTACAACTGCCCATAAAAGTTTAGGAAATCCTTTGCAGACTCGACAGTATAAGCCAAGACAGTTCAAGACCTTTCTTTAAAAAGAGACTTGACAAATTTCAAGGCTAAATTGGCAAAGATCATTCATTGAGAGGATCGAAGGGACAATTAAACTATATATGGACCTTAGCCCTCAGTTTAGCAGTTGAAAAGAGAAACATTAAACTTATATTTTTGTCTTCAAATAGGTTTTTGGTGTCGCAAACTTTGAAGACGGTACAAAACAGCGGAAAGAAAGCAATGTTGACATCCTTGAGAGAAAAAAAAGTTAGAGGACCAGTGGATAAAAACGTTCACACCCAGATATAGACCACTACTGTGCCTCATCCTATCAATCAATCCCTAAACAACAGCACTAGTGAAGAATAAAAATGAAAAAGCTAATCTCTTTCTTTCTATTTATGACGTTTTATGGAACACCATCGTTATAAAATGACATTCTCGTTCAAGGCATGCGCAGATAGCTTACCCCTGCATTCAACAGCTGCATTTTGCTGGCCAATTCGTCGGCATCAACGCCTGCCAACCCAGATGACGAAGAAAGACTTTTTCCACTCAATGACAAGCTTGAAATCTTAAAAAGAGAGAAAATTTAACAAAGTGTCAGTGACAAAAAAAAGCGTTTCGGAGGAGCATTTCTCGTTTACAAAAATCACAAGGAAGCATCATAATTCTACTTGTGGCAATGTCTTAAAAGCAAATTATGACCTTAATGTCATCTTAACCATCCATTGTACTCCTTAATGACTCAGCTCTCAATAAAATAAGATGGTTCTGCTCTCAATACTTTCAAATTAATCTCAAAGAAAGACCAACCATTTTTCCTAGAAAATTTGCAACAAACTAGACTAACCAAATCGGTGAATAAACACTTGTCTATAAATCCGTTACCTTGTTTGAGAGTTCTTGAGGATGATATCCGAGCAGATCCAAAAACCGAAGTCTTGGTTCTTTGTCAAAGTTTACCTAAAGTAAATAACAAATTTCAAAAAAAGATCGCTACTACCAATAAATTGTTTATGTACACTTACCCGAATCTCTCACAAATGGGACGGTAAAGAATAAAAGTAATATTTAAATTTACTGGCTCAAATGGTTTTATCAAGATGAATGGCAAAAAAATTTAGGTATTTAAAGCAATGTCGAGAAAAAAGGAATAACGTAACAAGCAAATTACTTCAAAAACTTTATTAACTCAAAGACAAAAAGTCACCTTCAAAAAGCTCCATAAAGTCCGTTCTGTTTCGCCCTCGCAATCTACGACCTTTTTATCGCAGAACTCAACAAGATTTTCGGAGAGAAGCGCACTTTCAAGATCGCCAGAGCGTTTTAAAAAATCACCTTCTGTGACAACTTGACTGATGTTTATCTAAAAAATAAACGATTCATTAAAAAGCGTGTAAAAGTTTTTGTAATTCCAATCAAAAGAAACTATGGAGTTTATATTATATATATATTATATACGTTGATATATTTGTAAATGGTTTATCTAAGGTAGAAGTGTAATACAACACAATTAAGTATAAAAAACCTTTAAAAGGAAGAACATATACATCAGAACTCCTGGGAACTCCTGGGTGAGGGGGGTATTCCTGGGTATTGCTCTAAGGATTCAAAGGGGAGTTTCAGGTCACTGTGTTCTTATCTGAAAAAAGCATTCCAGTTATGAACTTGGCCAGTGATGCGTGGAAACAGAGGTATCTTCTCAAAACAAAAGGCTTAGGGACTATGCTCTTAAAAATTCTAAACTCGTGATTTCAAGGCCTAAAAACAAAGATAAAAAACAGTCTGCAGGTTTCTAAGTAAAACAGTCTGCAGGTTTCTAAGTCCTTAGGTTCTTCTTTGTGGGATATACTGTATTTTAATGATTTCATACCTGTTTTGCAGGGGAATCTGGGAAGTTGCCGAAAGAGACAAGTTTTCCACCAAACTGAAAAAAGAAGTGGGAGCATACATAAAACAAGCAAAAGGAAAAAACCACATATAACAGATATAAAAATATGCACACAGACATTTTTGTGCTTTCACTGAGGGATATTTTGAATTAAATGTTTTTGTGATCAATGCAATAATTAGCTTCAGAAAATGACACTCGAAGGGTGTCATTCAATCGAACTGCAAAAAAATTTCATCCTTTTATTGTGCTTATAATAATTTCATTCATATATTATTTACATTCATCAAATCTGTCTCATGGAAGGTGGGATAAATCTAACTATTCTATTTTATAAGAAAAATAATAACCTGAAAATTTGAAAATAAGAAAATGTAAAGTACAAAAGGCCTAAGACAGTACCTTCTCACGAAAGAGAAGAAAATAAACTTCACTGTGGACCCTATTACGCCTTGTAGTAAGTCACGACAAAAAATGAAGATTTGAAAACAAATGGACCATGAACTCACGGCAAAATTTGCACCGCAGGGCCTTCTCATCCACCTCGGTGGCTTCTTTAAAGGTTCAGCAGCTGGTTGTTGACTTGCTACTTGAGCTTGGCCTGCAAATGCATCCCCACCAAATGAGCTAGCAACCTACAACAATAACATAATTTCATTTACAGGAAAGAGGGCCTACTGTGATACAAACCAATTTTTATTTCACTTAATACTTCTTAGTGTTTCACGTTTTCACTTAGTGTATTTCCAGAGCCTAATACCTTTCAAAATAAATAGGTTTGGAGTTAACTAGGAGTGTTGAATTCAAAATAAGATAAACTTTCTTTTACTTTCGGTAAGTATATCAGAAAACGCCTTTAAAAACAAAGGGGAAAGCCTTGATTTGTAGCTACCTTGTCTGGAACGTTTGATGAGGCTGCGCCGCTTCCCATAACAGAACTGACGGTAACATGACCATCAAACGATGCAGTTGAGATCACACCTGGATTTCTTGGACACCAACTGACTTCAAAACACCACTGTGATGTCGTTGGTAATTCATATATTATCTGCAAGAAGAGATATGTGAGCAAAATTCTTTACTGGCTATGAAATGTGGAAAAATACCATGTCAATGTTATAGCGGTATAAGTAGGCGTGGAATGATAAAAGTATGGGCATAACAGTAAAAATTATGCATGATTGTTTATGGTGCAGAGGTTATGGTGAAACAGAACGATAGCTAAGCGCCTATCAATACGTTTTCAATGTTACATCGAAGCATTTAAGGAAATTAAACAAAATTCAGTTTCAAATTACATGTCTTTGATACTGTAAATTAAAGGGCATATGTCGTGAACATGATTGGCTAATGCAATACAATTATCTATTTTATTTAGTACAAAGAAATGAAAAGTCACGAAACAATGAAATTCCATTCCAAACGATTTTGTTTTATTAGTTAACTGTTAATGCGACATATGCCCTTTAATGGGAGTCTACAGATATTTAAATGGTTGAAGCTATCTCTTGAACAACTATTGGCTAATTAACAAGCGCTTGAGGGTTATTGCGCCTCTTGATTGGCTAATAGTTGATTGATAAATGGCTTAACCTTTATGTCGATTCCTTACAAGTAAAAATCCTTAAAATAATTTAGATGATATTCAATATAAAATGCAATTAGAAATAAAGGAATTTTGAACAAACGAAATTGATAGATGGTTTTATACACTTATAAAGGTAAGCTTTAAACTTATATAAAATTTCCAAATGCTCAACAATCAGAAAGTATTTAATGCTTGCTATGAACAAAACAAACCTCTCCGTTTTGTGCACTGGTGTTTGGGTTCCAACAAAGGATACGGTTGTCCTGAAAATAAAATCCAGAGATTTGTTAAAAATATAAGGAAAACAGATATTCCTTAAAAGCATTTTACATACCTTTCCAAAATAGTAAAGAACATAGTAAGAAAAGAAAAAAAACATTCTCAACATGATAATGAATTGTATGCTGAATTTCATCAGAGCAGATACAGTATCTATCGATTTTCAAAATGCTTAATACAAACCTTTGCACAGCTCATCAAGAGGTCTGGGTCTTGTGGACACCAATCTAGTGAAAGGATACCTCTACGAGAAAAAAACCAAGGACCGGTCACAGGAATATCAAAGCCAGTGAGAAAGTTCAGTCATATTTGCCAGAAAAATCCAAAAAAAAAATACAGCGCAATACTATCAAAAATTGCCTATGCCCTTGTGACAAAATATAGAGACCTTTATCAGTACAACTGCTAAAATCTAGATACTTTTATTCTAGATACTAGAGTCTTTTAACTGATTCTATACTGCTGCAGAGCAACTTACCTACAACATATGGCTGGTCTCCCAATTTTGCTTGCCTTAACTAACCATTTTTTATAACTATCAAATACCATATTCTATCAGAACTCAAAAAGCTTTAAATGATACAGAATACAGATTCTTTGTAAAGGGCTTTAAATATAACCATGTCAAAAAATCTCACCTTTGATGCCCTTCCATGACTTTCATTGGTGAAGTAGCAAACCTTAAATCCCAAAGCTGCATAAAAAGAAAAAATAGGAGTAGCTTCAATCGTTGGACTAATTCATTGCCTTTGTGAATACAAGGATAATTCAAGAATAAGTTAAGCAACAAATAAGAAACAATGGTCTGTAAGACATTCTTCTGGAACGGTATAAAAGTAGTTATAGAAATGTTAAGATAATTTTATCTACCAAATATATTTTTCAAAAAACTCCAACACAAATGATGAACAGTGCTGTTCTTAACTTGACATAAACTTGTTTTCATAGCCAGTATTCAAGTATGGTATGTAAGGGTGTGACTAAAAACTCTTGTGAATCTATCCCAACTTTTTCTAATTGCTCTCTCTTGGAAATAGTGGATGTATATGGATACTAGATAGATGATGCGAATTTCACTAAACTACTTTATTTGTTAAATTACTTTATTTTATTTCTAGTTTGTGATGAATGAATCACTTGGTACAATATCAATAAAAGATGGCTTTGAAAAAAGCTAAAATTTTGAGTCATACTGAAGCTTTTCGTCTAACGCTTTTCAGAGTATAAAATGTCTGAACATAGATCAGAACACTAAGCTAGAAAATATATATACCCAGTGGTGGATCGAAATAGGCCAATCAGAAACACGAGCACATGACTGTTGAAAATGCCCAATAAAAGACTGACCTGTATAACAGGATACCTATCATCCTCATTTCCAATGACCATTTGAGTTGCAACTTCTGGATGCCAAGCCATCGATTTACAATGCAACATGGCTGAAGTATCCCCAACCTTAATAATTGGCTCGCTTTTCCTCAAATCCCATACTACCACTCGTCCAGATGGAGACGATGATGCCATTATGTGCTGCACCTGTTTGTTCCAGTGTACGCAGCTAATGTTATCTAAAGGTGTGCTCTTCGCCCCTGGTGTAAGAGGGCTTTCTGGTTTCTTCAAATCCCAAATGTATATTTCAGAGTCATTAGCACCTGGTTGAATTTAAATGAATTCTAAATGAAACTTATAGGCAATGTCAAACTTTGAAACTAAAACCTTAAATGTCTCAGCTTATATTTCTTTTCCAACCAAAAAGGAGATATTATATCATGAAAGCTATTTATCTGCATCACCAACCAACAAAAACAGACATATCATAAGATAAATTTAATATGTTTTAAAGTATACCAAATCATCAATACATTTTTAATACTAGAAAAACTTCAAAAATATTAGTAACTTTCCACTAATAGTTTCCATCTAAGATATGTCTGGGAGCTTATACAAATAGGAATGTGAGGTGCAAAAAATCAGTTAATGGTTTGAATATAGTAAAACAATGTATAACTTAGTAAATGCATATTAGTTTGATAAAATGAAAGAATCTCTTATTTTATGGGAAAATATAAAACATTGTCATTTACCTGAAGCCAGCAAGTTCTCTTGAAAATTGTTTAGATCTAATGCTTGGACAGGACCTGTGTGCTTATCCAACTGATAAATAAGGGCATTATCGTCTTCCCCAGCAATTATCTTTGCTGCATCATAAACATATATATGTCCATTGTCAGTGCCACCAATAATTATTCCAGATTCATGCTCATTTGATTGAATCCCATGGCTGCCCCAGATAACTTTGTGAAGCCTGGAAACACATAAAAGACAATTAAGCATATTGTCACAGAAAAATTGTTTGGTATGCTCTTCAAGATGTGCCTAGATGAGTGACATGAAAGTTACTGTTTACCAGTCTATCATAAAGTGCTTGATATAGAGCTGGGCAGGCTATTTGGTGTATAGAATAGGATTGTTCAAAGTTGATTTTTGAGTTTTGTGCTCAGTGAGATCATCAGGAAATCTACACAAGGATCAGGTTGCTAATCATTGTGAGAAAAGATGTTTTACTGCCATATTTTCCTAAAAAATAGGCTGAGGTATAAAAAAGATATATATATATATTCTCATATTTCTTATATTGTTATATTTTGGTATGCTTGTTGTTTTTATGCAAATTGCATTCAGTTGACAGTTTCTTAATTAATTTACACATTATATTGCTTCAATTACATTGAAATTTGTTCATCCCCAAACATCAAACATCTTATTCTAGATAGAAATCAATTTATAATGAGAAAAAAATCATAGCTGTTGAAATCTAGATCATCAAAAATATTACACTACACAAAATTACCTTTGGCTACATTGGAGAGAGCCAGCAACTGACATCTCCAGATCACTGTTGGCAAAATCCACATGAAAAATTTCCAAGGCAGCAGTAGTGCTAAAAACAAAAAGCTTGCATAAAAAGAGACCTAGTAAATGTAGTCAACCCTAACAAATATAAAGAATCATAGCAAATATCATATATTTCTACCAATAAAAAAAGATTAGTTTTCAACTATAAATGACACCACTTTTTTCATTGTTAATCTGATTGTTTTTTTAAGTTAATTGCATTTGCATTCAAACAAAACTAACCACAATAAAAAATGATCAATAATTGATTGATTATAACAAAACTGACAAGTGTTAACCAGAATATATGAATCGAAACGAATTAGAACCAAGCAAGGTAGTTCAATAAGACAGGATATACTGCTTGTCTTGAGCTCAGAATCAAACATTTAGGAACATGTTGGATTAATCGAGCTTGAATGGATAATTCTTCATTGAACAATTTGATATCTTCTTTGATAGGACAGCTATTATGTTAAAGTAGCATACGTTAAAACAGTTGTGAAGAAATTCAGAACCAACTTGTAATGGATAATGAAGTGATAAAAAGTTGAAAATAAAGAAAAATGGTTTTGTACCTGAAAGTAGCATCTAACTGTTGAGCAGCAGTACCAGCAGCCAAATAAATTGGATGTTGCTTTGCTGGGCTCCATGCTATATTCGCAGTCCTTTCAACTTGCTTAATTTTTGTCATCTCTACAAACATAAAAACAAGTGGTTAGATTTTTGATAATGATTCTCATTTCAATACATTCAACTAGTTATATACTGTTGCGGTTTTAGAAAAGACCCTTTTATTTAAAGGTGTTAATCACAATGCTTGATTGAACACAATTTCTATGACTGAATGTACAATTTCAATAGCATTGTTCTTTGAGTTGTTTTTGTACTTGGATGTTGAAAGTTTTGATATGGAAAATTTGTAGCAAACAGTTTATTTATATTCTTATATGACTGTTGAGGTGAAAAACACAACAGTTATCTGAATACATTTCTATTACATATATACATAGTATTACATCAATTAAAAATCAAATCAAATCAAAAAAGGTGAAGAGCAGAAGGCAAACAATTTGGCAACTGATAACATATATCCCTCTGAGCAAAGTTGAGCGCACCTGGAGTTTGTAATAGTTAGAATTTTCCAATGGCAGGCACTGCAAAGCAGGGGGGCTGGGGGGGATTTAGCCACTTTTTGCAAAAAATGCCAAATATTAAGTATCAAACTACCAGAAAAGCCTCTTTTTATACGGTTTTAGCCCCCCACTTTGTTTAGACCCCCCACTTTTCTAAACGCTCTGCGGTGCCTGAATGGTAATAGTGAGCCTACAATGCAAACTATTAGGTTGCTTACTTCTTTTATTTCATTATAGTTTTACTATATATACTTTTATTTCATCAAAATTAGAAATATGTTTGTGCATTTGATGTGTTTTTTCTTTATCTTCATTTATGGCATACATTTATGATTACATTTGATGACAGGCTGGCAAGGTTGATATTTTTTAATCTCAGGCAATATCAACCAATGTGATCAATATGAATCAATATGCTGGAACAAATCCCTATAGACATAACCATGATCATCTGTAAATATCTTTCCTCAAAGACTAAAAGCACTCCATTTCGAAAACAATTATCAATGCTTTAGCCTATAATTTCTTGATTATATTCTACTCTCCTTTAATTTGCTTTGGCTATTGAGAGAGTACTTCCTTCAAAATTCTGCTTCATACAAATTCTCTAGTAATTTATAGCTATGTTTTTCTTTTTATTCAAGTTCAACTTGCATGCTAGTATTTGTAGCCTATTCAAACTTTTCAAAGCTGTTTTTAAACAGCTAAATAACCAAACAGGTTTTTGGTGCTTGCCATCTTCAAACAAGTTAAATATATATTTAATAAATTGTGATTTTGTATATCATATAGTTATAATATTAAAAATAACCTCACAAAATTCAGTTTCTTATTTTACTTATATATTGCTTTATTACTCAAATACATAATATATGTTTTTTAAAATATTTGATATAACATAACATATATATAATACAACATAAAATATATAATATCTAACATGAATTTTAATAGCATAACTTTTTTCTTTGATAATGACTGATAAGCAAAAATGACCGGATATTGTACAACTGATACGGTACGACTTATTTCACGACGAAAATTTTTGTCCTCAACTTAGCAATTTTGCCTAAAAATCAACTCAGATTTTCACCTAGATACTAGAGCAACAAAAATCTTTACTGTATAAGCATTTGGATTATTCAATGTTTTGTTCACAAAAGAATTCCAGCGGGTACCTACAGAGTTGACAAAAGTCCACGGACAGAAATTTCTGGAGGTGATCTTCTGGTAAAATGATAGACCATACCCTCTATCAAACTATCGAATCACCGGTAGGCACGCAATAACGGTCTCAAACCCGTTTTCAACTAACGTAGTCACAAATCTTTAAATAAAACTAAACTGAACTGTGACGGATATTAAATAAAAGTCTTCTCAAACCGAAGCACGAAATCCAAACTATTGACTATCGACTCTTATGATAATGAGATTTCTGCAAAATAAAGATGGTTAGGTATCTCACCTGTCTTTGGATGTTGGAGAAACTTTTTACGTGCTCTCTATGTATTCTCCTACCGTCAAGTCACAGCAGTGGGAAGATTGTATTTACTCCCTCCAAGCTACCATTTTCTCATAATTGGGAACGTGGCAAAACTGTTGTTGCTGTTGCTCGTTCAGTAGCATAACCTCCTTCTGGCCCATTCTGGAAAAGGGAAATGAAAAACAACAGGGGAAGAACTAGTTGCGCGGGCAAGAAACCCTAATAATTTTTTAAGAGATCTTAAGATATGGTTGTTTTTAGTAGCTATGCCAATCTCTCCTTCGGCATATTTGACTAAATGGTCGTCTTCATGTTTTCAGGGGCGTCATTTGAAGCGGGTATGGGGGAGGGGGGGTGGTTCACCCCCCAACCACGAAAACAGAACCGTCTTGCAGGGCAAAACTGATTTCTGCAGGGCAAATATTTTCTACCTATACGGGCCTGCTTTGTTTTTTTTCTTATCTAACGGTTACATGAAAGGTTATGCTTGGAATTTTTCTGTTCCAAAAGTAAAATGATACAGACTACCAGTGACACGAAATAGACGTTGCCAGCGTGGGCTAGGGTTAGATGGAATAGATTTCTAAATAGATTCTGATTCCGTTAACTGAGCACTGAAATTTTACAAGCTTGGTCAATATTTGCGTCTTATTTTAAGAACTATACAGAAAAGAAACGCACCGCTTGCCAGAAAACTAAGAAAGAATGGTGTAATTCTAAACGGGCGTTGCCACACAGCCTTGTGCCGGGAATGATCTGGAATCCAGTTTGTTGCTAAAGTAGTGTGCCCAAATAAAAGCAGCGTGTGTCAGAACAGTAATACTGCAGTAAATTCCTGATATAGTCACACCAAATGTTACTTGAAAACTTGTGACAGTAAACCGATTGTGATGCTGTAAATAGAGCTTCTTGGATCTTGATTTTATTCAATAGTTTTGCATATTTGGGTCTAAATTTGATATGACTGTAACCAGAAGTGTGACTTTAAGCGGTGCGATTATAAGCGGGGTATACTGTTTTTAGTATCTGCTTTATTTTTTGTGGATGATATAGAGTGTTTAGTATAAATTCCTGTTGGTTTTCAAGATTGTGTTGCCAGATGAAAACTGTGTTATCGATAAATATATTCCAAAATATTGGACTACGCCCCATCGGGGTATTGCTCAAGACATGTTGTTTTATTGTTGTTATGAATATGCTGGCATAATTTGGGGGCAAAGCGCCCCATTGCCCTGCCTCAAGGGAGGTTAAAAAAATTACCTACCCTAAATGGCAAAAAAACTTCTTGTTTTTAGATGAAACATTGTTCAAGAGTAGCTCAGCCTCAGCTTGTTCTTGATTTGTTCTTAACTTTTAACCAACTTTGTTTTTTATCATTTTATAATATTTTTGCTATATCAAAAGAGTGTAAAAGCAAATTAATTATGTTTGAGAATAAACAGATTTTACATCTAATGTAACGAAATCAGTGAGATGCTGGTGTGCAAATCGAAAGTGTCTTGTAAAAAATGAGCGCATGCTATTTGACTCCAGAATGAAGGGTTGCCGCCAGGGGCGGACTGGCTGGTCGGGCTATTCGGGCGATCGCCCGAAGGGCCGGTCGGTTTGAGGGCCGGCTGATAAAAGTGCAAAAAAATAAACTAGCTTAAAAAGTGAATGCGAGGCAAAAAAGTATACCCACGCGTTGATCTATTTGCCTTTAATTTTCAGAGACTTTGTGGGAAAGATATACACGCGAGTACTCGAGAACCATTAAAATTACGAATTCATTATTGTCACCGCAGTCCAGACACACTTCTTCAGGAAACATGTTATCGTTATATTTCTCTTGACGGTATTTCCTTTTTGACGACATTCTATACTGTAACACCCCTGTTTCAATGCGATACATAGGATTTTAACCTGCCCTGATGTCTTTTTACTTATCTTTTGCTTAAAGCTGGTCATGTTTTTGCCTAAGCACAAGCTATTGCTTAATGTAATAAATTTGAAAGTCCAAAAATTAGAGTTCACTAAGCGAGTTGCTCTGTGATTTGAAGCAATGAAAAAGACATACGTAGAACGAGGGAAGAGCAAGAAGACTTCAATCAAAGGTGATGCACAGAAATTTCGTGAGGATTCAGCTACGATACAAAGCTTTTTATCAAGCAAAAGCCACAAACATCACAAAAAAGCATGGTATTGCTCTTGCTTCTTTCAATAACTCATACAAGTTATGGAAAGTTTATTAGGCCTACACTATCATAAGTCAAATGCACCCCCTGCCCAACAGGGGTATGGTGCTACACGATAAAATTCCAACAGGGGTGCCCATGTTTTCCTTTTTGGGGTCAGAAATTGACAAATTGATATTTTTGGGTTGCTGAAAATCATTGTGGTTTTCCGGAGGGTTAGAAAATTATTTGTCACAAGTGGAGTGTGATAGAAGCTTTTCCACTTTAAATATATAAAGAACAGGTTACGTAGTAATTTTTCGCAGCCACATCTGGAGTCTTTCATGTTAATGTTCTTAGAAAAACACCTGTTAGATGACATCCAGAACCGAGGGGCAAATCGCTTCATTAAAATCTCGTACAACTTTTGGTGGAAATTCTATTGTTTTATGAGAAAATTCCTGGAAATCATTTTGATTTTGTGAAAATCTCGGACACTTTTTGCAAGAGTGAGCTACCCCTCGTCCAGAACGATCACATTATCAACATATAAGTTACTGTATTAAGAAACAGAGTCAAACCAATGAGTGAGATGACCAGCATTATTTACTGTTTAGTCAGCAAATGACATATTTAACATGTTCTGTTAACCATATTCTGTTGACCAGCATTCATCCATGCACTAAATTACTAAATTCAAAAACTTGTTTTCCTTACAGACTAACATTCACTTGTATTTCCCGAGGAGTTTTTTATTTGCTATTATTGTGGGCCGGTTTGATCAAAATTTGCCCGGGCCAAAAAAATTAGCCAGTCCGCCCCTGGTTGCCGCAATCACTTTCTATTTTGCGCGTCTCCCAAAGTTAGGCAAAGTTAGGCAAGGGCCTGAGTGGGTACAAGTTCCCCACATTTTAAACTTTTGCCAGGGCAAAAATTTTCTGCAGGGCAAGTATGCATCAACCTCTCCCCCCCCCCCCCTTCAATAAAAACTATGAAGTGACGTCTTTTCATGCTCTTTTCATGATCGAAATAATAACTAACTGGCCTTCTTTTTAGCAGGTAATGTTATGGAGATGTAGCAAAGCCCTGCCAAAGGAAATGAGCGGGACGGGACGCTAGGAGGAGAGGAAAATGAGATCATGTTTTTGACCCTGGTTCAAAGTTCCTGGTTCTTTTTCAGTTTGTAGGTCCTAATATGCTAGGTTTTTCACAACCGATCGTTACCGCTGCTCTGGAGCCACCTCAAACCAGATTAGTGAAGACATCTCTTTAGAAATAATCCTATTCTTTAAAATGCTGAAAGCATTTGATAAACAACATCTAACAATCAACCAGGTTCAAGGGAGAAATCAATGTCTTCATTTTGCCCAAAATCTATAAATGAGCACCGTCCTAAATGTGGGGCATTACTTCAAAAAAGGAAGAATTTTTTATCTGTAAATAGCTAAACGTTGTGAGGTTAGAGCCAACTTGCTATAGATAGGAATTAAAGCTTTGTCTACATAACAGGGGTACAATGAAACCATGTTCCCTACACTTTTCAGTGTGATGCATTGTTAATGATTGATAAACAAACCTTATCCTCTATATGGCCACATCTGTTTAAAATCAAAGCACAGCCCCTCCTGTATATTGTTGCTTGGAACTATGCTTAGAATTAGAAGCATTGAAAGTTGGCCATAAATTCTCTTAAGGAACAATCTTTTGAAATCGGGGTTGGATATTGAAACGTAAAGCAAACATTAAGGAAAAGATTACGTTCTGATACACTGAAAGGAAATCTTTGCATTCTGTTTTGTTCCATTTTCCTTAAAGAAAAAACTGCAATGCGTTGCATTTATTTGACTCTTAAAGTTCTATTACTAGAAACTGAAAATTAAACAGTCTTTGAAGTTCTGAAATTTTTTGTGTTGAAAATTCTTCGATTGTTCTTTGACTAAATCATTTTTCTTTATGCCTTTCAACAGCTCCTTAGCTTAGCTTGTAACTGGAATATAGACTGTGGCTACTATTGAGAGAACCAGGAAGAAAGTTTGTTTTTTTCAAGGCTATACTTTGAACTGTTCTCTTTCAATGCAAAACTTTTTACAGTCAATGTGTGTTCTTTACACCAAGTCTAAATTTTTGAAGCAATCCCACCCCGTTATGAACTCGAAAGAAGGATTAAATAATTGGGTATATAGAGGCGCGAATGTGCCAATTTGAGGGGTATATTTCCATAATATGACTACAAGAATTTTCGACAATTGGGCAAATAGACGCAATTATGGGTATATATTTCCTCATTTTGATAGGAATAATGCTAATGACTTACATGAAGTCTTCCGAATTTCGGCCAATAAATGGCTTAATCCAGGTAAAGCCTTATATTTTGCCGTAAAGGCCTACAAAGACAGTCAATAAATAAGTAGATCCATTTCTTTTTAAGATGTAAAACCTGGAGTTTGAGTCATATGTTTTATGCTCCATTTAAAGACTCGCACTAACAGCCTAAGCGTTTCAGTACAGTTAAAAAGTTTAAAACAACTAATTATGTTTGGAATTGAGACTAGCTCTTGCAAAACAGTCTCCCCTAATGGTTTTTGCAGCCCTGAATTTTCTTTAAAAGAACCTTTGCAATTGATGAAGGTGAACTTATTCGTATGGAAGAGCAATCAGCTTTTGACATGTTTTAGGTTGACTAGTTGAGAAAACAAAAGTACGTTTGATGTATAGACTATTCGAAAGTTTGTGATTTCATCCTTCATAATTTGATAACACATAGCAGCAAAGGGGTCTTCTCTCTATTGCGAACCAATCTATTTCTTTGGTTTTCAGAAAAGGTAATACACCCTTGCTTGATAACCGCGGCTATTTGTGGCCATTTGCAAAAGAACCATCTCTGTGTCCATATTAGGTTGATCCGTAAAAGGCTTAAAGGGCTCGAGAATTTAAGGGAAAGTCCTCAAAAATTTGGTAGGGTAAAGGGTTAAAAAACAGAAAATTCATTCCGCAAAATTGTGGAGAAGGTCTCATACACAAAACAGGACATATTCTGAGGTAATAGTCTTCCATGAAAATTTCTTAAGCACATAATTTGCCTCTTTAAGGTACGCAAACTTTGAAGTCATGTTATATACCATATACGCCACGTGTATTGGTCATGTGACCTATAAATGACGACTGCCAAGACACTGTTAACGTTGTTCCTGAGGGCAAGGGCAAGAGGGTTGTAATGCTGGAGAAAATAAACGATAAGAAAAAAATAATATCCAGATTTCCAAGGGCTTTCAGCAATCATGGTAGTTGCAAAAGGGAAATGTGAAACAAAAGGCAGAGCAATGGTAGTCTATAAAAATATGAAAATAATCCGAGTTCTGGATAACTAGTTACAAATAATTGGCAAGTGATTAGAAATAACAGCTAGCAAACCCAAGTTATCTTAGAGAAAGACATGAATAAAAATGCAATCTGATATTAAAACATAGAGCTCATACAAAACATATAATCAATGAAATGACATGACTGAAAAACGTGAGTTGTCAACACGGTTGAGAATAAAGCTATGATAAAAAACAAAAGCAAAGGATCAGTTATCAAAAATAAAGGATATGAAAATAAAGATCAATCTATTTAAACTATTCTTATTAAAACTTATGAATTTTATGGCCAGCCTAGTTTATATAAAGACTATATATAAAGACAGATTTACCGGGGGATGTGGAGGTGTGATGCTAATAATATTGTGTTCTTCTGTAAACTTTGCTTTAATTCTGTAAAAAGCAATTTTGATATACAGTAGTATCGAAATGATGCAAAAAATTACTTCATCTATCTTCCTTATATTAAAGTTACAAACTTAATTTCAAAAATGGGCGTTTCCATCGTTTTCCAGTCACATGAAGGGTGTGACAGCAAAATAAAATCATCATCTAACACCCCCACCTCAAATCATTGCCGCTAAAATCCATCCCTAGCTATGTACACTTCAAACATATTTACTGCAATGATAATAGCAATGATAATAAAAGGCTTAAGAGCTAATTAACCCATTTAAGAGATCTAAGTGGATTAAATAAGGATATTTGAATCTATCAAAAATCATCATAATAGTCAACATAAAGTGTATCCAGCTTAAGAGACTTGAGGAAGAAAATTTTAAGTTTAGCAAATTCTGTTGTTAAAGGCAGGCATGTTTTAGAAATAACATTATATTGTAGGGCTTTGCAGTTATAACGTTTATCACTATAATAAATTTAAAAGGAGAGTAAAGTTTAAAATATCAAAGATTCAAAAATTGATCATACGGAGCCTTTAAGTATCCTATTATGGCTATTTCAAATAAAATTTAGCAAATACCTGAAAACATAATTCTAAAATTAAAGAGCAAACTACATACATTACTAAACTTGAAAACTTGGTTTTACATTAAAAGTCATCATCAATGAGACTCGTTGACTGATTTGTTGTGTCTTTTCACTCGACCCATCAGAAGTCTAGTGTAGGCTGCAAATAGTTCCTTTTCAAATGTTTCAGTCAACTTGTGATCAATCCACTTTTTTAGTTCCTGTAAAACATCATGACATACAATTTTTGCAGCTGCTTCAACAACTTTCACATGAATGTCATCTGTCAATAATTTTGAAAGTACCACAAAAGCATTGGTACTGCAATGTTCATGAAAGTGGCAAATGAAAGCATTAACAAGCTCTGACTTTGATGACAAAAGTGCTTGCTTAAAAAATGGATCATTTTTCTGCTTTAAATCACCAAACTCTATAACATCATCAACACCAGTTACAATGTTTCTCTCGATATAGTCAACAGCCTTTTTCACAGCATCTGGGATGAGTTCTGTTACAGCCTTTGCCTTCATATTGCTGCAAAATCTCTCAGCTACAAAATCTGTGGTTTCCTTGAAATATTTAGGCTTGAATTTGAAGAAGTCGTGAATCATTGTATCTTTTAGCTGTTGTTTTGTATCAACAGAAGAAGATATCTTTTCTCTGTGTGTCAGTGGTTTTATCTTTCTAACTGCACCTACTCCTGTGCTCATCAAAACTGATTTTAACTCACTGAGATATGGGCAAAATCTTATCAGGACTGACTTTGAAATAATGCCACTGTCATCTAAAGAAAGACAATCCTTTGGTGAATCTTTATAACCATCCACTTTTTGTACAAGCATTTGGTAAAAAGGTATTTCTGCAGCTATCTTTGGCTGTTCAAACAGCCACCCAAGATGAAGAAGAATGAAAACATGATTAAGAAATGTGCCTTTTTCTTTGAACTTATAACAAGGTAATCTGTATAAGGAAGCCAAGTATTGAAAAGTGGACAAATTGGTTTTTCGTTTCAGTGACAATTCATCCATCATACTAAGATACAGTACAAGCCATGGTATTGTTACAATCAATCTTCTAGTCTGGTTCGCTTGACACAAAATTGCATGTGGATCAAATGGCTGAATGTCTGCTTTTGCTTCTCCAAATTCTTCTGTTTGGCTTTTTGACCTGCTGTCTGTTTCATATGGAGAAAAGACAACAAATCCTAAAAATTTAGCAAGGGTTCTTGCCTTTGCGATATGCATTGAATAATCTCTTCTTACTTGCTGCATAGAATCTGTGTCCTCATTGCTTTCCAAATTCCCACTTTCCAATTGAAAGTCGGACTTATTTATCTCAAGCAGATGAAAGAGTAATGCATCCTTCAAATGCATTGAGAAATGATAATTGCAAGACCTTTCAGCAAACAGTCTGAAAAACATTTCTGCATCTGAGAAGTATGGCTTTGGGCAAGGTCCCTGCAATATCATTGGTACCACAAATCTTTTTTGTAGCTGCTGTAGCTTTTCAGGGTTGGTCTCTTTCATGTATGTAAGGAGGCTAGTAGATACACTGTCGTCTCTATTTCCAATTACAGAAAAGTCTTGTGAGCCAAGTTCTATTAGCTGTGCAACAAAAAGCTGGCTGAACTGTGCATAAGCAGGGAATTCTCTGAATTCAAAGAAAAAACTTTGAAACTGTTCACCAAGCTCTTTTTCCAGATGCCATGCATGGTTGGCATGATTTTCTTCCCAAACTCGTACCAGCCCATAAAACTTGTCCCTCATCTTAGAAAATGAATAAAAATGGCGATCACTTATAAACGTCTTGCGATTGTGTCCTTCAATAAGAAATGGAACACCAAGAGATGTTGAGGTGTTAAACAATTTAATACTTGAGCCACTTGATGATCCCAATTCATTCAGCTCAATCTTTGAAAACTGGACTAGATCTGGTGCAAAACTTTGTAATCTCTTGTTCTGTGAAATCTGAATGAGTGTTCCCATATCCAATATTGCAGTCAATGAGGTTACTCCATCAAGAACTTTGGCAGCAAAATATATACAGCTTTCAACAGATTCAAATATTACTTCATCCTTTTCTTTTGGTTGATTATCTCTAATATTGCAATTAACAACACTGAACAGGAAATATAGCTCCATACAAATATTACTGATCAGGTTTTCAAGCAATATAAATTTATAAACCTCAACAAAGGCATCCAACTGTTTCTTGTCTGATATATGTTCAATAGAAACAACATCTGAATATTCATCGATGAAGGACTCTTTAAGACACATACTGGAAGACTGATCAACACTTTGATTAATTTCAGAAGATTCCTCTAAGCTTTCATTAACTGACAACATTTCGATTTCTGAAGCTATTTCATTTGGTGTTGAGGTGGCTAATACAGCTGGTATCTTCTTCTCTTCACTGGAAAGGAAAGCTGATAGAGGGATCTTGTTTGTGTTTCGCTTTCTATTTCTCATTGACTTCTCAAAGTTTTTAATTTTCTTTTCAAACAGTGAACTGTTGCAAGATGATTCGCTAGAATCTAAACTTGACTCAGAAATATCTATCACTGGTGAGCTTTCAAAAAGACTTCTAGTTTCATTATTTTTCTGTAGTGGCTCTTTGTCTGGAGTAACAAGAGTAGGTGTAATCCTTCTTTTCTGATTTTGCCTGTTTATTTGTGGCGTTGAAGTGAGTGGAGAGTGCATTAACTTGTTATTTTCATCAAAACCTCTTGAAATGAATTTCTTCTCTGGCATTGGCTCATTGCTGGTGTTTATACCATTTAGGCCCACCCTCTTTGGTTTCTTCAAATGGTTCCCCTTTCTATTCAAGCTTTTACTACCATTCTCCTTTGATCTGAACGATAGAGAATTTTCAAGAGACTTGGAACCTCCGTCAAAACTTTTTGATTTTTGCTTCTCATCTTCATTGTTGAAACGTGATGTCAAACTTGTTCGCGTACGAATTCCATTTTTTCGACTAGCTGCACTTAAAGAAGCAGACCTCTTAGGCGAGCAAGAAGCTAGTTGTTGTTCTGAAAGGTTGCGCGAAAGTTTGCCCTTTACGAAATTCAGAAAATGTGGCACTAACTCTCTCACGATACTGAACTCATCCTGATGCAGTTGAATGTTGTTGTTCGATGAAATTTCATCATGCTTAATCCCATTAATAATTGCATTGTGATCGATTGATCCCTCTATTAGAGCATTTAGGAGATCCTCAGCCATTTATTGACGTGAGGTTGAAAGTAACAAACAGAATTTCGCATAACAGTACAGTGTACTTGCCTGGGACAAGCCGGGCGAGCATTTCCCGCCAAAAATCTGGTGGTAAGCCAGGCCTCTTGCTGGTGTCCTTTTGATTTAGTCCTTCTCCGAATTAGATTTCTGACCTTTCCATGATCTTTTCAATAAAAAATTTGGGTAAAAGTGGAAGCTTGATTATGCTTTGTATCGATCTTTGCGTAAATAGCAATAACAGACCTTACGCACACTGAAAGCACCGAGCCAGTTTTCATTTCTTAGGCCAGCATTATTACAGCCTCGCTTCTAATGAAACGATGACGTCACAAAATCTATTTTTAGAATTTTGGATTTCGAAAGTATAACCCGAGAGAAGACCATAAAACAACTCTGAACTGAATGTGCAAAATAAGTTAGGTCTGTTTGAGATATAGCCCCATGATTACAGATAACCAAGGAAAAATAACAGTAAGAAAATTTTCATTGACCATACATTATCACAAGAAATCTACAGCAAATTTAACTTACGTCCTTCACCGTGCTCTTTCTTGATCAAAAATTTAAAAGCTCTAAAAATGTCTGTTTATGAAGACATTACTTTGCCACTCTAACTGGGCATGCCAACCCCCTTTTCAAAGACGTAGATATTCGAATTTCTCCACGCTGGAAGTATTGTGTAAGTTAATAATCGACCAGAATCAACATCAGTGCACCGTTCGCGTTCTCTATGAACCTAAATGAACCTAGACAATTGATAGCTGCAAACCAAATGGATTTAGCAATAGATGAAGTAAAGATAGCTGCAAACCAAAGTACCAAAGGGATTCCACAGTCATTGAAGTAAAGCTAGTTGTGATCATTTGCAATAAACTTGGATTCAGGTATAAACGTTTAGCTTTCTCCTTGAAGGCTCCTTCGCAAATAGCCCTACATTTTCCAATCATTATACAGCTAAGGATGATCACAGTCATATACTGTGGGAAAAGAGTGAAATAGCCAAAATGTAATCTTACAATATTTAAAAGAAAAGTTTTTCACTAAATCAGATAGGTTAAAACTTATTGCAAGATTTTTAGGGTAGATTTTTCGTTAACAGGTCTATGCATTTATTTCGAACTAGTCAAATAGATTTAAAGCGACCTTGTATGTAAAAGATTTTAAGGAGAATGTGTAATGAAAACGTATCTCACGTGATTCCAGAAAGCTAGATCTTCGAGATCACGCCATTTTTCTATGCAGCATTTCAGTCCTCTAATTGAACTAGACGACTCTTCGTGGGATTATTCATAGCTGGGACGTATCCATCGCAAATATCTTGGTCACTCCTTCAAATATCAAAGTAATTCAAGTCTAGTTCAGAGTCCAGAACATTTTTGTCAATTTTAGGTTGTGGTCATCTTAGCTTATGAAAGCTGACATTCTTTTAGCAAAAAAAATGCAATGCTCATAGGAAAGAAATCTGGTGAAAGTTCTCAGGAATGGCAGTGATTTCGTCGATAATTATGCGTTTTGAATTTTGCCTTTGTTTAATATAAGTGTCTTGAAATTTTAAACTCCAAAAGATAAAACTTGCTTTTTGTCGACTGTCTACAAGATTTGCGTCGTTGCGCAGGCGCTTTCCCGTTCCATACCTCCGCCACAGCACCCGCAATATTCCTCTTAAAATCGTGGAATATTAGGCCTAGCTTGGCTGTTGCCCCACAATCTAAATCTTTCTATATCCACGACATACGGCCTCAAAATGGGAGAACAGATGCGATTAAAAGGAACACTTAAAGGCCATACTGGATGGGTTGAGCAAATAGCCACAACTCCATTAACTCCCGATCAAATTTTGTCTTGCTCAAGAGGTAAGCGTTATCTGTACTTTTAAGATATATTTTGATTGGTTTTCTAATTCATTTATGTTTTAAATCTTGTCGCACAAAATAAAATACTAACTAGCTCTTAAATGTATTTGTCATATCTGAGCTAGTCTCCTGCAGAACGTGCTTGTAAATATAAAAAAAGTACTTGTCTATCGACAATGTTTGTTCGTTCCAAAGTTAGGGATGATACAGTAAATGGGAATAGCCCCCACCTCATCGTCATTTAGAATTTTGAATAATATTTATGAATATTTGAAAAACCGGCTTTTGGTTAGCGCAATTTCGTTTATTGTATTCAACTAAAGTAAGTCTCATTTCCTAATTTATTCGACCCTGAAGCACAAAGGCTTCAAGCCATGCCTCTTATCTTATTATCTGTCGTATCATAGCCTTGCATCATTTAGGAAAATAAGAATCGAAAAAGGTTTTTATGTTATGGTTGCATAGAATCTTAAGACATTAATAGTGAATGCAATTTCTCGTAGATTTTTTAAATATTTGTAGGCCTAATTAGATATTTGTTTTTTGTGAAGGAAGTTATAAGTCACTGTATGCAGTAAAGGCACTGAACTACACATGAAGGAACTAAAACCTCATTTCTGAAGTCACAAGTCATAATTTTTTCCCTTAGCCATTTGCAATATTTATCAATTTTTAATTATATGGCATAGCATTTTTCACCATTCAGGTCAACTCATGCTACTAACTACATTGTGTTAATTTTCTAAAAACATAATAATGACACTAAGGGTTGTTAACATATTTAATAAAAACATAATAAAAATTAGCAATGTAAATATCACCATCATAGTTCCAACGTTTAATATCTTCAAGAAATGAAACTTCAAATCAAGTTTATGATGAAGTTAAAGGTCTTATAAACAGTTGGCAAAGTAGCAAAATTAGCCAGGGGGTTGTAATATTTCTGTTATTTTTCAGTCTGTATTTGCTTGAATGACCACACTTTAATTACAACCCCCTTAATTTACTTGTGTGGTGGCAGTAATGCTTTTCTTATCCAGACTGAAGACTTTGCACCTAAAAAAGACAAGTTCTCAACTTTGTAACTTTTTCCATCCCACCATTTTTCCGTTGCAAAGCCTATTAATACACCACAAACTTGGTGTTTGTAGGCTTCATCAATGATGGGATCAGAAAATGGCTTTTAGAATGGTGTTTTTTGACAAGTATGTTGGGAATAAGCATTTTGAAGACAGGGTATGACCCCTGGGAAGGTTTGAGAAAGCAGTGAATTTTAGTGAGACTTTCTCAGTTTCTTTTGTGTTATCTTGGTTCAAGCACTGAGTTTGTATAAATGTCACTTTACTGATGAAACCAACCAGCTCACTTTGAGGTGGATAAAAAATATTTTCACCCTTGAAACTTTTATTTTTCTGAAAAGTGACAAATCAGTTGACATTAATGAATTTCTTAGATTTGATGCGTGCAAAAACTTCATAGTTTCATTCTGTTTCAGATAAAACTTTGATTCTCTGGGAATTGACAAGAGATGAGATGAATTATGGCTTCCCCAAACGATGCTTGAAAGGACACAATCACTTTGTGTCAGATGTTGTCATGTCTTCAGATGGACAGTTTGCTCTGTCTGGTTCCTGGGATAACACCCTTAGGCTGTGGGACCTAAACACGTATGTATAACATAAACAAATTTTAAACTTGAAAATGGCTAAGGAACCATTTTGCTTGAGAGACAAACTCCTCCTAAGGAAATCGTTGTTATTGATATGATGCAATGGATGTCACTTTAATGATGAAAACCAACCAGCTCACTTTGAGGTGGTAAACATTTTTTCACCCTTGAAACTACTACTATCTGAAAAGTGACAAATAAGTTCATGTTTTTTAAACCTGTATTTTATGTTAGGGTTTGTTCAGCAAAGGATCTGTTAATTTTAAATCTAGGCTGCTTCTAGAAAAATTGACAAGCAGTTTTAAACTCTTCTCAATAATACACATATTTTTATATATCCAGCTGAGTAGACAGGTTTTAGATTCATAATGCTCATAATCTAAGCATGTGAACAAGATTTCAGTAATAAAATAAATCAAAGCAGCATTTACAACCACTCTTGTATTAGAATGTTGGTAATGATTAAAAAAAATCTGTAAAAATACCCTCCTTACTATATCCAAAGTATATATATGAATCAGCTGAATCCCTTTGAAAAAGAACAAAGTTCTTGATCCATCGCAAACATTTTTATTATAGCTGAAATAGTTTCCTGTACTTATAAGCTAAATGCATGAATGCAAAGTAGTGCTGCTGCATCATTTCTAGAGAACTTTTTTCAGAAGAGATAGTTGATTTTGTAAAGAGGACTTTCACATCTGAATTCATGTTGGAGAAAGCAAGTTACCTGAATATGGTGCATGCTACATCGGATTTGTGTTGTCTTTTCAGAGGTAAAACTACAAGAAGATTTGTTGGACATACCAAAGATGTCATGAGTGTGGCATTCTCTGCTGACAACAGACAAATTGTTTCTGGATCAAGGGACAAGACAATCAAACTATGGAACACCTTAGGAGTCTGCAAGTACACCATCACTGTATGTGTTTTTGTTTTTATTTTCACACAGTTGTAGCTCAGTGAAGCTTGGATCCAACTTAGAATGGACAAGCAAAATTTGAAAGGTTCACTGAGAAAGGTTTAAGCATTTCACAAACTGAAACAGAGCAGAAACATCAGCTTAATCCAGTTAATGGAGATGTTGCTTTTTGTGATGTTTTGATTCCCTTGCACCACTGAGATGTTAGCAATTTGGTTTCACGTTGTATCAATGTACTGAAGAATTTTGGGTGTTGTCTGTTTATGTATAGATTTGCTTTTTACATCTATCAGGCATATAAGTACACCTTGATTTGTCAAATGTCCCATTATTTGTTTGATATATGGCTTGGAAGGAAATTGAAGTATCTTTGTGTGAGGCTTTTTACTGTGCAATTTTTTAATGTTGGGATGTGGAAAGGTGTTAAATGAATGTAGATGGGATGAAATTATTATTTCCATTTGGCATATACTGTCAAGCAAAGGTAGTGCATAACATGACTGTATTTGGAACACAACACACACAATTTTACTGCATTGCACACACAGTCTAAGACCATTGTGTTCAGGGGATATTTGTCTGGTTTTATCTTGGAGTTGTGCAAAATGCATCATATCCCACTCCACAGTTGCAGCTTTGAATAAATGATCAATATTATTTTTTGAAAAAATGCTGTCCAAGGGTAGGTCTAACCCTGCTGAAAAAAATCCACAGAAAGAGTTGCTGGTCTCCCATCAAGAGAGAACCTTTTCATTGGAATTATCCATCCCAGCTAACTAAAAGTTATTTTGCCTAGTTACTGTGACTCCACAAGCCCCCTTCCTCCCTATTTCCTTGCACACCAACATATGCTTTTTGACCAACCTCTTCTCCTTTTTATATATGTGTAGGTTTGTTTGTGATTGACCCAAATCAAATTATACACCGACCTTTACCATGTATCATTTCATAAACTTGTATATACTTTTCTGTTTATTTTAAAGGATGATTCACACACCGAATGGGTCTCTGCTGTACGATTTTCGCCAAACACCTCAAACCCAATTATTGTGTCTGCTGGTTGGGACAAAGTTGTCAAAGTTTGGAACCTTACCAACTGCAAACTGAAGACCAACCACTATGGACATAATGGATACTTGAATACAGTGACAGTCTCACCTGATGGTTCCCTTTGTGCTTCTGGTGGAAAAGATGGCCTTGCAATGCTTTGGGATCTCAATGATGGCAAGCACTTGTATACCTTGGACAGTGGTGATGCTATCTCTGCACTGTGTTTCAGTCCTAACAGGTATTGGCTCTGTGCTGCTACTGGGCCTAGCATCAAGATTTGGGTGAGTATAATCAATCCATTGTTAAATCTTTTAATTTATTTTGCCAAAAGCAGTTTCGAACAATTAATTTCATCAATATTACATTGTTTTGTTTGAAGAAGAACAAAATCATTCTGAATGCGAAAATGAATGCTGGTTGATGATGAAATGGAAACAATAAGTGTTAAATGTTCAACTTCAAACCCAGTGCTGATAGAAACTGCTTTATGATGAAAACCTACCAGCTCACTTTGAGGTATCCAATGTGTTGCCTTTGAAAACAGGTTCTTCTGAAGGCAGTAAATAATGCAGTTATCTGTTTGAATGACTTGTTGTTATATCTTTTGCCTACATTGTACATAACACCAAAGGGAGAGTGGAGAACCTTGCATAAATTGAGTCTATTGGCACAAATGTCTTTGACTTTGGGCTTTTTGTCTTAAACAAAAGTTTGATTGGTCAGAAATATGAAAGGAGGATCTGAATCTTCCCATACACAGGCCTTCCCAGGAAAGTTGTTTGATCGCACTCACAGGCACAGGTACACGCCTCCCCACACCAAGGAGTGTGTTTAATCGCACACCTACTTTTGTTATATTTTTTTTTTGTTTTTTAACCAAAGCATCGGAAACTAAAAAGGTGACAAAAAGGCAAGAAATTGTTTGGTGTTGTTTTTTATATGTTTTACCGGTCTTGCAAACCATCCTGAGTCCCCAAAATCATTTTGAAACACAGAAAAAATTATTGTTGCATCAGAGCTAGTAGTAGTCTGGTAAACTTCATTCTTAGGCTGCAGAAACCATTATTATATGACAATTTGCAATCATCTTCTAGCCCAGTGCTTGTAAATGCTAAGTCCCATTTTTTCTCATGTGCTAATTTATTCCCAGGAAGACCTGCATACATGATTTTCTACCAATCATAGTTGTTTTCAAGCTACTTTATTTGCTATTACCTTCTCTGTTTTTCTCTCCAAAAAGTATGACAGTAAGTTATTAACTATTAGTGTTATGTGCAAGGACCTCCATTTGAAACTTTATACTATAAACATATGTATGGTAAGTGGGATTCTCTGTGAAAGGTGTTTTCATATTGGTGATGTTTTACTGTTGTTTACAGGATTTGGAATCAAAATCTGTTGTTGACGAGCTGAAACTAGAGGTCATCAGCATGAGCTCAGGCAAAGACAAAGGCGCTGACTGCAAATCTCTTGCTTGGTCAGCAGATGGACAGACCCTGTTTGCTGGCTACACTGACAATGTCATTCGTGTATGGCAGGTTCAAAAGAATGTATAAAACTCTCAACAAGCATACCAAAATGCAATGAATTAAGAAAATTCTAAAAACAGAAATATTGTAATAATTGTTTTCTTGTGTCATCTCTTTTCCTTTATTGATAGTTTGATAAACAAGGGTTGAAAGTTTGATAAACAAGGAATGTGAACTGTGCATAGAAGAACTGAAGTATCTTCTTCTATTCACAGGTATCTAAAATCAGCACCAAATGCAAAAGCGCCTTTAATATCAATGAAAAGGATTTTAGGATAAGAAAGCATATAATAAATCAGTTAGTTAGTTAGTAGGATACATCTATCTCTAAAACTGTTCACTAGATTGTACATAACTGTTCACTAGATTGTACATTGATAGGTAAGTTGCTTCCTCAAGAGATGTGATTTTGTTATGGCAACGACATAATAAACTCAGATACTATGCTGCTATTAAAAACTGCTGATCTTGTTCTCATGTCTAATCTTAAACCTTAAATTAAACCAACATCAACATATTTATAGAAAAGTTAGACTCAGAAGCACGTTTAGAGGCAGTAGCCTTAAAAGCATCTAAACCTGTGGCATTGGTAGAGTGAAAAGCTTCAAATTAATAGTACTACTAGACGTTTAAGTTTTTGATAAAAACGTTCCTCTAAATATTTAAAAAGTGTGGGTTTCATGTATGTTTTTTTGACATGTCAAAATAACAGATCTGTTATTCCTTTAAAAAGTCTATTTGTCGATTCTAGGAGAAAGGTTATTGTAGTCATATCCCATTTTCTTGAAAGATGCATCTGCCTTTACTTCAAGCAGTTAACTTTCGGTAAAAATTCTAAAAAATATCGACAACACCCTTCAAAAATTTCTTACCAATGGATGAAATAGAAAAAAAAAGACTGGCCAAAATTAAAGCACCAGCTTGTGATACCCAGTAGTTGGTAACTGCTCGGAAATGTGGACTTAGCTTCAATTATTATTACCAGGAAATAGCTTTGGCTCAATCGATAAGATTAGGTATGGAAGCAAGATATAATGTTGCAGCTATTGATTTTATTGGATAATTTTCTAACGCAAGTTTCTTATTTGTTTCAATATTTGTTTATTTAGTTTAATCATAGGTACTTAAACAGCATGTGCAATTAACATGCATGCATACTTACTACTTCTCTGCTTTGCAGAAAATAATGAAATAATACAGTACCTTATTATCGACTGTTTCTTTGCCGGTGGCCTTTTCTTCTGACCACTAAGTGTGTGTAAGATGAAATTAACCTTATACACTTTGTGGTCAGAAGTCAAACACCATTGAGAAGGGGGCTATAGCCCCCACTTTTTGCCAAAAAATGCAATAAATCTACCAATGGATCAAATCAAAATAAATCAAACTACTTTTTATTTGGTTTTAGCCCCCTCACTATTTCAGCCCTCCCACTGTTCTCAACACACCGCGGTGCCTGAGAAGCACTTGCATTTTGACCCTTCTAATATTGTGCGCCTACAGGGATGCCAGATTAGATTTTGGGGTGAGGAGGACTCCAGACAGTTTGGCAAGCTTTTATGGTAATTTTCCACCACTACCTTCGATATGATGACATTAATATCACACTTCAGCAAAAAATGAGGGGATTACAGCCCCTCTTTCCCCCCGGCTCCGGCGTGCCTGGCCTAAAGTCTATTTGGCACCTAAGAAACAATCAGTGTCCATTCAAATGGTACCAAGACAAATGGTACTAAGACAAAAAGTTGCCTCTTATTGAAACCGAGACTTAAGGTAGGCCATGAGTCAAAATATCCACATGGCGACCTAGTTGTAATCTAGAACGCTTCTTCAAATGGGGAAAATGACGAAGAGAAAGCAGAATGAAAGTGGTTGGAAATCTGTAGAAAAAGGAAATGAAAATGAAAGCCTCAATTCGAATGGCACAATCCCAGAAAAGGTAATTGAAAGTGAAACCACAAGAGAGAATGTGCAATTTTATTTGCTTTGGACTATTTAACTTGAGGGACATTTTAATATTTGGAGACTAAAAGAGCTCTTAAATTTTGGTACCAAGGTTCATGTACCAAGTAGCATCACCTAGTAAAACTGCTGTTATAGAGAATTACAATCTATCAATAATGTCCCCTGATTCCTGAATTTCCACTAGAGTGGCGTCGCCTTCTTGGTGCACTTTTTCATACTAAAGCTAATAAAAAACTTTAACCAACGTATAAAAAATTTATTTACCATTTACAGCTTTCCAAATGTGTGCTTTATATCTTCCAAGTATTAACAAATAACCGATTATTTTCATTGACGAAATCTAGGCCGGTCGCCCTTGTGGTGCACCCAAAAATTACAATTTTTACAGACTTTAAAAATTAATAAACTTTTTGAATAATCAGTTCTTCAAAAACCAGGAGGGAAATTCCCCCAAGGTACATTGGGTACCATCTCTGATGTTTTCTCAAAAAATTTTAGTGAAATTTTAAATTTCAGGTTTATCTCAGTGTCCTAGGCAATACTGACAAACATTCTTTTTAGAATCTTTTAATTATTCTTTATGCTTATAAAAATAAGTAAGTAGATCTTTAATATACATGCTGTTTGCTAAATGAAACTTGAATTTCGAATCAGTTTTACCATACGAAATACACAATCAATCCTGCCAAGAACTGGGGATGGGCATGTCCCCCAATTTCTTTTATTATGCGACCATTGCTGGACCATAGATTGGAGATTATTGAAGGAGAGTGTTTTTTCCAAAAGTTAATTTGCAGAAAATATAAAAACATTAATATTTTTTCCCAAGTTTTCTACCTATTTCAGTCATTTCATTTTTTTCATTTCATTTAGTTTTAAATTTCCAATACATACAATCATCATTCAATATGCAACAAGTGACTAAGAGTATATCACAAGAATACAAAAGATGGAAGACAAAAAATTGCTATAAAAGAATACAGAAAATTGATATTTGTATCTAGGAATTCTTAAGGAGGGGCTCTCTCAATAGATAAACTAATTGAGGAGAGAGCACCCCTTTTCTAACTCATGATATCACATCTGAGTAAAAAAAACAAAAAAACGCAAAAGGTTCACATTAGGTTGTAAAGGTACTTTTCTAAGTTTTTTTCTAAATGAAAAATTAGATGATGTTTTAATTTTCTAATCTCCCTTGGTAACTCATTCCATAGTTTTACCCTCATATATCAAATTGAGCCCAAACAATATCCAAGTGTATTTTTGCCAATTAAATAAAGATCACCATGGTAGCATTGATGTGTTGTAGCGTTATGCCTTGCTGAACTAAATGAGAAATAGGGTGGTGTTAGGAGTTTAGTTGATTCATAGACAACCAGGTTAAGAGTTTGAGCTTAAAAATGTCTGATAATCTAAGCAAATATAAATCTTTAATTTAAGTCTATAGCTTCTGTTGTCCTTTTTACTGTTTCTTGACTCATAAATGTGCAAGTTTCACACAAAATGCCTCAGACTTGGTAGGTCACTATATTTATATAAGCATCACGTATCTTATACAAAGCAAAGTAACTTTAGTTGATTAACAATTATAATTTTATGTTTATCAGAAACTGAAATCTGAAGAAAAACTAGTTACAAGCAAAGAGGAAAGAGAGAGATTCCAACACAGTTTGTATCGACCACCAACTAGTGATGAATTAAATGACCTAAGGGAGACTGAAGATCTTTACAAAAATAATATATTCAGAATGCAGGTATCTATCTTTTGTCTTTTTCAATATATGTTTGAAATATTTTATAATGCTTTGCACTGAATGATAAATCTGCAGCCATCGAAAGAAAATCATCCATTTTAAAGGGTCACATATTTTATGACATGCCAAAACTTTTTGTCTAACACCCTACATAATGTAAAATCTCAGAATATTGATTGAATGTTCTAGACCAGGAAATATATTAAGTACCCAAAAAACTTGAGCAGGTGAATGGTAAGGTTGCCCAATCAGCGTTGTTTGCCTAATAAAAAGGTGAAAACAAACCCTTTCTATCTACACAAAAAAGGTTTTTTCTTTATCATGCACATCAGTTCCAATACTGCCACATGAAAGGATGAACCAGGTTCTGTCACTTATGGGGAACTGGTTGCCATTATGGCTTTCGGCATATTACTGTCTATGGCAATTGCACATAAATATCAGCTAACCCTTGTGAATGGTGAAACAGTCCTGTTTGGGCTTGATTTATAATCTCCATAGATGCAGATGTAGATGCTACTGTAAGTTATCTTTTTTAGATATCCTATCTACTTGAAGAGGTTAAGATGACTGACAAAAAGAGTTCCTCTGTTGAAGAATTTCTTCGTTTACTACATAAATATTTGAATAATCTGGATTCAACTGAAAAATTTGATGTAAGTATGCACTCAGTTGTAGTATGTAGCCAAACCCTAATCTTTGATGGTATGTTTTTTCAAAAGTTAAACTGAACAGCAGAACAGCAAGTAATTCTTAGTAGTATGTCAATATGTCTTCATTTGAAGACAAAACCAAAATTAAATTTAAGAAAGCTTACAGGTTACAGGTTATTATGCAGGGGTGGACAATGCCAGTAAATACCAGCAGCTCTGTCAATGGTCTCCTGCATTTGGCATGTGGTCTCTCAAAATGGAACTCTGACAACAGGGTTGGACAATGTCGGTTTAGAGATTTGGTTACCATAGTGATATATATGAACCCTTACCTAAGGGATATATAAATATAATTAAGTTTCCCTCTAACTAGATCTATTTTTAGCAGACAAAACCTATAGGAGCTGGTCAATATATTGTTGTTCAGAGTTTGATTGATAAAGTCTTCTTTCATGTATAAAAAGCACAACAACCTGCTGGACAAGGGAGCCAAAGAGATTTCATTTTCATTTCATTTCATTGTTTTTTTTTAAATTCAACATACATGCAAATCTAAGTACGAATAAAAATTTAACAAACAGTGAATGAAAATCTAAATATGATAGAGTAGAAGCAAATGATAAGTTTAAAAAACTGTAGGTAAATGTTAACTGGAATATTAGCAACAAAGTTCTGTTTAATTTGCACATACCAGAATTAGAGAAACTCCCGAGTAGTTTGAAACAAACGAGAGGCACAAACCTTTGGTTCAGAGTAAGTTTTATTAAACTCAAAGCAGGGGCTTGACAGGGCCTAACAAAAGACTTTTTAGTGAATAATTACAAGAAATTTTGAAGGCAATTTTTCAGATTCTTTTTAAATGGAAATTAAGATGGAGAGTTTCTTATTTCTACTGGAATTTAGATCATTCTACATGTTTTCCCCTGATAGCAAATGGAGTTCAAACCAAATTGAGGACTATTTTTGTGGGCCAAGATTACATCCCACAATTGGATTGTCTTCTATAATGTGAATGAATAGATGAGTTCAAAGAAAATAAATTGTGAAAGCAATTAGGATACCATGGCACCATAGACAGAGATAATTCAAGGTGTAAAAAAGGTGCATTTAGATAATTAGGGAAATTGTCACTTTGCAGTTATCAAAAAGTATATGTTATATTTCTTGAAGATTGTTAATCAGCTCTGTTTTTTGTTTTTGTAGATATCTGATCATTCCTGGATGCATGAAAATATCAAAGTTCCTATACCAGATTTACCTTCAAAAATCCAAAAAGGAAAAATTCAATTTGGGAAACCTTCTTGTATTAAAGTAATTGGAAGTTATTTGCTGAAAACTGCAACAAAGCCAAATTATGCAATTGACATTGGTGTGGGAATGCCTGAGGTATGACTTACGTTGGCATTGGCTTTTTGTCTCCAGAGGGACAGCAAAGCTTGTAATTGATATATGTGCTTTTTATTTTTCCAGTAATGTTGAAAAGTTCTTCCATTTTTTCATAATTTCTTTCAAGGACCATGTTTGCCAAGGAGCTTTATCAGTTTATAGTTTTGTCATGTTTCATAATGGGAGTCAGTCTCTCTTTATATCTTATTTTTTTTCATTAACTTGCATTTTTTGCTAACTGTGTATCGTTATTATCATTCCAAGACCTAACAGACCACCTATTTAGTGATTTTGATCTGGTATATTAATTTAAACAGGCCTTATTTGGTTTTTCATGATGGCCTCCATGGCATAGCTTCCATTTTTCTATGCAGTACTAAATATTTTTCAACTGTTGGAATCTACCTAAATATTGATCATTTTTTGTGCTTCTCTAGGAATCAATGCAAGCCAAAGATAACTTGAATTTCCGTTACCATACCAAGAGAGCAATGTACTTGGCCTTTCTTGCTTCCCATCTTCAGAAATGGAGTGAGGTTGCTACCATTTCATACAGCAGGATACAAAATCAACCTTTCAGACCAGTTCTTTGTTTAAAACCAGCAGGTTTGTATCAGTCAAATAGTTCTCTTACTGCACATAATGTTTTAAGTCATGAATATGGAAAAATGCAGTAACAAGCAACATATTTTGGTGGGTCATTGGTTTTGAATAGAAAACGCCATGAGACATTGATATGTTGGCATTTGCTTTCTGAGGCTTTTAGGAATCTTGTATTCAACAATTATTAATAGTTATCTGGAATCAAAATACAAAGACATGCAAAGGGCAGACTTTTCTGCAGTAATATGCTTTTAATTTACACCCATGAGCATTTGAGGCGGCTAATAAGCATCATTCTATCATATGATGTTTTTAAATGTTAAATAGTGTTTTTGAAAAACCCTATTTTGCAAACAAACATGCAAAGTTTGCTGTCATATCAGATGCAAAATGTGCAATACACCAAACACCCTGCTGGCTAAATCCTTGACATTGCTCTAAACAGTTTTTGTGGGTTACCAAATGTTTTTGATGCAAGGTTTTTCTAAAGATGATATGTAAATTCTAACTTACAAAAAATACTCAAAATCATTGTAGTACTAAACGTAGAACATCACATATATACAGAATGTTTTTTAATATTTTGTAGAAAACGTCGCATTGTATAAAGATTTATCTTAAGGCATGCTAAGAAGTAATTGGCATTTTAAAATTACATGGATTTATTTTTGATTTCTTCAGGAAAAGCTGGGAAAAAATATACCATAAAAATTCACCCGATGCTGCCAGAAAATATGTTCAAGCTATCCAGATTTGCCCCTCTGAAGAACAATGTCCGGTTAAGTTGGTACAATGGAAAGACTCTTGAAGACCCCAATGCTGATTTTGGTAATTTTTGCTCATAATCGATTTTATTCCGTGAAATGCCTCCTCAACCATCCTGACACAACTGTGTTACTATCCCGTTTTTAAGGACATGGTTTCAAAAACTTTCAAATTTCGAGACCCTAAACATACTCTCTGTTAGCTCTTTTAGATAATCGAAATTTGTAAAAAAAATTGTGAGTCTTTTTTTATTCAAATGCACTAGTTTTTTATGGCGGTGTCACTCGTGTATCCATTAGTGGTTTTCAGGGTTCAAAATATATTCTTGCAAGGTTAAGTGATGACTAACAGTATTATAAAAATGAAAAGCATTTTCTTCTTCACTAAGTTAATCGTGAAACAGCAGTTCTTCATTTTGTCTTCTCTCGGTTGCAGGATTTCCAACTCCAAAATACAATGCAAGTGTACTTTGTGACATGCTCTACGAGAATCACTTGACAACACTCTACGAGGCAACTGCCAGTTGTGAGGGCTTAAAAGACGCTATCCCGTTGCTAAAGGTTTGGCTCAAACAGCGAGGTCTTATTGAGGTATGAGATGTTGTTTTTGTATACTCGTCAGTTTATCTATTTGTATTTGTTTCTACCGAGCATCCGAAGGTAGTTTTAAAGACACCGAGAAGCTATGCTTATCGAGCAGTGTCCTGGTCCTTCCTCTCGATGTGACCACACCTCGTTATTCCTACGCCTGCAATTAAAGAGAGCTGGTGACTCTCCCCACTCTGGGTGAAAGTTTGGTCATGCCAGGGACTCGAACCACGGACCCTTGGGGCTGTAGTCAGCGCCTCAACTGAACCATCCTATTTTATGTATATACCAGAATTGGTATAGCAAGAAACGGGAAAGTTGTGGAAAGAATTTCCTGGACAGGCTATGATATTCAGTTAATGAGTAGTTTTCAGGTGGAGATGCTGCTGAATTATGAAAGCAAGGAATTAAACGATGATATGTCAAGTGTTACCATTGACTGACCTTGTCTTAAATCTTCAATACACAAGTCTAAAAAATTTACAGATCTTTTCAATCTCAAAATCAATGCTCATTTTGTTAATATCTAATATTTAGATTTTACGTTGGGCTTTATTTTGCAGGGAGAAAGTTGCTTTAATGGATTTCAAATGTCAATGCTGCTGTCTTATTTGCTGCAAAAGAAAAAAATATCCCCTCATATGAGTGCATTGCAAATAATCAGAGTTGCTTTGCAATACCTTGGTAAGGCGTTATTCTTTTAGACAACAGAAATTCACTGCCGTGCAGAAATTTCGCTTATTCATTGTTATGTTCACTGTATTTTTGCTGTTCTTCGCTGTTTATTGTGCTACACGTACTTCTTTGTTGGTTTTTCAGAATTATTTCACTTTTATCGATCATGAAACCGTATCCGTATTTAAAGGCAGTCTGTCCTCTCCGTGATTGGCTAATACTAAGTTAAAGGCCTCACCTTACAAGAGGGTCTTCCTCTGCCTATTTAGTATCCAACAATACTTTTTGTGGGTGAAAACAACAAAAAATTCATTATCTTTATATCATCGAAATTGACTTAGAAGTTTGACACCAGAACACAATTCACAGCAACTCGCTCAGGGAGTGTACGTGGTTGTTTATTCTGATTGGTTATTTGTACATTAAACCAACGATGCATGAATATCGTGGCAATGAAAAGAGATTCTGACAACAATGGGGGACAAACTGCCTTTAACTCAACTTTATGCTCCTCTTGGTCAATACAGTTTGACAGTATTTATTCATTTTTCACTGTTGTTTTAGGCCCTGTCTGGTTGTATGATATAGTAATGATTGAAAACCATTGCAATAACAGTGGTAGCCTTTTATTTATAATTTGCTAAACTAATATTACATGTAGCGAGGAATTTCCCATGATACTTTCTTTTACACTCCCAGATTTAATCAGTAAATTTAGTAAAGCTTAAACGTGTTTTTTCTAAGTGTCATGTAAACAATTTTCTAGTTGGAACCCAGCAATCTATTACTGATCTCGTTGTAGCTACATGTGATTGGGCAACCAAAGGAATCTCGTTGGCAGAAAATGACGACAACAATTCTCTGGTACGTTTCTTTTTCTTGCTATTAGCCTCCCTGTATCTTTAACGTTGTGCAGAGGTAGAGTAACTTCTTGAATAAGGGCATCCCCATGTTGGAGCAGATGGAAGACTTCAAGACCCACATGGATTATCACAAAATATCTCTCAAGATCAGCTTATTTGTGTATTGTTTGCACCTTTATTTATTTGTATGTATTTGTTATGCCTTTTAACATTTCTCTAGTCTGTGATTTTCTAACAAATTAGCAGAGTCAAACGGCATTGAAGATTTCAGCCACTAGCTGAGCACTTTCAAAGTTTTTTGGTTTACGTGTTTGATATTTGGTACCAATTGAAGTTTATTAGAATTCTTAATCGATGTCAATCAGAGATCATTACAGTTCTGCTAGGTAGAGGCGTCTAGTGATAATTGTTGTGATAAAATGGTGACCTTGAAAAGGGCCACTGCATCTCATTGATTGACTGCTATGATCTATTATGACGATAAAGCTTGCTTTCACGCATTAATTTTTGGTATTTTGCTTATCCATCGCTATTGCAGCCAGATTTGACAGAATTTCATTCTGTGTACGATGTCGTCTTTGTCGATCCCTCTGGGTACCTGAATTTGTGCTCCAATATGAGAAAGTCAACTTTCCGCCTTGTAAGTAAAACTCTAATTTCCATATTAAGAGCAATGATACTATTATTTTGTAAATTTGCTGGAACATTTTATTTGTTAGTGTAAAAACCAGAGCCTGGTTTTTGGCTGAATTCATTGTTGTTTATCGTTTACTCTTATAGGCAAAGTACGCATCAGTTATATCTATTTTATTTTCTTCTGCAGTGGTAAATTTCTGATCCAAAATGTTCCACGTAAAAAATTAATAATCACAGTGAAAAATTTTAGCATTTTTATTTTTTTTTGCTTTTTAGATGAATTGTAGTTTTATGCTGTTCCACACTGTATCAGACATGAATACATTCCTAATGACGCATAGCTCATTATTAGAACGATCCAGATAAAAGTGTTCTGTGAGCCATTTTTCAGTTGTAACCAAATACCAGGAAATAAAAAATTCAATTGTATTTCTGTTACTTATTAATTTGCTCTTTAATGATTGAAGAATTTTGCACGCAAAAGCAATCAAGCCACTCGGTATATACTTAGTAGGTTCTTCATTACTTCGTTTAAAAATTATCTTATTAACATTTCTGCAACATTTTCTGCAGCTGCAACTTCATGCAAAACTTGCGATCGAGGCCTTGCAGGACAGAGTTGTCAACAATTTCGATTCACTGTTTATGAAGCCTACAAAATTTGAAGAATTTTATGATCATTGGTTCAGGTTGGTTTCTTCAATAGATATCACGTGTTTTTTCACAAAATTCTTCAGCTTTGTTATCAAAGACACTCAGAAACCCAGCTGTTAAGTATATTGCTCGATGAGGTTAGTTTTTTTAAAACGTGCAACGATAAATTGGCATTTTCTTCTCAAAACTGTCAACAATATATTGAAAACAAGTGTTTTGTTTAGTCAAACCGAAAGCTGATATTGATGATAATCAAGAATGTTTTTAATTGTAGATTTATAGATGCCAATGCTCTTAAAGGTTTAGCAAAAAAGGAAAGCCTAAAAGCACAATTAGTTGACTCTGGTGGTGACTGGCTGCCCGTAGTGCTTGCAAGCATCGTACCAAAGCTTGTACAAGGGCTTGGCAACAAGATTCAGGATTTGCAGATTAAACAGCAATGTGCTCAGGAGGTAGGCTTGTTACATAATGCTTGTAACATCAAGTAGTAAAAGACCTTGAGATTAGTAAAAGATAATGAATTCTCGAGCATGCTCACTAAGAAGTCAGACTAACCTTTAGCGAAGTGTTTTATCGTAAAGACGAGAAAAACTTTAACATGATGCCTAATATTTCCTTTCTTTCCGGGCTTCGTGAATTTTTTGCTGCACACGGCTTTTTTGATGAAGTTCATACCTTCCACATTTTGAATTGTTTTCCTATATTGCATACAGGCATAGACCGACGCAGATTTCTTATTCATTCTCAAACCATATCTTTATTTGATTGCAACTTCGTTTCTTTTTTAAGTGGACAGTTGATGTTGCGCCTCCGCAGTCGTCCATAACTGACGCCACCATCGGGTTTTTGATTGATCCTGACCACGCCGAAAATATTATTGATATCGGACCTCCAGCAGATGACCCTAAGGTATTTGTAGTTTGCACTAAGATTTGTATTTTATTAACCTCGAAAAATATTAAATATCCAATTTAGTTTATTTTAGAAGCTAGAATAAAATTGAAATGAAAAGACGACAAATAAAGAAAGAATCAAACAAACACTCCGTTAGTCATTTTTGTCTCCTATCACCTTATGTTAAAGCTGTGTTGTGTTGTATTGTTTTCGTCCGAAATTTGTTTCTACATTCAGATTTTTGCAGACCTTTTGCAGCCCAGAAGTTATTCTCAAGAATGGTTTGAATTCTTGTGTTCTTTCAGCGCAAATTTATGTTCAAAAACTATTGACGAAGATTATGGCTGAAGCCTCTGTTCATGTTGTTTCTAATGAGACCAACCAATTCATTGTCCTCTTAAATTTTCAGCTTTTTTTCTAACTCGGTTACAAATTTTATAAGATATTAGATATCTCTAATTTCTTCCGTAAGCATGCTTACTGAGGTTTTTCTGCTCCCTTGGTCCCCTCTCAAATTATTACGCAATGGTTGAAATTTTATATCATGGTTTTCCTGTTTTCAAATATTTTATTTTATCCTGGTAATTTTTTTCATAGGCTAAAGAATTTCGCACTTTTTGGGGCGCAAAATCCGATTTGCGTAGATTCAAGGATGGTAGCATAAACGAGGCTGTTCTTTGGGAGGCTTCAAACAAGGCCGAAAAGAGGCTGGTTTGTAAACAAATTGTGGAGTTCTTACTTCAAAGGTAGGCAACTGACCTCTTTATTTATTTTTTCCCAAAATTCATCCTGCGAAGTTTACTCGTGACTTCAGCAGTTGGTAAACTTTGACAATTTTTGTCATTCTTACTAGTAAATGAAAGGGGTGGGGGTAGGCTGTTTTGCAAATGTAAGGCGTTCATGAAGTATCATTATTGATTTCATTGCTTCATTTTTATTTGGATTTAAGTTGTGTACGTATCTAGTACAATCTTTACCTTACTTTGCCACATCGATTTTATCAATTTTGATCTCTTGTTTGTACTTCAATTTTTCGCAAATTCATCTTGCAAAACTGTTTTGTTTTATCTAGTTTTAGCACCGTTTTTTTTCTACTGGTCAATCCTAGGTTCTTCAAGATTCCTCCATTAGCAATTGAGTACTTCGCAGATCAGCTAGACTCGCTTGTGCGACCAAATTATGTCATCGATGACGAGGAGACTCCCAAGGGCAAGCAGGAAGCAAAACATTATTTGACGTCTACAGGCGAAGAAGAATCGTTAAAAGTTTTGTATGCTCTCGATGAACTGAGTAAAATGATAAGAAACCTGAAAGACCTCCCATTAGATGTCAACTCCATCCAAGGAGCGCGGCCTCCCTCAAGGTTAACCGAGGTATCAGATTTGCTTTGAAGATTTCACATATTTTATTGAGCATTATAAATTTGAAAATTATTTTGGAAGAGTTTGAAAGTAATGAGTTTTTAGGATTTAAGTTGCGTTTACCGTTCTGTTTCCCCTGGTAATTACAGGCCTTCTTTTGTCAATAATTTTTTCTCAAATTTGTTGTTCAGTTAGGCTTCGATAAGATATTGAGTCAGACAATAAAACCCTATATCGTGTAAATGGAAATTATGAACGCATCCTTTCTTAAAAATGATGGATATGGCAACATTCGTAAGTCATAATTTGTTGAAATACACGATTTTTTACCTATAGATTATCCTTCAGGTTTAACTTTCCGCTGCTTTAGCCTTTAAAAATTCAAAATCCTCCAATTACAGTTGATATGCTGATTTTTCTCAATTTATTATTAATTTACGTTCCTGGTTTGATGATCATCTCCTGACTTATCTATTTCTACAATCATTTTTTGGAGCTTTAGACTGTCTTGCCATAATCTCCGGCGATATTTTCCACTGTAGAAGATCATTTTCTACCAGACGTTTTCCCATGATTTGCAAGATTGCTTTATTATGCAAATTTGCGTTTGGACAGACGGTTTGATTCTACTTCCATATTTAAGAATCTACCAGAACTCGCTTCTTCAATTTTTAAATTTCTTTTGTAGGTCTTTCCACCTAGGCCAACACCTCGAAAAGATAAACAAAAATCAACATTTTCTGTGCCCTCGACAGACTCCAGGACGTTTTGGTCTCCTGCAATAGAAGGTGTGTTGTATGCTTGTCTTTTTTATAACAGGTAAAAGTTTTTATCCCACTGGATAACTGGTAGTGTAATCTTAATAAAACTTCTCGTTGAAGCAAGCAGCTACACAGATACTTCATGTTTTCACAGACAATCAAGTATTATTCACTGTAAACTGACTCTTTTGTTTTACAGTTGTTTTGCAGTTTGAAGGAAGTGGAAAATGGCCGGATGATATTGAAGCAACACAATACGTGAAAGCTGCCTTCTACATAAAGCTTGCAACACTTCTGAGTTCAGCTTATTCCCTGCCAGCCCACGCGAACAGCCAGTATGTGGACGTCATGCATGTAAGGTTCTTAGCATTCTGTGTAAATGCTTGAGTTAACTCAGTTGTATGTATCTCTTATCCGGAGAGAACAGCGTGCCTGTCTGCCCACTGTTGTTATTTTTCCTCATTGATTGTCGTTCTATGTAAACAGGTATATGAGCCCTCGCAATAATATCTCAAAAATAGAAGTCAAAGTGATAACTCTCCGATATTCACAAAAGGGGCGAAACCCCCTGAGCACCCTAGCACGGTCCCCTTGATTGTAGTTTTTATTCTTATATTTCACTTTTTCTGCAGTAACAAGCTGCTGTCAATCCGAAACGGGAATATAATACCACCTTTTCAATTCCAATTGCCTTTAAATACAAGCCAATATATTTTATTTCATATCTTTAATGTTTGTGGAATGAAGTGTAATGTCTCTGTTATAAACTGAACGAGTTTTTAACTTTTACAGAATGGGTTTGTGTTCAGAGTCAAAATCTTTTACCCGCGTGAAATACAGCTATGTAAACAATCAAAGGAGGGAGATGGAGTGTCATCTAGAAAAGAATATGATAAATTTGCGCGATCTCTAGATGTCAACATGGTGAAAAGGCCATTGCACACCACAATGATACATAGGTCAGAACTGCAATAAATTGTTTCTATGACTGCCTTAAAAAATGTTATAATATTGTGAAGCAGTAGAGCTTGCTCCCTCAGTGAATTCTCAGTGAATTATTTACACAGAAAGACTAGCTTTTTCTGTTTCTGACTTCGATTTGTTTTCCTTATGATATTTTTTATCTTGTTCAATATTATATGAACTGCCGCAAAGTGGTGTTATCCGACCGTCTGTTTTGTTTTTATTTTGTATATACCCGCACTGGCTAATACCCACTAAGGCCCCCTCCCCAACATTATAATAGAACCAAACACATACGTGATATATGATAATAGTTTTTCTCTCTTCAATTTAGAAGAAAATGGCGTTTTTTCAACTAGCTCGGGAAAATATTCTCAAACAATACTCACAAGGACTGAAAACCCGTAGGCTACACCCTGTCCCTTTAGTGGTACTACCCCAGATTGGGGAAAGAGGACACGAGCTTAGATGGTGAAAGGGGGATTATGCTGACTACTTTGCCAACATACCCCTTAGATTAGGCCATCATGAAGCAGCAGTCACATCATAATTTATTTCCATTCCAATTTTCTGTTCTATTTCAGCTTAAATCAGAAGTTTAGTGCTTATGCGATGACGACAAGACTATCGTTGAGATGGGTGTCATCACAAATGCTTAGCTGTTACCTTACTGAAGAGGCAGTTGAATTGATCGTGGCGTCTCTCTTTCTCAAGCCGATGCCACATAAGCCCCCCAGGTATTCAATCAAATCCCTTTCTGGATATTATTTTGGGCATTTTGTTAATCGTTGCGTGAATATCCACTAACTACTGCTCAATATACTGTCATTTTTACAATGGTTTGATTTTGAATAAATATTATAGCTAGGTGCTGTTTAAAATTATTTTTGGAATGTTTTATATTCAGCAATTCTTTTTAAATTTCAAAGATTATTTAGCTAAGATGAGTTTGCATTATCAGTAAACCTTCATTCCGAATAAATTGTGTTTTTATCAGTGATATGTTGCCTTAAGGCAAGCTCTTGTGTCAACCCAGTTACGTAGGAGCCGATTTATTTTCACTTCACGCGCATTGTAAGTTCCATGATTGTTGTTTTCCAGCTGTCACTTGAGTGGATTTCTTCGATTTCTGACGCTTGTTTCTACCCATGACTGGCAAAGCGAGCCTGTAATTGTTGATTTGAATGAAACAATGACAGGTATGTATTGATGTTCAGTTTGATCATAGTTTCGCAATATATTTAATTCATTACAATTATTCTAAGCTTTTGGCCACATTAGCAACCTTGTAATGATTTTAATGCTGCCTTGATCGTATCAGATTTCAAGACAGTATACCTCTCGGTATAGCAAAATTATTTGTGTCAAACAGCTCTTGGTGCTGCTGTTAACCCAAGCGTTAGCCTCACCTTTTTCAAACATCACTAAATGAATCAGCTTTGGTTCGAATTTGTGTTCATACCCTGCAAAGGGAATCTGATGGTATTTAGACAATTAATTCACAACGAACCAGTATCATCAGGGGATATCAAATGCCTTTTTTGTTGAAATATCTGCTTAAAATCTTGTAATAAATTTATTTATCAGGTACTGCTGTGTAGGTTTAACGTTTTTATCTTGTCGTTGTTTGCCTTAAGAAGTTTATTGCAAGCGAAAAACAGTTGATCGTTTATCCTTCTAACTTGAAATATTTATTCGTCTTTGAAAAAAAATGATACGTCATCTAATTCCCTTTCCTGTGACCCAGACCTTTTATATTCGAATGTTTGCGTATTACAGCCGACGATCATGTTGAGATTCGAGACCATTTTGCGGCGCAAAGACAACAGCTACCCCCGGTGTTTATCTCCACACCTTATGATAAAGAGAATTCTGTTTGGACTAAGGATTCCATAACCAATCCGGTATTTTGTTTGTCATGTCTCTTCTCATCTTTTGTACCTAAGTAAAATTTTTATGAATAACCCCAATTTTTATGAGGCACTTGGTTTCTGGTTTTCTTAATTCGATCACTATATGTAAGAAGAATAACAGTTGCCTAATGATCGCATTAAGCATGCAACTCGGAGCAGCAACTTACAGCCGTCCTGCTCTATACACCGAATGGCGTATACAGCTCTGCCTATACGACATCGAGTAAATTATGATAGACCGGTAAACAGTGATTTTTATTAAGAAGGATACCATGAATCATTAGAAATAATGAGAATTAGCATTCTAATAATATTTAAAAAATGAATTGCCAATTCATCGATTCTTTTTAACAAAGAGCAAAAATATAATTTTTTATGTTTCTTTTCATACTAGTGAGTTTGACACCACACATACTTGAGATCTTTACGAATTCTCTTCTGTCCTCTGGCTGCATATATTATAATCACCTGCATAATTACTCAGCCCCTAAATATAGCTCAATATTTTGTTCGTCTTTATTTCGAGAAGAGCAAACCCCTTACAGAACCATATTTTCAATATTCGAAATCAGATTTCAATCATTTGAAATCCGAACTTTTTTATTCAAGACTTTGGCTCGTCTTGTTGCTTTGGCAAAAGTTTCCAGAGAAATTATGGATGCCGAACTGCAGAACCCAGTAAATTTGAAGGTAATTTTATTTGTTGTTTATATGAAGAGGTTATTTAAAGCTACTTTTGCGTTACTTTTGAGAATTTGAACTTGAATAAATATTTATTTTTGCTTTCTAGGATAAAATTCATGGATAACAGATTCAAATTAGACATCAAAGAGTTACTTTGCTAAGCTCTTTCAAATCTTAAATGACTAGTCAAAGTTTGATCTCATGTAAAAACTAAACATATGGATTGGCACCTTCAACTAAATCCTAGCCCTAGAGACATCTCCTTGTTTTAAACAATACACTTTTATATATTTTTATGAAATGCAGGTTTGAGCCCGACCCCGACCCAACCCCCTCCCACCGCCCCGGTAAAGTCCTTTAAGCCATTATAAAGATAGTAGAAACAATTTCACAGCAACTGTTGTCTTCCAAGATATCCCTGATGACAGTAATAGTATCATGCAGGTTTGACCCCAAACACCCTCCCCCCCTGATAAAGTCCTATATACTATTATATAGATTTTAGGAACAATTTCACAGCAACTGTTGTCTTCCTAGACATTTCTGATGACAGTAATAGTATCATATCTTAAAGTCAATGACAGTAATAGTATCATGCAAGTTTGACCCCAAACACCCTCCCCCCTGATAAAGTCCTATATACTATTATATAGATTTTAGGAACAATTTCACAGCAACTGTTGTCTTCCTAGACATTTCTGATGACAGTAATAGTATCATATCTTAAAGTCAATGACAGTAATAGTATCATGCAAGTTTGACCCCAAACACCCTCCCCCCTGATAAAGTCCTATATACTATTATATAGATTTTAGGAACAATTTCACAGCAACTGTTGTCTTCCTAGACATTTCTGATGACAGTAATAGTATCATATCTTAAAGTCAATGACAGTAATAGTATCATGCAAGTTTGACCCCAAACACCCTCCCCCCTGATAAAGTCCTATATACTATTATATAGATTTTAGGAACAATTTCACAGCAACTGTTGTCTTCCTAGACATTTCTGATGACAGTAATAGTATCATATCTTAAAGCCCTTGAATTGGAAGTGAAAGTATTGTATCTTACTATTGAAAAGTACCATTCACCCTGGGCTTATTTTTTCCAGCAAATATTCCGACCTCCTCTTGATGACTACAATGTATTGATTGAATTGGATCCCCAATTGTTGCCAAGACATTACCAGGCTGTGGACACGAGTGTCATGTTGAAGCCACCCAAGCCCAAGACAGTCGTACATAAAGCGCTACCAGTCGTCAATTTCGATCCTGCCATGATTTATTTAGAGGAATTACGGGTGAGTGAACGACAGTTTGATTCTACTGGTCTTTCTTCTGTTTTGTTGGCGGCATCAACCACTTGGCTGTAGGCGGGACAAAATAAAAATATTTGGCCATACCCTTTTTAGTATTGAAAACGCCCTTTAGCAACAGGCACGCCAGTTTTGCCAATAGGAAACGCCCAAGACTAACTTTGGCTTCGTAAAGGCAGTTCTGAAGTTATAGAATTCCATCACGAAAATTACTTTGCCAAAAATTACCCCTTCCCCAACATGTGCTCGTCAAATTTAAACGACATACTGAATCGATCCTGCCGAAAACTGGGACACGTGTCGTAGTGTTCTCCCCTTCCGTAGGGCTGCCACTTCCTGCACAGCCTTGTAAGCTGCTATTCGAAGCGTCCTATAATCAGCCCTACATTCTAACCCCTCTGTCACAGAATATTCGCTCTGCTTTGTGTGAACCTATCAAGCGAGAGAAATTTTAATGCTTTAATCTACGTTAATATTTTCCAGGGTTTACACGTGTCATAGCTTTAATCCTTCAGTGTTTTGAAGTATTTGCATTGTTGTATCATTTTAGTCCTTTTCCAGAGTTGCCTCGTTTTTCTGCTTGTCCTGCCATTACGTCTTTTGCTTCAAGTCATTACAACGTCACATTTGATTCTGACAATGATAATATTTTTTTCTAGAGCTCATTCTCAGAAATTGCGTTGTTCTTTTACGACCAGCACGGTTCTACTGTAATTGGTGTTGTATGGAAACCCGATGCATTTACTCCACAAGAATTCAAAGTGGGTGTCAACCTATTTTTGCCCCGTTGTTAGTCATTTTTTTGGCCATGCTGATACTGAAAAATTCTGTTTGTTTCAGCTGCCTTCTAAATACTGATATTGGTAACGTGATATTACATCTGAAGCAATCCTCTTCTTGCTATTTGTGACCTGTGAGGTTTTTGCTGTTTTTTTTAAAGTGTATTTTCAAAACCATTTCTCGTTTTTTTCTAAAAATATCTCATTTTTGTTCAAAGTGCCTCTTTTTTCAAAAATGTTCATTAGATTTTCTTTGTTGAGAAATTCTAGATCGTGACAGGAAATAAATTTATTTTAGTAAAATGCCTATTTCTACTCGCTCCTTTTTTCTGTACCCTTGCCTACAGAGGTAATATCTCTTGTGGGTATCTTTTCTCTCTTTTCCCCCCTCGATTTTTGTAACACTTCTCATTCTCCCATTGCTGCCGGCCGTATGTTTAATTTGATTGAAAAATGCGTAAATCTTCGCAGACTTGACTTAGTTCTACTTCCTTACTCCTATTTAGCGGGTCCATATTATTTTGTTATGAGTAATAGGTACATTTTTTGCTTACATCTAATGTTTCTGTACCTCGGCGGGGCATTTCCTTGAAGGTCTTCGCGGTAGATGTTGTTATCGTGGCATTGTGTTTCCTTTAATTAAAGTGAAACTCAATTTTATATCGGCAATCCCTTGAATTGCTGCAGAATGCAGAAGAAACTGAAAATGAAACGCTGTACCTGTTGTGTGCCGGTTTATTTTTTATCGTCGAGTTTATTTGCGCTGTAATTGCTTTAAGTTGACAGATCTATTTTCATTTTTTTTACAGATACTTGCGCTTAAATATAGGATGCCCTCATTACAGCAACCAGAAGGAAAGGTGTGAAAATATTTTTAATATTTTTCAATTTCCTTAGTGAGAGAGCCAACCTATTTTTAGTAATTCAAAGTGTATCCTTTTACGTGAAGAAACCTGCAGTTTTTCAGCACATAAGGCATCATGATGCCTCTGAAATAAAGTAAATAAGATGGTATTGCTTCAGAATTTGTAATGCATAGCCAGGACAAGGCAAACAGTCACCGTGTTTAATACTCATTCATCATAAAAACTACATATCTCTTTTAAAGATCGCCATCTTAATGTTCAGTTATGTAGGACTGTTCAGTTCGGAGAACTAATTTTTAAACTTCCCGTTGGGAAATGTAAACAATAGTAAGATTTAGCTACCGGGTCTCTACAAATCATGCCGAACGGTCCCCAATTTTTGCCCAGTGACTCACTAAGACGTCAAAGGGTGGATATGAGGAGGCTTGAAACCTCAATCTTTGTTCAGTAGATAATTAAAAAACCCATGTTTCTGATTCATGACTTTTATTCTTTCTGATCCTAGCCTTCAACAAAACAGTATATGGTCCCAAAAATAGATGCAATCTTGGATGACTTTCGCGTGATTGGACGTGGGATTGTTTGTAACGTCAAAGTTAAAGACAGCTGAAAGGATGCATTGCTCATTCTCTAATACCCATCTGCTGGTCAACAAAACTGAGACAAAGCACGTTGAATGCAGGTGTCGGAAATGACATTGTTGTATATAGGGCCTGAAAATATATTCTTATGATAACAGTATAGATAACGATGCCAAGACATCGAAGGAAGTTGATTCATGATCAAAATTAATTTCTTTACAAGTTTTCACATGTGCTAATTTTTGTGTATTGCAGCAGTCATCTACTCCAGCATTTTCAGCCTAAACAATTTTTTGAACGCAAGTATTCATGTTTTCCTGCCTATATATTTGTAGATACTCATATAATGAATATTCTAACTTCTGTTTTTAAACCTTTTTTGCAAAAACCTCTTCTAGACAGACCAATAGTTTCTTACGGCTTCTCATTTGAAAAAATGATTTTTAGTTTTTTTAAAGAAAAACATTACCGAAATGGCTATGTAGCACTATCAAGATTTTGTGCTTATTGTGTATTGTGAAATGAAGTTCATTATATGTAATTTTTAGCTGCGTTGAACTTTGACATCGAAACGTGAGGCTTTGTTAATGAAGGTAAATAAAGTCAGTATGCTTCGGGGCTTTATTTTGTGTTGGTGGTCAACCAGTGTGTTTTTTGCATTGTTTTAGGCCAAAAATTAGAGGTTATGATTTTACGTGTATTTTACAAATATGTGACTACTGTTTTTTTAGAAGATTTTCCACTTATGGGTATTAATTGATTTTCCGGGTTTTTTTTGCGTTATGACATCCGAAATTGGACACTGATGATGACCTTTACGAAACAAATGATGATTTACGCACTCTTATGCGTAAGCAAAATTCAAGCACGTTTGTGCGGTTTTATGAAAAAATTACAATTTTGATAAGAACAGTTTTATAAGAACACGAGACTTGAAACTGGGCAAAGGTTAAGGACAGATTAAGAACAATCTGAGGCTTAGCTACTTTTAAAATTGTACTTTGAACAGTGATTCATCTCGAAAACGAGGGGGTTTTGCCATCTAGGGGGGCTTTTTTACTAATTTTGTTAGGCCTTTTGTTAGGCTTTGTTGGGAGGCCTTAACAACCCTCAAGAGCGAAAAAGCTAGCAATTTCACTGCTTATTAATTTAGGACAGATAAAGCCTCGGATTTTTGCAACAAAAAATAAGAACGGCCTGAACTTCAGTTTACTGGTTCTTATAAAAAAGTGTATATGCTAAAATGTAAAAGCAGTTTTGGCAAATAAGAAGTTGCTGTTTGGGATAGAACCGTCGAAGAATCAATCTGGATGACCATGTCAATCATACTTTGAAGTTTTTACACTATACGACTGCTTAAAAGTAGTAGTGATTTTATTTTATTTTATCGACAATGAAATTTACCACAAAAAGCAACTTAGAATCTTAATATGCCGCTTGCAATGGAAAAGACAAAGCGTCATTGCAATTCAACGAAATGATCGTAACGGTATGTCAATGCACTACAGACACTGCGTCATGGATGAATCTCTGAATCTAGATGCACATATTCGCTATCAGATTATATGTAAATATTCTGATTTTGCAATCAGGACTTTATCAAAGTAATTTTATCAAAATAATAAAAGTATAGTTTATCTAGAACTAAGAAAACTTGAGTCAGGCGTGAAATTTTCTAGTTTTTCTTAAACCTAGAGCCAAGATGTCGAAAAACATCATTGCCCCGCAAATAAGCTGTTTTTCTTTTACTAAGCCATGCCCCGCAAATAAGCTGTTTTTCTTTTACTAAGCCATGAAAATTCACTTATATCTTGGGGCTTTTTGTTTTCAGGCTAAATCTTTCTTAAAAGTTTCTTAAATTTTCCAAGCTGAGTACCATGTTTTATTTTGAATAAATACTCTACCCATTCATTTATATCAATTTGAATGCCTTGTTAAGAAAAAGACATTTTGACCAACATTTAAGAAAACGCCTAAAAGATTTTTAAACCAAAGCCTTTGAGAAAATATTCGAGCCTAAAGGTTTCTTAAAAGTACCTTTTTATTAGAGATTGAAGAACGACTTACTGACTGACCCAAGTGTTCACCAATTCCAAGAACCAATTGCGGAAATGTCTCCGGTTCCTTCGGTTGAACTCTTCAGTGCAGATAATTTTGTTGATATCAATTTCAACATTTTTGAAACGGTATGAAGGGAATTCTTCTTCCTTTCAAATTGAATTAAAACCTTTTAGATGATGGTAAGAATAGACGGAAGTTGATCCACTTTAAAGCAATCATGTTGATAAAAAATTAATATGAAAGTCAAAGCTTCTTGTGTGAGCGGAAATGTAGACCCGGAAGATGAAAAAACAAGGAAGTCTGTAGCTTCTTAACGCGCTCAGTTATGAATAATGATGCATATCAAGCTTATTGTTTCTCTGCATGTTAGAAAGCTTCAACTTCCATTACCGTCTCATGTTGGATCGGTAGAGTCACTGTTATGCAGTTGCGAATCTTTTTCGAACTCTAAATTTGTTGAAAGAGGTAAGACAGCTTCACATGCATTACTTTTTCATGGAAATGCCAAAAGAATAGAGAAAAGTGCTTTGTATTACATAAAAAGCAAATCTTTTATTGCGGTATTTAACTCATGGCCATTTTTCGTTAGTTTTTTACGCTTGATTTGTCAAGGAAGTGGAGATTGATCGCTCACGGCAGAGATCTTTGTCATATTTGAAAACAGAAAGGACCAAGTTTCAACCGTCCCCATTTGTTTCAATCTTCAACAAAAAGCCCAAGAACGGTTTCGTTCTAGCAATGATCTTTTGTAGGTGTGACATTATTGAGCAGTTTCAATTTTCCACATTAAAATTGAGATGTTATTCGTGATTTTTCACAGATTAACCTAGTGATCCAACATAATCCAACATCAATATAAACACCGAAAGTCAAATCTCATTCGCCCAAGTTCTTAATTTTGCATACTTTATGCATTTTGTATATAAACCGTATTTTTGAATTCTAGCAAGACATCTAAGTTTATGTTAAAGATACCTAAGGCTCTACTAAAGGTTTCTAAGGGGCCATTCCGCTGTTCAGCAAAACTGCTATATGTCATATTTGAAGAAGCCACCACTCCCTTCCCCCAGCCACCGTGACGTAGCAGGAACAGCGGAATGTAAAGTCATGCCCTCACCCACCCCTGCAGGACAATATAAGCTTTTGGGACAATGTAAAACTCAAACGTAGTTCACCAATCAACGACGAGGACAGACTGCTGCATCAGTTGTACTACAAGCTGTAGCCTGCGTGCAGACTCTGAAATTGTTCCTACGTGAAATCATAGGAGTATAGTACTTTTCTACAGCTTAGATTGCATGCAGCCTACCAGGGTGTACATGAGTGGAGAAAATGGTCCATTGTAAGCAAATAGACCTTAAGATCTCTTTGACCAGACCCACATGTCCAAATTATTCTCCTGAAATTGCTAATGCTGCTTTACAGGGGCGGATCCAGAGCAACCTTGAAGGAGGGGTAGTTTGTAGTAGGGGCGCTGAAAAAATTTTAAAAATTGGTGACGAGAGTACGCTGTATACAATAATTTCAGATCCATTTTCGGAATAAACAATATAACTTTGAGGTAATCCTTGAAGAAAATTAATCTAACTTTTTCACCTGATTCTTATTCTTCAAAAGGGGCGTTATACTTGCTCGTCGAGGGAGGGGCAACTGCCCCTAGCTCCGATTTCATTTTAACTTCAAAACGAATAGAACTATAGAATATAGTGATTAAAGAAGAAACTTTCCTTCAGTCAAAATCTACTTAAAATTTTCTAAACTTCTTTCTTGGGCCAACAACAATAGTGGCGGCCTTACAAACTCCTCTACTTGCAATTACATTTTACCAGCTCTGTGTAGCATTTTTTTATGAACGCCATTTCTGTGCCATCTTTAAAGCTCTTTTAAGATGAAACCGGCTACCGGCACCATCGGAGAGGCATTGAAATAACGCATACAGAGTCGAGGAGAGTGTTTATCTTTCCAATGATAACGAGTTGAATGTTGGCTGTGATTCTTTCATTTCTTCTACTTTCAATTGCTTTTTCCCAAACACATAGAACAAACTTAAAAATGAACTTTGCAGCTATGCCTGTGTGTTCTATTCACGTACATTTGTGATTTATTCGTTGGTTTTTTGCTTAAAAATAATCTGAGTAATATATAACCATTTTGCGTTTTCAGGCTTAGATGTCTTCGAAAAAAGGGTTTTCGATTAGCTTTCAGTTTTAGCAGCTTGACATATGAATTTCGACTCTGAACTGCCTAAGCCAAATATTTTTCATCTTTTATGGTTCTCTGACCAATCTCAAGGCATAGTTTATCTTTTAGTGTTCATCGGAACATTGATCGATGATTGCCTAAATTTTCCATTAAACGACAAACGTGCTGTTTTTAACTAGTGCGTTCTTATTTAACGTGCAGAGGACACGGAGCCAGAGAGATGCAAACTGTTTGTGCAGTGTGTAACGTGATTTCTACTGACTGGTTATTATTTACAAAGTGCGTATTGATATAGAAAACTAGCAAATTTAATTAAGCGTTATACAAATGAGAGGATGTGCTTGATGGCTAACAATGGTGTGATTGATAAGGATAAAATGAAGTGTAATTAGCATAGGTAATAAAGAATATAGAATTACGTAGGTATGCAGAAAAAGCAATAATGGATTGTGTAAAATGGCCTAAATTGAATCACTACGATCTCTTTCTCAAACCCAAGGAATAGAGTTTAAAACTTAGCTTAGCTAATTGTACTTTATTTAACACTTGGAAGATTGAGAGAAATCAAGGCTCTTTGCTCTGGCAAAGTTACACATTCAGATATCAGCGGTATCACAAGGGTTTTTCCTTGGTCTCCTGCTTTTCTAAGCTTTCATTATTAACGTAATTGGCAACTGTTAAATATATCTCTGCCAGTATTACTACAATTTGTCATTAAGTCAATGACGACGATGAAAGTACCCTCATTCTCTACCTAGATCATTAAAAACCAATCTTGGCTAAGCAATGAAAAATGCAATTTAAAGATGACGAAACTGAAAAATGTACTTTTTTCGCAATATGGGGTCTCATATAGTAATGAATTCCATTAAAGACTGGAATAAATCAAACCTAACAAAAGCATGCCTTAAAAATAGTAAAATGTGTTAAACGATTGCAAGAAAATGACTGCAAGAAATATAACTGCAAGATGTGGTCGCAAAAATGTTTAGCTCGCTTTGCTCGCAGGGAACCTCTTCTACCAAATATACCTAGGGCCTCAGACAACGTTTCGCCTTCCCTTCCAATGTATCGCTAGCATGAAGAGTGCCCTATAAAGTTGTGGGCTTAACATATCGTGAAGCATTTTATTGAGTGTGTTTGCTAGTAAAATAATGCATCTAACTCGAGCACCACCCCTCCCCCCTAACCACTTTGAATTTCTTGACGCTGCCCCTGCAACATGGATTTGTTGGTGAGTTGCTTGTGGAACTTGTTGTGGTCAAACTCCCCAAACACCTCCGAAATAATTTTTGCCTCTGGTAAGAAATCTGAAGAGCAAAAGACATTTTTGGGTGTTGCACTAGCTTCTTCCGCCTAATCTCGATTTCACAACGAGATTTAAAAACAGTTCGTATTTTGTCTTTGTCTTACAGCGTCATTCCAGTCGATTTGAAGTTCAGCTGCGATATTTCAACTACTGGTGCAATAAAGTTACTTACTACTCGCGTAGATGATAGTGGTGTGTTTGGTTCTTGTTTGCGAAACTTTCATACTGGCTTAGAGCACAGTTTTAATGCTGGAAGCGTTTATTGCAATGTCAAGTATGCCTACAAACGGCACGTGTATTGTTTAACAGCCTAGGCCATCGAACCACCGAAGTGTTGAGACGTGTTTCTCTGACTGCTGTCAGCCTTCTGTGATTTGAACCTACAGGCCAGGTGAAATGGGAAACAAGCAAAGCAAAGCTTTTTTAATCTCAAAAAGAGCAAATAATGGAAATTCAGTGCAAGATGGCAATTCCAGGGTTGCATCAAAGCGAACGGCTGAGGACATGTGTGGTAGCAGTTCTAATCGTGACGAAGAGCTGGAAACGGAACACAGCCCAGGAAGGTATATATTTTTAACATGGTGTTACGCTTTAAGTCATGAAGAATTTTTATACACATCAAAACAAGCTGCAGCCTTAAGCTCGCGTTTTCGACCGTTTCTAAGGTGACGTTTACTGCTCAACAAATTTGCAACAGAGTGTGATATTTTTGCACTGATGAAGTCAGAGAAAGTAAATCTAGGAGTCCACCAGAAAAAACAAGCGAGCAATTTTTAGTGGAAAATTCACATAGCTGTTACAAAAAATCATTATTACTATTGAATTAATGTGTACAGTTTTTATTAATATATAATCCCCCTTGTCAGACGACTTGTGTAAGGTTTAACCGATTAGTTGCTAGAAAGCTAATTTCAATTGTCAAAATGGCAGAAGCAACCAACATTAAACAGACCAATGATTTGTTGTCAAAGTTTTTTGGCAGCCAGAATTGTTTACATTAAAATGATAGCACTTTGTCAGTTACTTTCTGTGATTCAGTCATCTAAAATTACCTGCTGCAATCTAAAGCAACAGGATTACATCAAAAAGAGTTAACTTCTGCAAATTGTATATCCTAAATTTTGTCAGTATTCATGTAAAGCAAATGATTTAGGTAATGGAAGAATGACATTCGCAAGATACAAAAGTATTGCAAAGAGCCTTCTTTTGCAGCAAAGACTACATTACTTTATGTAAACTAAAAGTTCTTAAAAGCTAAAGGCATTGAGTCTTGATAAAAAAGAGGCTATACCCAAACCTGCCCAAATCCCCTGTGTCATGGCTTCCATGCTGCAATGCTATCGGTTGATCTGGAACTGGTCATATGAACTGGTCTGGTGCTAATTAACAAACAGTTTCCATCAATAGCAAGATGTCACATGAAACTGCTCCGATCATGCTGATCACAAATGGCCCTGAAGAGAAGGTGTATTAACCATGACTCAATACCTTTAAGTTTTCAACAGGCCATGTCAAATTTTTCTTGCATTTTGACCCTTCAGCTTTAAAAGTTTGAGGGATTTGTTTTTATGAAATTATTTGTAAACCCAAAGGACAAAATTAGAGACAAATTTGTTTTTCAAATTAATGATTAATTCAAGTGATTTTTAACAGTGTTTTTTCCTGATGTATTTTCACTTGCTTGAAAAGAGCTTGCTTTAGAACTCACTTGAACTCACTTGCTTTAGATACAAACTTAAGTTTTACCTTAAAACTAACACAGTTTCATGCGATAAGTGATGCTCCTGGGTGACCTTGTGCTATTCACAACCAGGTCCCAAGCTTCTTAACTCTCCTCACCTGCAAGTACAATTTTGATATTTTTGAATCATTTAGTTTATACATATAACATCACTTAGTTAACTTTTCTACGCTGACATTCCATATTTTCTTCCTTTTTATTGGATCTAACAAGTAATAAAATTGTTATACTGTTTCTAGGAAACGGCTGAGAACAACATCAGAATACATTTACAATGTCTTGTTTCTTGAAGGAGAAAACAGTGATGTTACCATCAGTGCTCTTGGTATTGATTTTTTTATTATTTTCTCTGAATAAATTTATCATTAAGTTGCATTTGAAAAGTGTGAGGATGACTCAATGGCTAGAGCTGAAGACAACTGATCCAAGCTTTCACACACAGTGAGGAGAGCCACCAGCCCTCTGTTATTTTCAAGGCATAAAAACCATGGATCACATCAAGAGGGAGGACCAGGGCACCACTGGATTAGTACAGCTTCTCAGTGTCCTAAAAACTACCTCTGGAAGCTAGGAAGTACCAAATACAAAAAAATACCTTTACTAGTTAGAAAGTGTTGCATTAGTCTCTAGACTCAGGGCTGTTAGTGAATATTTTTTCAATTTGGCAAATGATGGCATAGAAAGTAATCTTTGCAGGTCTACTAGATAATTTATATTTGAATTCAAGGATGTCTGTAAAAAACTCTTTCTCTGTTGTAGGTCATGAATGGAAACTGCACAAAGTTTATCTTTGTCAGGTATTTTCATTTTCTCAAAAACTTAATTAAAGGTTTACTTCCTTTTTTGCTTTTGCTTTGCAATTTTTGATGAATTCTGGTTGGCACAAATGTAGCACTTAGACTACTAACAATTTATAATTTTATATTATAGCTGTAACAAGTGATTTGTATTCTTAATGACCTTTAAAGAATTAAAATGACAACAGTCCCTATAGCACAGAGGTCTTGCAGTGTTAATGGAGACTATCAGCCTCCAAGAGAGATACTAAGGATCATGTTATAAATTTCATGAGCAAGCTCTGCTTATGTTAAATTGTTGCAAAGTAACAACATAATTTTATTTGAGTTGGTGTATATCAGTTGCATATCAGTTTTATGTCTTTTTTAGTCAGGGTATTTCAGAGGAATGCTAAAAGGCCAATGGTTGGAAAGCAGTCTGTCCTTCATTGCAATTGAAATCCCTGATGAAACTGTTGACCGAAAAGGTATTGCTATGTAGAAATTTTGTTGAAAAATAATCCTCGGTGATATCTGTAGATAGCTATTGATTGCAATTTATTTTTGGCAAGTTGTTTTATTTCTCCTGCAATCAGTTTGCAAGTTGGTTGTTTTCCTAAGTTTAAACCTAAATTATACTTGCAAATTTAGGTTATCCAGGCAATGTAACTGACTGAAGTGTCATAAAATTCATGAAGATTGTGAACTTTTACTTGGCTTCAAGCAAATTTTTACAGCAGGATGATACAGCTCTGAAATTTAAGTTTGCCTTTTGCTTGACTTCAAGCAAATTTATTAATTGCAGGTCAAATAGGGGAACAATAAAGGCAATTGACCCAGCAGTTATGCCAATACTTCATTTCTTTAGAAGCCAGCTAGATTTTTGACTTTTTTGCCAGCTAGATTTTTGAAAATTTTCAATTATTTTGGTGTCTGTCAATAAGGAGCCATTCAATTTTATTTTACTCGAGTGCTTATTTTGTGGTTGTAAGCATCCACATTTTTGTCTTAAACTTTTTATTGGCAGTATCATATTGTTTAGTAATAAACTCATATCTTCTTGTTATTCTTGTGTCAGCTTTGGACATTGCTTTTGGAAGTCTCTACAGTGATGAGGTTGATGTTAATATCCTTCGCAGTCATGTGATACCAACATTGGCTGCAGCACGACTGCTGGACTTGACTGGCTTGCTTGTGGTGTGTCAAGATGTTATGATGGAGACATTATCAGCGTCCACAGTTTGCAGATACCACCAGGCAGCTTGCACATATGCATTGACTGAAGTGGAAAGAAAGTAAGCACTTTCGATTTTCATTGTTAGGGTTTACAGCCAAAGGAGGTGCAACTAATATTGTGCTTTTTGATAAGAAATATTTTCATAGAGGGCATGGCCTATCTTGTGTCTTTTCTTTAAAAAACCATTATTTGCTTTCAAAGACAGTGCTTTCATAATGTTTTAATGGAAATCTAGCAGAGGGACCTAACTTCTTGAGAGAAATATATTTTACAGAAAAAAGATGCCTGTCTTGTTCTGATCCATGAACTTCGTCATTTGTAACAAACGTGATCATGAATTTGCAAAACGTCACTGCATATCAAATGCAGAGAAACATTGCGCCGCCAACCTTTTAGTGCAAATGCGAGTTCCCTTATAAACTTTCTGGCCACGTTAGTCCCAGTGCTAATGTCATAGAACAGCATGAAAATGTCCACAAAAGGCGAAGGAATGCAGCTTCAATGGCATAGTGCTTTTCACTAGATTTTAGTGAGTTTTTCTTTTGTTTTGAAGCAACTGGGCATGCCTACTATTGTCCCAAAACATCAGAGATGCCTTTCTTTTATGTTGCTTTTTTTCTACTTCTTAAAGTAACTGTTTCAAAATGATGTTTGTTTCAATCTGATCATCGAAATGTCGATTCTGGCACAGGCTTCATTTTCGTAGGGTTAGAGTTAGGCCCGAGAATGCTGTTGATTTTATATTCTGTCAACAAGTACTGAATTTTTTTGCTTCTCAAGGTGTTTCCAGTGGATCGAGCGAAATTTGCTGCTCTGTCGGACCCCTGCAGTGGCAAAAGAAATAAGCCAAGATGTTCTCGAACAAGTGTTGCAGTCAATGGAATTTGTGGTGATGCAAGTGGAGGTTGATGTTTACAATTTCTTAAAAATCTGGGTTTACTTAAAACTACACCCTACATGCGATCTGCCTTTGAAATCAATTGTGCAGGAGACGCAGAGGTTTTTTATCGAACGGGAGCAAGAAGAAAACAAAAGGGCCTTCCTTGCAACCGAAGAGGGTCTACAGTTTGCGTCGACTTTCAAGTGTTTGAAACTTGAAAGGTTATTAGAAGACTCCAAGGCAATAAACTTGTTAAAAAAAGACGGCATAATTCCAAAAGGTAGGCGCCTTAAATTTATTTATTCTGATCTGTGGCGACGCCAAGGGGTGGTATGGGGGGGGGGGTGGATAATAGCTGGTGCCGCCACTGATTCTGATTTCGTCTAAGGCATAGTCATAAATAAAATTCTGATCTGAAATGCATGATTTTACAATAACCGATGTATTTTCTTTTTGAAATCCTAGGTATGTAAGTTTCCTGTAAGGCAATAAAGCACTTGATATGAAGCATTTTATTTCCGTGTTAAGTAAATCTTAAGTTAGTCATTCTGGGTTATAACAGAGGCATGTAAGTTTTGGTCCATAAATTGTTTTTTTTTATCATGTTCATTATCTAGTAGTAGAGAACGTTAATTATTTGACAACCTGTTGATGGACGATCTTTTCATTGTTTTTTCTTCTTCATATAAGTAGGAAAAAGCTTTATGCAGAAATCTTTCCTGTAAATAAAGTGATTTCTGATATTCACCCATTGATTCATTTTTTCAGAATGGCTTTTATCATTATATGAGGAACAGTGGAACAGGATGCTAAATGTTTACAACGGATCTGATCAAGGCCCAATCGAGGTGCCACGAGATGTTTTCGAAAAATTTGCATGCAGATGTGGAAGGATTTTGGAGAAAAATAGCAGGGTAAATATTTTTGAAATAATAACGACTGTAAAAAATTTGTTCTAGCTATCTAGCTGAAATTTATCTTAAAAACAATGTTAACTCCAGTGCAAAGATTACCTGATCAGAAACTCTAGCTTCTGCACTTTGTCCTTTGCTTAAGCTTAAGAGAAACATGTCAGGAGCATAATGTTAACTGTTTATCGATTAAAGGTTTGTGCGTAGGCCTAAAGCAAAATGGTTCCAAAAGCAGTTGCTAGAAATTTTCGATGATAGAAAAATTTGATGTTTAAAAATAAACAAAACAAAATTTACGTTTATATGTATTGAATTACTTGCCTCCGTGTTTTCAGTATTGTTGGAGATGGACTGGATTTTCGTGTGGAATTGACATAATAGTAACCTATGACAACAGAAATCGAAGCCTGTCAATCAAGCGCAACACTTACAGCCAACCATGTAATTCGGCTATTTGCATGCAAAGTCAAAGAGCGGTTGCTCTCAGGTAACAATTATTCTAATCCACACGTCTTATTTTTATATTAATTGTTTTCTTTTTTAAGTTATGTCAGACGATTTAAACAAATAATTCCAGTTAGAGATGTTAAGGAATTAGGGATTTAGCTTTTTGAATCGTGGGCAAGAGTATGAAATTTTCCGAGGCAAGTGTTGTAATAGCCCCTTTTCTCAACTTTCTAGATCAAAATATCAACTTTCCTGATGCATCTTCTAAATCATGTCAGATTTGGAGGTGGATAGGCATTCGACCCCCAATACCCCATAATTTCAACCATTGACCCGCACACAAGAAAAAAATTAAAAAGCAGTAGCGATTATATTGAATGATTCATCACTGTAAAAGTTTCTCTTGTGCAAAGAAAACTATTCAACGTATTTTATAAGGCCTTTGTGTGTTTCAAAAGGAAAACGATCCAGTAAAGGTGGAAAAAAGTGTTTTGATGTGTAAGAAAATGCTGAAATGGCAAGAGTAACATTCTATGCCAAAACAGAGCTGACTATCATAAGTTTATCAGATTGTTTACGTGTTTACTTGTTCTTTAGTTTACTTGACTTTCTTCTCAAAGAAAAGTAAGAACGGAATTATTTGCTGTTCAATTCTTTGGGAAGTTGGTGCATTGCAAGGCACGACAATAAAAGCACTAGAAGTGTTGTCTTCAAACTATAATGCTTTCCAAGAACATTTACCTATTGATTGGTCACTAAACTAATTTTTGCTTATTGAAATTAATAAAATTCGTGCCAATAGTTGAATTTGTATTCAAATTACTAAAGGAATTATCAAAACGACAAGAATTTTAATTGTGGTACATATTATTATGATACTCAAGGCGGTTCAGAATTTTTCCTTCCTGGTTAAAAAACATAATTTTTTATTCATTGTGCTTTTTATCAGCACACTCTTTGACACATATCCATTTTGTACGATCTAAGGTTTCTCATGCTATTGGATTTCTTAAATATGCCAAGAAGTTACTTCCAAAAGACACTCTCTCTAAAATGTATCGTGGTATCGTTGAACCGCATCTCCGCTACTGCTGCTCAGTCTGGGGGGCATGTGGGGGGACAGGGTTGCAGGTGCTGCAAAAACTTCAAAACCGCGCAGCTAGAATTGTGACCAACAGCAGTTATGATTCTTCTGCTAGTGCTTTGATTAAAAGTTTGAATTAAAAATTAAATTAGGGTTTTACTCGTATTTATTTTTAACTTAATTTGTAACGTTTTATGCACGGCCCCCTGAAAAACAATCTATCAATTGACGGGGTTACCGTGCTTAAAGAAATTAAAATGAATGAAATGAATGAATGACCAATTCAAGCATTCAGATCGAAGAAATATCAATTTTTCATGAATGTATGTTCTTGTAGGTTTAAACTTTTCACAACAAACGATTCTGGAGCCGAAGTCAATTGCAAGGATACAGGGTTGCTGCACATGATGCTGAAAACCGACGAAGAAGCACCTTTGTTTCAACTAAATGAAAACTGGACCTTTCCTGTATTTGTGAGTGCTAGGATTATGATCGCATCACATGACGTAAATGGACAGAAAGTTTAAAGCCTTGGCCAGTCATCTGTTCCTCCTTGATTTTCTTCTGAATCGACGATGACCTAACATCAGTTACCAGAAGCTTTTGTCGTCAGACACAGAATATCCTCTCGTACCCTGGTTTTTCGTACCCTGGTTTTCAGCTTTTGATAGTAACTTAAAGAAGAAAACCGTCAGTTCATGTGCTTTGAAAAAGTTTCATGCAAATTTTGTTCGTTCTCAACTCGTTGAAATTAATATCTGCTATTGTTTTCATCCCACCTGAATTTTTATCATGACACCTCATGACACTGGAATCGTATTGTACGAGGGAGTTTTTCTATGCTTGTTCTAACCTTAAGTAACTTGATAAACACGGGGTTTCAATTTTGCTACATCAGGAACACAGCTCGTACCCTGGTCCGTATTACTAATCTATAGGTCCGTAACTCGCATCCCTCTCCTATCATAGACCTTATCAATACCCCTGCAACTTGTTTTGTTACAAAAACCCCCTTAACAAATAGCAGGCTGTGAGATGGCCGCTTTAAATAATTCCCAATCAAACCTAAGGTCAATCTACGCAATGCTGGTTCCATTCAGGGTAGTTGTCTCTTTGCCAAAAAAGAGTATTTATTTTCATGGACACCAATAATTTAATTTGATTAAGTACTCGGGTTTTGAGTTCTTAGAGGGTTATCTCCGCTCAATGGGCCCCTCCCCAGACTGGCCTTCGGCCAATTACTTGGAAATTGAATAAATATCTCAGATCCATTATGTGTTTATTAATCGTTTGTCTCTAGGAAAAGTATCTTGTTTAAAACAATTGTTTTAGAAATCACAAAGTTGGCGTACATCAATCTTTGAATCCAAACTTAAATGATATTCTCATGCTAGTAATTCTCGCATTTTGTTACGCTTTTGTTGTAAACTCAACTGATGCTACTTTGTATTGAACGATTGATTTTTTTAGACGTTTGTGATTTGTAAAGTTACCACTACAATATTCGCCTTCGAATTGTATCATTTTGTAAATGTTATCGAAGATCCCATTCACAACTGTCAAGTAGAAAATTAAAAATGATTGCGTTAAATTGGGATTCTATATAGATTTTACGCTAAACCAGCAATTTACTACGAGTTACCCTCAGTTTCTGTGAGTTACTTCTGTCACCACGAGGCCTCTGGGAGATATGTTTTGATTTGTCTTCTCAAGTTAACGTAGTAAGTCCGGTTCGATGTATAATAAACTCATAAGTAGGAAATTGCCAAGGTAGGCACTTGTGTAATTTTGGTGCTCAATTAATTGTTGTATCGTCATTTTTTAGAAGTTTGGCATTCTTGTATAACTTGGCGCCTTTTTTAATCACCCTGTAAGCACTGCAAGCGAGGCTTCGGGAGAGGTACCTTAGTAAAAGGTACCTCTAAGGAATAGGTACCATAGTAGGCTCGAGGTACAGGGACGTGCCATTATTAAGGGGTATATACTTTTTTCCTGAAAAGTATGGAATTATCGGTAACAGTTTTTGAAATACGTGTGGAGTTATCGGTACCATTTTGTAAAATGGTTCGGCAGGATGGAGACAAAAATACAACTCCTTAACGCTTTTGTGCTTTTTTAGATCAACAAACATGAGGCCTTTCTCAAGCACCTACAGTATGAACTCTATCTGAGTCCCTAAACTAAGTTTCTACTGGGGTATATATGTGTTTGGGGGAATAATGGGCAAGGGCTGTATAATCATTACACTGCAAAATATAACAAAAGATGTGGGCTGTATAGTCATCAGAAAGTAAATTTCGCAAATTGAATGTCCAGATAGAAATGAATGTATAAAATGTGTAATATTGAGATTTTCGGGCAAAGGACAGACAAAATTTGTTTGATGATTTTGTTGGGTCTTGAGAATGTTTTATTGCCGTGCAGAATTATGGGTAAAGTTTTCATCATGTTTGCGTATTTGTTGGTCACATTCTTTAAAACGTGTCCGGAATTCTGGGTCAAAATTTTCAACCAAAATGGCACGTCCCCCTTCAAAATCTAGGCTTAGCACGTCCCCCACCCCGAGAGTGTCATTGTGACTCTGCGAAGGAGACAATAAAACCTTGTTGAATCCTTGTGCTCGCTCGGTTGACAAAATGGCGAGCGAAGATGACGAGAAAGTCAACGATGGAGCAGAAAACATTTCTCCAGGAATAATATATGTCAGCAAAATCCCACCCTTTATGAAGCCAGGAAAGGTTCGAAGTCACATGACTCAGTTTGGAGAAATTGGAAGAGTTTTTTTACAGCCAGAAGGTAAACAAGTTAGTCGTCAATTTTCGCCCCTTGACGAGGTTCTTGAAAAAAATGTTCATAACTATTCATGCTGATCCATACAAAGTTTGATAGAGCGAAAAAATCATTCAGTTTAGATGTATGTCCGAAGTTTTGACATAAAGCGGATACCTACGAAGTTATGGATACTTTAATCTGAAGTTCACCACCATGCCATGGGAAACAATCCATGCTGCATATCCCATCCCATGTAATCCCTCACGCCTTAGATACGGCTAGGCCAGCAGGTGTACGTCAAGATTCATAAGCAATAAAAAAAATGAAAAAAACATTACGCTGACCCAACTCACAACAATACTCAGTCAAGTTATTCATAAAGTTGGGATAATGGAGATGATATTTTTTGGAGTCTTTAGAGTTTAGATTTTATGTTTTCACTTTGTTTAGAATCCACCCAGGCTGGAAAACTTGCATATGCTTGCAAATACGCTGGACTTCGTGCTTGCATCTCGGACCTCTAGTCTAGTGACCCAGAATATCAATGTATCCATGAATATTATACTTTAGTAATGTTTACATGGGCATCATTACTCATAAGCCGCAGTTGATCATGTGCCTCTGGTCGCAGTGCTGTGTCAGTAGAATCATACAGTCATATTTTCCCACCTCTGGCAATCCACCATGTAGAAATCAATATTAAAATGTACATTAACAATGACAAATGTGCTTGGCTCCATGTGGTATGCTAGTTATTGCTGTCTGATGGTAAATAAGCATGTGTTGATATTTGTTTCTGATCTGCAAGACCGAAGAGGTTGTCTCTTATGTTGGAAGGGACTTGCTGTTTTATTCTCTCCACTCCCCCCCAATCTTTAGATTTTGCATCCTGGCATTATATAATATAGAGAGTGTTTGACTAAAAGCTTCAGTTTTTAGTATTTGTGCATATTAGAAAAATCAAGACACTAGAAATATACCTTTGTATGATTCTTCATTTTCTTCAATTTTCTTTTTCCTTTTTCACCTTTTCAAATGCTTCTTTTTCTATAATTTATCTTGTAATACCGCTTTAGAGAGCTAAATAACCATATTCTCTCTTGTATTGATTCAACTTCTAATTTAATTGGGGGATCATTGAAGAGGCGGGATTATCAGAGAGACAGGATTATCAGAGAGGCGGGATTATCAGAGAGGCGAGATCAATTTTTCAACATGCTTTCAAAAAGCGGGCTTAGATTTCAACCTGTTCTCCTGTGCATGTAAATTGCAAAGAATGTTGACAAAAGTTGGTTGGAAAAACAATGCTGATTGGGTAAAACATTATTCATCGAATAAGAATGATAAGACACTGATGAAATACATTGATCTTTTCTTAATCAAACCCACATGCAAGATAATCAGAGAGGTGGGATAATTTCCAAAGTATAGAAATAAGGCAGGATTGTTAGAGAGGCAGGAATGGTAGAAAGGGTGGGAATACCAAAGAGAATACAGTACTTAGAAGTGTCAACAAGATCAAGAACATAGAGCAGTATCTTAGTCTTCATTCGTTTTTCCATTATAGTGTGCACTGTGTATATATTTTAACCTCCTGTGGCTCCATTTCTTTGTATTAAATCTCCTTCAACTACAAGATATTTTTCATCCCTAGTACTTTTCAGACTTCTTCCTCAAACTCATTTCCAATTAACGTCTCCCAGCTTAAGCAGTCAGTAACTATGGAAGTTAACTGGAAAAAGGTTTTCCATCCCCCCCCCCTTCATTTTTGAGGATTACTTTTGGAATTATTGTTTTAGACCCTCTCACAAGAAAGAGAAGAAAAAAGACTGGAGGAAGTGGGAAAAAGATGTTTACAGAAGGTTGGGTTGAATTTAAAGACAAAAAAATTGCCAAAGCAGTTGCAAGGACACTCAATGGACAAATAGTAGGTAAGAAGAGGTTCTGTTTTGGGGTTTAAATCACATATCACTGGGGTGCTTAGCTGATGCTAAAAGAGGTGTTTTCCCAGCTTGAATGATAGGTAGCATCAAAAAGAACTGGGGCAGTTAATATATGATTTATATAAATTCTCATAAATGTTATAGATCTCTGAATTGAATCAACTTTTATGTCAAAAGACAGAAACTCAAGGAAGTAGGATGCATTATATAGTGGGGGCACCTGTTTAAAGGGGCACCCTAACAAAGACTCTATAAGGTTAAAAATCTGTTTAAGGGGTACCCTAACAAAAATTCAAGTTGGTCTTTTTGGTTATGCATTTGGTAAAAGAGGACCACTTGGTAAGCTGCCAAGGGGCATGCCCCCTGTGCCCCCTGGTTATTATGTCTATGCAGACACTTTTTATAAGTTTTGGGACATTTGGGCAACATTAGAAACTATTGAAAGACAAAGTTTAGATAATATTTGCATTGTTTAGAAGATTAAATGGATTCAGTTATCTTCATAAAATAGCTTGCATTATAATGGCTTTGCTTCAAATACAGATTTTAGTAGCATTTCTCTCTTTTCTTTAATGTTAATGAAATTTTTGATCCCTTGAATGAAGGGCCCAGGTCAGCATTCATACCTCAAAATATTTTTCCATGCTGTTCCCTTTTGATGGTTTAATCATTTTCAAGGTGGAAAGAAAAGAGGATATTACCATGATGACATTTGGAACATAAAATATCTAAAGAAATTCAAATGGGGACATATCAGTGAAAAACTAGGTTTGGAATGCATAATTCATTGAAAAGTATATATTCAAAATGAAACCTATAGTTCAAGGAATCATTTGTAAAAATGTAAAATTAAACATATTTTTAGAGGTTTGCAGTTAATTCTGAATCACCATATTGTAATTTGAACTAGAGACAAGGTAAAGACAGAATGGACAAATTTATGGCAAAATATGAGGACAAAGTATTTTTCTAAAAGGAATTATTTTGTTGCTTCTAATTCCCTAAGGGTAGACCTCATTCAACAATATGGTATTTCTGTAGAAAGTGATGAAAATAAACAAGGATGATAAGTGAAATTTAAAAGTGAAAATAATTATCCATTGCCATGGATTCTGTGGGCTGCTTCATTATAGATTCAGGTTTGAGTTGCACTTTACCATGCTGCTATCAAAGTAAAGCAAAGAGGAATAACTTTTACTTTGAAGAAACTTTTACATATCTGTGTATAATGGATCAATGCAGCTAGTATAGTTCAAACCCCCATCTGATATGAAAGTCATTCAACTCTACTAGCAACCATGCATATTGTGGCTGGAACTAAAGAAATTGTCCTGTTACAACCTCAAAAGGAAACAATTAGTTGAGTTTTATAATCAAACAAAATCCAAGTCATTAACAACAAAAACATTTGGTTGCCTTTGTTTAAGAATATAATTTTTGGAAATTTTCAGTTTTTTGACAGTGGGATCTTTGAGATTCGGTTTGCATGGCCTCTTTTAATTTCTTTGCTAAATCTTGTAGACAACATAGGAAGCAGAGTTATGTTGTTTACTTTCTTATATTTCCCTTCTTGATATTTATATTTTCAATATTCATATGATATTATGTCTTGTGTTTTGCCATAGCATATGAAAAGGCTGCCAGGGAGCAAAGGATGAGAGCAGAAATTTCACAAGTCAGAAAAGAAGCAAATTTCTATCTGGATAACGTAGAAAAAAGTAAAGCAATAACAGCAATGGAAGAGAGAAAAAAGAAAAAGCGGAAACAAGCCGATACTTTGTCACAAGAAGATGTGGTAAGGCAAAATTCTATGGTATGGAAAATTCCTAATATAGAGATAAGGACCTATGTGATTGTCTTCAAAAAGCTTATATGTCTCCTAGAATTGTTATGATTTAATCAAGAAACCTTGTCTTGACTAGTTAGTTATCTGTCTTATCATTGGTTTTTCATATTAATTTTTGTACTAAGAAGTAACTATCCATTTTTAAAGGATGCAGAAAGTACTCGACTAGCAATGACAAAATTCAAGCAGAGAAAAGTTGTTATGAAGGCTGAAGATCAGCCCAAAGTAGACAGGAAGGATGTCAAGAAGCAAATAAATTCATCCCTTCTCTCTAAAGTAAGTACTTGATTTGTTTTTTAATCTAAAGTAAATTGTCTTATTTTGTTTTATTAAACATAATATATTTTCATGCATTGATATGTTTAAAATTTATGAGTTGTGGTGCTTTTTGGAGCCTTTTAGAAAAATTTGCATTTTTGATGCATTTTTTTGGCATTTCAATTTGTTTGTACATTCTTAAACTCTATTTTTAATGATTGCTATTCTAAATCTGTATTTGAATGTTGGTCACCATTTACTCCTTTCAGGTCTTCTGATATGCTTGAACAGTATTTGCTGGTTGCATCAAAGATTTCCTCCTGTTTCAGCCAAAATCTTCTCAGAGCTAGGACCTGACAGGTTTTGAAAGTTAAAGTTCTTGTCAAAATTCAGAAAAGATAATATACACATCTGAAGCAGTGGATTTATGGGAAAGAATGACCCTGGGACACCAGTGTGTATGAATAGGCTCCTTTTCATCCACGGGAAAGGTTGCAATGAGATGATACAAACAAACATATATCATCATTGATGAGATGATCCTTTTTGCATGGTTCATAGTCATTTTCATGACTTTGAATTTAGAATTAGTTTTACAGTTTATCGGCACAAGCCAATTGTTAATCTGCCAACAGTCTACAGCGAATAAGTTGGTACTTTATCAACAACCATTTATACCAACATTACGCATCCCCACATCTGATCAATTGGATTTGCTTTTTAGATTCACTTTTTACAGTCAGCCTTTTTATGAAAAGTAGCAACTATCAAAACTGAAAATTGAAGTATCCTCTACTTTTTGTTTTTTAGCTTCTTGTGTACCTTTCTTTTATTTTCTATATACCTAGGAATTGTTTTTTAGCAATTACATTTTTTATTAGTTTTTTCAGCTTGTCAAAATTATTTGAGCTGTCAATAGCCAATTCACAAGCTTTCAAATTATAATACTCAAACTATGATAGAATTTGGCTCAGACAAAACACAAGCTATGTTCAATGTCTTTTCATTTATGATAATATCATGGTTAGCTTGCAAAATTTAGACAGAATCTAAAGATCTAATTAACAAAGTTAATGGACATACTTGTCACATAAATAACCAAACTACTCTACAGTTTACACAATGGAAATGTGTAAATAAGATGCAAATATATGTCAAATTTTTAACTTATATTTTTAACAAAGATTTGCTCTTATGGATGAATTAAAATACAATCAAGGCAAAAATGCTCACTAATTGAGTCCAAAACTATTATTTTGAAGGAATTATATGGTCAGGTAGTCAACTACTTGCATCTTATTTACTTTTAAGAACTTGAAGAAGAACTTAAGTTTTCAAAAACAAACTACAAGTGAATAAAAAAAACACAACAATAAAATGAAAAATTTGGTTGGCTTTTCTTAAACCACAAAAACTGTTAGTTTTTTATGTGGAACTGGAAGTTCTGGAATAAGCCCCTGGGGGCTTATTTGCAAAATAATTTTGGGGTAGGGGCTTATTTGAGGTCTATTTAGCAGCAGCCAAAAATATTACCTTTCTTCCACTATTTGAGGCTGGTCAGTATGCTTAAAAATGCAGTTATATTGGGAAAAATCTATTGCTATTGAGGCAATACTTCAGCCCATGGGGGCTTATTCAAGGGTGGGGGCTTATTTTACAAAATTACTTCAGGATGAGGCTTATTTGAGGGAGGGCTTATTCCAAGTTGGGGGCTTACTCAAGAACTTACCCAAAACTAAATTTATCTTAAACTTTGCCTTAAAAAGCACATGCCTATATTGCAAATTAAAAACTTGTTTTCCAAAAGAAAATGTAAAAAGAAAAAAATTAAACAAACAAGATTCACATTCCAATCAGAATGGGAGAGATGTTTAGAATTGTAGCCCATTTTTTTCCTGCCCTGAAGGTCAGATAATTGAAAAAAATTATTAAATAACAAAAATGACGCTATGAAGCCCCATTGACTAAAACTGCTACGGCTAAAATTCTGTTGTTACTTCTTTATAACAGTCTTGTTTGGAAGATGATCTATGGATTAAAAAACATTTTCATCAATCAAACCTTATGGCGAGGCATTGCTTTAAAGAAATTTTGACAAACTGTCAGTGTTGTTGAGTTTACCAAAGGTGGTTGGTTACCTTCAGTACTACACAAATAATGAAGCCAGCCTCAGGGATATAATCACGGGACCTGATCAACACTTCCTAACTTTTGAGTTTCTAAAGATAACCTGATGATTACTTTTGGTTGATGCTTTTCCCCTCTTTCCTTTGACTGTTATGGGTAGGGCAAATTTTCATTGGGTGGTCATGAGTTGTTGATGAAAAATATTCTGTGGGGGCATTGACAAGGGCAAGGAATATCACTTCTTAAACAAAACAGCCTGAATATGGTAAAATATAGGAAGAAGATTGGGGGTGATGTAGTTGTAAAAATCACAAGATGGATCAGACAGCTAAGTTTCTTTGATTTTAATTAAAAAATATTTTAGGCATTCCTGGGATAGAGAAAACAAGTGTAGTTGAACCCAAGAAGGAAACAAGAAATTAATCACTACTTACCACATTTTGCTCTTTTTACTACTCTTACTTTCTTTCCTTTCTCACAATTTTTCTTGAACAATTTGCATTCATTACCATATGTGATAGCATCAGTACCACAAACTGGAGATTCATCTTCAGGACAGAATGCGACACATTTCTTTCCTGCAATTCAGAAAACATATTAAGTATGCTATTGTCAAAATTTCATTTGTAGACTGAGGGGAAGCAATTCGCAGCCCGGCCTGTAAATGATAGTTGCTTTTGATGCCCTACACTGGATTTTGATTCCAACCAAGTGTAGTATTTACAACTGGGCAGCACCCTTGGGGAAATGATATCCTCTTATGCCTACAAAAATGGGAATTGTGGGATATGTGAAAGTTTCTGGCAATACAATTAGAAACTTTTGTACTTCACATTGTGATAACGGAAACTTGTTTTAGATTTTTTTCCAACCCTTTTATATAAATATTTACTCAATTCATTATTGTTTATATATGTTTCATTGTTCTGATTAATACTTCCGATCAATTCTATCACTCTTTATATTTGTATCTTCATTTGTACTTTCCACATTTACATATGAACAGATGACACTGCTCTATTTCTTATCCTTCTTGGTTTTTTTCTCCTGGGTAAACATTTCACACTTAACAAATATCATTATTGCTACTTGCATATGGTGTCTGTTCCGATCTTCTTATATCTAGCTGCATTTATGTTATTTGTCCACATAACAAAATTACGAAGTTAGCTTTTGTTCTCTTGTTCTTAGGTTTTTATTGCATGGCTCCATATGCCTGGAATAGCAGTTCTGATGAATCTTTTTTACTGATTATATTCTGTAAAGATTTTAATGCCTCTTGATAGAGCTATACAGATATGAAGATACTTGATTGTCACATCAAATGTGACACTTGGAGTAGCAACTAATAGCTGGCCTGTTCCTAACAACAAAGCATACACACAGACTTATGTTGATTCTTCTGATTTTAAGGGAAGAGAAAGGTCTGTCACATCTGTCACTGTTTAACGCTTCAATCATTGTAATAAATTTAAGTATAAGCAAGTATAATTTAAGTATAATTCTCATTCATAGCAGATGTTTTTTATGTGAAACTTGAAAATACCAATTTCGCTGCTAACACTCAACAACAGCAGTGTGTGATAAAATTTGACACATATAAATCATTTTGAATGCTTTTGCATAACACATGCAGGCCATGCTGGGAATGGCGAGCGACCGCATGCCCATGCCTTGCCACATGCCTTCCATTGCTCAGAAGATGCAGTTTGTTGCACGCCTTAAATTATCTGAACACTTTATTCTAAAGTAGACAATATTGCCCAATGTTTTTTTTTATCATAATTCAACTATCAACAAACGGTGATAATCACGCTCAAGGTTATGGTAAACGTTTTCTGGATGAAAACATCCATTTTTTGATTTCTTCAGATTCTAGTAGCCGACTTTCAAGGCACACAATGATACCATGTTTAAAATCAACAGAAGTTTTGAAAACGGTGAACAACCCCTGTAAAAGAAGGTTTCTGAAATTTCTTTATCAAAGTTTAGGTTGAGGTCTGAAAACCACTTGACCTTTCAAGCTGATAATCCTTGCTTTGCAGTTGTGGTTGAATGTCTCATTTGCAATATCCCATGACACATCCATGTATATTTAAATAGGGCCCTGTCTATTTAAACAGGCCTATTGACCTTGAAGCTTCAAATGACTTGACCCAGATTTCACTGTGGTTTACAAGTGTACTTTGCAAGTGGGATCAGAAAAATCCTGTTTTGTGAGGACTCACAATTTCTCTATATACAGGTATGAAAAAGCTATTTTGTACCCAAGGAACCAATGAAATGGCTATTTAATTGGTTCTAAAAAAATCAACAGGTAAGTTTTTTTTATGGTGTAAACACAGTCAAAATTCTGAAATTTTGAAAACGAGATTGTCAGGAGAAGCAGAGGAGAAGGGTTTTTGTAAACTACAGGATGACATATTAATTAACGTACCTTATTGTTAATATTGTTTTCTTTAATATGTTGGATTTGACGTTAATAAAGCTTGTTTAACAAAAATGTATTGATTGGACTAGCCTTTTGTTTTTTTATGATAAAGTTATGTAGTCTAGTCTATATACAGCTGACTGTACTATTAAGTACCTAGGGGCAATAGCACACCATTGCACGCCTTGGCACCACAAGGAGTGTGATTCATTGCACCCCCACCCATTTTTTCCCAGCATGGCCTGGAATTTTCTGTAGCACAAAATATCATGCTTGCTTATTCAATGTACCCAAAAACAATAAAATGAAACTTTAGTGACCACAGTCCTGAATTAATGAAAAATAAAGAAAATGTAGTAAGTAATTTGACCAAAATTAAACAGAAGATCAATATAAACATATTAAAAATCTTAGTTTAACCTACCACATATCCTTTTTGCTTTCTTTCCTTTCAGTCGTTTGATGACAGAATTTGTCCTGCATGCTGTAAGCTTCAATTCACATTCACTTGGATATAATTTGCCATCATTGCCACATATAGGTCGATAAATCAATGGACAGTTTTCTGGGCACTCACCAGGCTCTATAAAACAAAGCACAAACATATAACAGAAATTAGCTCCGAGCAGAGGCGGCGCCAGAAATCTTCCGACAGAGGGGCTGGAGCTTCCGACAGGGGGGCTAAAATGACTAAAATAAGCAGTTTTAGTACGTTATTTTGTCAAATTTGCTCCGACAATAACCTAAAACTTCCTCCGATGGGGTGGCTAGATGCTTCCGACGGAGGGGCTGTAGCCCCCCTAGCCCTCCCCTGGTGCCACCACTGGCTCCAAGACAGAAATAGCAATCCTGGATATCAAAATCTTATCACTTAATGGTAAAGCAAACATCTACATATACAAAAAATTACCATCAAGATATTTAAAATCAGATTCTGCATGAATTAAATTAGGATTCAAGAACCTTCAAGACATCAGTCAAAAACAGCCTCTAAACAGCCTAATAAAATTTGATCTTAGTGTTAAAAATCTAATTTAATCATTTTTACATGATTTGTTTTACTGAACGAGCTGTAATTTCTTCTAACAAAGGTTACAAGATATGTTCAACTCTAACGCAATACTTACTGCATCTTCCAATTTTAATAAGTGATATTTTCTTATTTTTGTTACAAGAGGCTAGTTTTAGGGAACAAACGCTGCTGTATGTTTTGTTGTCAGCACCACAAACTGGGGCAAATATGTCTTGGCATCCTGCTGGGCATTTGCTCATTCTCTCTAAAGGACAAAACAAAATGAAACCTTTATATGTTAGTGAAACTTAGCAACAGAAAAAAGCAAAAAAGTTTAACTGGTGGCAACAGCTGCATAAACAACAATACACAATGTGGTACTCACTGCAGGGTCCTCGTTTGTTGAAGACAAGGTTCTTGTTCAACTTTTTCATTTGACAAGCAGTTTTTTTATACTGGCAGATATTTGGGTAGGTCTTTTCTTTTTTTGTTGATGTATCTGTGGCACATACCGGCTTGTAATTCTTCTGGCAGCTTTTGGGACAATCTAGATTGAAATGAGCAAATAAACAATGTATTAACTGCAATGGGGTATGGCTTATTGTCAATTGGAAATTTCACAAAATAGTATATCAACAAGTTGATTAAACATATTTAACTACAATTTATCTAAAAGCTAGCCCCATATCAACAAAAATACCTGGGGTTCTACTTTTCCATAGGTGTTCTGTGCCGATAAAATTATGGGCAATGGTTGCAAGATTGTAGTAGCTGTTGTCATTTGAAAACATGTTTTCATAAAAAACAATCGTGAACACCGAATTCATATCCAATAGTAAAGTAATCAACAACATTGTAGCATCTCCTTGTTTAATGTGTGTATTTCAGTCAGTAAACTTGCCAAGATGCAAGAGTCAACATTGTTTCTTAATGCCCATTTCCACTTGGTTCACATTAAATGTTCGCTGTTCACAGTTCGTTGTTTGCTGCTGGCTGTGCAAAGCGAATGGAAAAGGGGTAGAGCATCATGATTTCAGTTTCCACTTCAAGAGAAGCGTTTGGGTCAAGTGTGGTCAATAACAATTTTCTTATTCTGAATGAAAAATGTTAGAAAGAAGCTTGTTGCTTTTTTAGGGGCAAATAACTCCATGGAAATTTGTACACCTCTTGTTGAAATCCTTTTTAGGACACTGAGTGAAAGTTTGGTCATGCCAGGGGCTCAAACCATGGACCCTTGGGTCTGTAGTCAGCGCCTCCAACAACTGAGCCATCCTCGCACCTGTGCCCATGTTTGTTCATCTGAGAACCCCAAGAAATCATTTGGTTTTGGTGGTGATCTCTTATGCTCTTAACAAAAGTGATTGTCCCTTGTTGGTACAGCTTAGTGAACATAAAAACTTTATTCAATTCTTTCGCACTGTGCCTAATTTTGAAGAGTAGGTTTTTAGTAGTACTGTTGGTGTTTATGTTGTTTAACAGTATGCCAAGATAACTTAGGTCAACAGTTAACATCAAAATGATGTGTTGGTGATATCAAACTGTCACCTATAGCAAGTGGGGAACCATTGGTAAACCTTTTTCTGTTGGCTGAGCAAGTTCACTCAAATATGAAACACATGCAAACAGTCAAATTCAACTCAGCAGCAACAACTGTTTTCTGTTCACTGGCAAACAGCAAACAGCGAAATCCCTTGTGAACTGCATATGCACATGAAGTGGGCCTTAAATGTTTCCTTGTTCTTTCCTGTTCTAAATTTTTCATTAGATCTTCTAAAAAACAATTCTCTACCACAAATCAATTAAATAGGAAATAAAAGTTCATCAGAATCACAAGCTCTTATAAATTTCTTTCGTCCTTGTATTTAACTCCCCTAATATAAATTCTGTCTTTGGGTACATAACTTTTGTCAATCTTATCACCAAAACCTCATATCTATGATTGTAATGGCAGACAAAAATTTTAATTCCAAGACAACCGTGTCTGCCTATTTCAGATTAGATTCGGTTTCTTTTGAATAAAAAAGGATATATTTTTTGCGATTTTCTCTAAGATCTAGCTTGTGGTTGCAAAATCTCATTGTAAAAACAAAGCAATTTTTCTGCCACAGAATTTTTTTGGCTCTTTACAAAACTCAAGCCTTCAAAACACTTACAGCATATCCAGACTGTAAGGTAGCTTTGAAAACAATGATTTGGAATGTACATTTTTTAAACATGAAGTAATACTGACTGCTCCCTAATTAATTATGAAAACTGATTTCTCATCATGTGCAAGTTTAGTTGTAAGTGTTAGTCTAAACCGGGAAGTGTTCAATAAAGGGTGAATACTGGAGGCAGACATAGTGAATTAAATATTGGGTAGATCATATAGGTTTGGCAATATTGCCTTGATAACAATGGGAACTAAGTTTCTCATTCATGCATTAGTTAGTGCGAGTCAGTCAGTAATGCATAAACTCCTCGGCCTATAAACGAACATGTGTATTTGATTGATCATTGTTTGCCATATTAGGAAAACAATTTAAAGGTTATTCAACAGGTATATCACTTTAAAATTTACCCACATACTAACACTGTTTCATTTCTCACAGATATCAGATTTAGATTAAGTAGGAAAACTCTAAAAGAAGTAAATATCTTTTTCCATAAAAAAGAACAAAATATCTCTCTTTGAATGTTTATTGAAAGAAAATTACCACAAGATCCAGGATGTTCCACTTTGATATCTTGTTTCTTTTCACATGACTCCTTCCGTAGATGACAAGAAGTCAAGTATGTCTTGCCATCACTTCCACAAACCATCTCCTCACCTGCAGGGCAACTGTTGACACATTTTGTACTTTGGATGCCTGTTGAGAGATTCAAATATAAGAAAAAACAACTCCAGACATAGGTGAAGATTAAGTAATCATAAAAGAAATTATTCATAAAACCAATGTAAGAAACAAAGATTATCTATCATATTTTGAAACCAAAACAACCAGTTTGATGTTGCACTAAACATGAAAAGTATTTTGATAACTTCAAAACTCCTATGTGAGCAAAAGTCTTTTTCTTATTGAGAAAAGAAATATTGCAAGGATGGCTCAATTGTTAGAGGCGCTAACTACAGACCCAAGGGTCCATGGTTCGAGCCCCTTGCATGACCAAACTTTCACCAAGAGTGAAGAGAGTGGCCAGCTGTCTGTATTTTCAGGCATAGGAATCACAAGGTGTGGTCACATCGAGAGGAAGGACCAGGACACTGCTTGATAAGCATAAGCTTCTCAGTATCCTAAAGACTACTTTCGGATGCTAGGTAGAAACAAATGCAACAAATATTGCAGATGATCTACAATCCTCAGTTTATTTCTTTGCAGATAAATTTTTATATTTTCCCCTCAAAGAATGTCTCAATGCTAATATTATGCTACTTTTCATGGATAGCAAAGAGTTAAAAAGCATTTCTGAAAATCCAGAACATAGGTATCTTTTTATTTTTGAATGCCGTAAAAACAAAAAAGAAACACAAATTACAGGAAAACTAAGTGAGACAATAAAATCTTTCATAAACTAAGACTGTATCTGTTTACTTTGCATGCAAATAAATACAGGATATTAAACACTGAAATTTTATAATATGCTCACAACTTTGTTGTCATTCAAAAACTTGTGGATCTATGAATGCTAACAAAAGCATCAAGATTATTGAAGCTTGCTTATTTGAGGCATTACAGACTAAAAGTCAAATTATTATGCTATGGAGTCTTTTTTTTATAGCATAGTGTATTTCATAGCTTTTAAAAACACCTTCTTTGAAAGAATAATTGTCAAATATTCTTTAAGACAAATGGTTTTACCAAAAATGCTGGCAAGATATAGCAATTCAGGGCAAACCAGTGAAATGAAAGGACTTAGGGAGTGATCACCCTGATGTCTATAATGCAAGCTGTCCTGACCAAACTCAAGTAGAGATTCATGAAAAGATATTTTTAATCACCCACTCACCTGAAGAAAAAAACATTCCAACAACATGAGAAACTGAAGCAAAGCAAAAAGCACATGCGAGTAACAGCTGCATTTTTAAAGGATATTTGCGGTTTCTTGTAGGTGCCCTAAAACCAAAGCAAAAGTATTTAATCAAGACTTATTCCCCCTCCTCCAGTCCTTGGAAAATTCTATCAAATCATTCACTTTTCATCAAAAATTCTGTAATCATCTTTCAAGCTTTCTAAACTTACAACTTTGATGGAACAGATCTTTATGACAATCATTTTCATTAAGCAAATAACTTGAAAAAAATACTTGAAAAAGACTGCAGAAGAAACTCAAGACTTCAGTTGACTGTCAAATTTTTAAAAGCAAATAACTTACCATCAAAGTATGTCATTCCAAAAAGTTTGTTTACCTTCATTTATTCTTACCTCAAAATTGTAAAGTTTTGTATAACATTGCTTCCTATTTACCCTTCCAAACAATCATATTCTTATGTGTATCAAACATTTTACCAATATGTACTAATCTAATAAGGAAGCTTATCAAATTTAAGCCACAAACATTCACCCTTGTTTTCAGAAAGTTCCAACATTGAATCCATCCATGACATTTTGGCCACTGGTTCACTTAACACAACTTCTTTAAAAACAGCTTATCCTTGCTATGGATGTTGGCAAGCAAAATAGCTTTTGCATAAAAACGGCTAACCTAAGATTTAGTGGATGAAATATAATGTCTCCATGGTAATAATGTCTCTTTGTTCCACAGCACCAGACTTGTTCAGTTAAAATATCTTTGTCCAAGAGCAAAGATAAACCTTAGGTTATAACTTTTGGTGCCCTTGTTTTGATACTTTTAGGAAAAGCTTAATACAAAAATAGAGAAACAAATAGATAGTTATGTAGGTAAATGCTATTAGTTTACTATAACATACCTTTTCGTTCAATAGAACCGCCTTTTGCCTCTACAGTGCAGCAAAAATAGACTTTTGTACCCGCTATTTTCAGTCCCACTTTCCGTACAGAATTCTTCCGCTGCTGAAAGGACTGGAACCCAGCGCTAAAATGACGCAAATGTTTCTCGATCAAGATGCAATAACAAGTCGTTTAGTTACGGACCGATGACTTCTTTTTGAAGTTGAACGGGGGAACTGTGAGATTTTCTTAATTATTGCCTTTTGTAAATAAATAATTGTCATTTGATTTAGATTTATCTATGCTGATTCCTAGAGGAACACAATTGCTGAAACTTCTTTGCTCAAGTTAACGGCCGCTCTAAAACAATTCTTTTTTCAAACTGTACCGGGTTCCATTGTAACCTCTGGCTCCAACCAAAGCTGAGCTTTTATGACTTGGCACAATTGTAGCATTCTTGGCACAAACGTAAAAGCCACAATTGTAGCATTCTAGAAATTGTCCCTGTTTATATGAATTTTTGGAAATTGCCTGTCAACGACGCGCTGGGGCCTGTAAACTAGCACCTTGATATCGTCCCACTAGCATTACAATTTGTTTTTATATTCTTTATGGTGGTAGTTAAATTACTCATAAATTGTTCAAACACTGCAGGATTAATAGCCCCCTGAACAAGAAGGTTTCGGAGCTGCTCACACGTGTGCAGCTGGCGGTGTGATGATTCGCATGCACGAAGACATCATTACCGTTTTAATTGCGATTTGATTGTCTTGGTTTTTATACGAAAACAAAGACACCTGCTAGGAGAAACAATAAGACACGCGAAATTGCGGTTTTATTGCTTCCGTGATTCATATAGAAATGTTAAATGTGGAATTTGTGCAGTTGGTTAATCGATAACAACAAATCGATACCGAAAGGGTTTCAGTTTGAACAGGCACTATCATTGTGTCGAGGAGACAATGCAATCATCTTATATTGGAAATTGATCTTTAATACTTGATGTACAAAGTCAGGGGTCGTGAGTTCGAGCCTCGCTCGGGTCGGTTATTTTCCCGCACTCTCTATTAATTATCTTCGAAATCCTGTTGTCTGTAAATTGATCTTTCGAAGGTTAGGGTTCGTGTAAAACGATTTAGAGATTTTTACTCTTCCCAGAGAAGCAACAATAAGAAATCCAAAGTATATTTGGCAAGCATATTATGACTATTATTTTTAACTTACACTCATTGCTACTGTGTCATTTGCTTAAAAAATATTTGAAAACCAACTAAAATAAAGAATGCTTAAGAAAAAGCTAAAGAAAAATAAAATAAGAAATGATTAAGAAAAATAAGAAAAAGCTTCTAAAATCCTTGTATACCTTCTCCTTCTATTTCTCTTCTCGAAGATTTGTCTGGTTTTAAAAAACCTCTCATGATTCTTATGTTGATAAATATTTGAGCAGCGCCTTGACGATGGATATAAATGCCAGTGGCGAAAAAACAGCCTAGCTCAAAGCATTTGGGTTTTAGATTTTGGTCAAAATTTATCGCACTTGTGAGATATATGCAACACCCTCCATCTAACTCAAAAAACTCAGTAGCTTTTATTCTCGTTAAGGTACAAAATATTGTTAGATCTGATTTGCTGTTGTGCATGAAGTTTCAACGCGATAGATGCTTTACTTAAGTTTTATTTCTAAGAAAATTTAATTGAAAAGACAAGAAAGTTTTAAAGAATGGCAAAAAGACCAAATTTCACTCTCAAAGAAAGGCTGAGGCATTTACTGGACCATGCTCAAAACCTACAAGAGCTTTTTGTCACCAGACTACGATTTATTGGCTTGCATCATATTGAGGTAGCAGAGCCTCGCTTACGTGTTTCGATTTTAAATGTAGATCTAAATGCAGATCCACTAAGACATGTACGACCAACTCGCCCCCTGATGTCAGTTCTGCCCGAGAGGCATATCAAGGACTAAACCCGAGATCATCATCTCCCTTGTTTAATTTCAAATTATAAAGTAACCACAATGAAAAAAGAATGTTAAAAAAATAACTACACGTGAAAATAATTCGCAAAGCACATTCAAACTTTAATATGAAAAAGACAAACGAGGAAACCGCATAAAACTGGATAAGCATAAGGTGGGACATGCAGAATAAATGCAGTGATATAAGTTCACCTCGAAGCATTATTGGTTGAAGTTCCCACAAACAAAACATATTAAAAAAAGATTGCTTAAACGGAGATCATTTGGCCGCAAACGTCAGTGCTAGCTGGAAAATTAATCTTGCTGAAGAGGGTACGGTGGCCTGGTGGCCTAGCTGAATGCTGAGGAGGGAACTCCGTTGATATAGGATTGCTTTTATCAATATGGGGTTGAAAACTTTATACAACAGAGTGTCGATGCTTTGGGGTATTACGACAATTTGATTAAATCAAGTTGTTTCGTTTCAACTCTTTGGGTTTAAAACATGTTTTTTGACTACCTCGTAATTTTTGGGTCTGAAATGCTAAATTAAAGTTTTATTGATATAGAACTGCTCGAATGGAGCATGAAATGCGATACATTTTCCCTCATTAGGGGGGGGGGGGCTGAGCCTGTCTTCTACGCCTATGCTAGAACAAGTACAATATTTCCTGCTGGAACAAAGGAACAGCTTCTGCAACTGACCATTTGTCTAATAGACTTTGGGGATCATTGATTTTGAAAAATTTGAAGCCACATTAGAAACAAAATGTTGAATTAACTAATGAAAACAGAGCTTAGAATTATTTATCTTTAGGAAAAGGCTTAAATATTTGTTTAAAGTCTTTGGCTAATAAATTAACTGGGGCATTACCGGGTTTTCACTGTATGCAGTTTCTTTAAAAAATAATCTGGAATTATTCACAAATGAGAAAGAAAGCATGCGATATTTGGCATGTCTAACTTCACCTGCTATCGTAGAAGTCGTCAATATGGATCGGATGGAGCGGATCTCTCATTTGAAATCATTATATTGTAAATTGCAAATGTCAAGATAAACAAGAGCAAACAAGTGAGTGAGCATAATAAAATTATCCAAATGAAAAATGTCTTTAAAGTAGAGTGTTAAATCGCGGTAGGCATAGTCCAACACAAAACCTATACACAATGTTATTAGGCAAGGATAATTAACTTTAACAAATACTTGCTGAAATGGTCAAAAAAGACGAAATTGTTAAGGGTAAATTTTGTATTTGATGTACCGAATCTGTACTTGTGGGGCCGGCCATTTTTGCCGCTAATTTGTTTACCTTGATACTTTATCTCGTGATGAGAAAAATTTCTCTGACAATTGTTTCTTTAAATGGTAAGAAAAATAGTGTTGAATTTTGTCGGTTACAGAAAGTTTTCAACTTCTGGAAGGATTTTAAATGCTAGTTATCCTGTTGTATTGAATGTAGACATTACTGTTCCTGTTTTGGATCTAAGGAAGACATTACTTCTGTGATGTTGACAGTGTAAATACATAAAATTGAAACGTCTTAGCTGAATGTCAAACTGATAAATTCCTTTACTCCAGTTTTGTCTTCCTACATTTTTGGGCGTAATGAAATATTATGGTGATGAATAGGACCTTGAATAGCACCACTCTAAGGTTGGGGTTGGAACATGAAGGAGGAAAAGGGTTCACTTTGTTCGTTTTAGGCTTTTGCAACTAGTGGAGATCTAAGGTTCATCTGCCGGATGGCATTATATATGAAAATGGTTATTTAGGAGAATCAAAGTAATTCACTGAACAAGAAGTTTATAGTTCGTTCAAAGAAAAGCCAGGGTTGTAACGACCCCTAGATCTAATTAAATCTGCTCCTTGTCTTGATTGTTTTGAATAATGTTAAAACATGTAAACTCGAAAAAACTTAAAATTCACTAGATAAACACACAAGTTAAAATCTACAAAGATTTGCTTTTAATTATTCACACATATAATGGCAATTCAAGCTAATATATATAAATAGTAAAACCCTAGAGAAATTAAATTACTTTTCAAATTCTGTTAGAAAATGGCTAGTGGATTAACTGTGGTGGTCCTTTAACAAGTCTCGTGATACAATGAGTCTCATAACTTCGTTTGTACCTACAAAAACAATAGAATGTAAGAAGTTAATCCCTAGCTCATGGTTAATTTATTCCTTCATATAACACAATATACATGTCAAGAAAGATTTTACATATCTATATTTACAGAGTCTCATAGTATCATAAACAAGTTAGATTTCAGGTCCTAAATAAAGCGAATCCGGAAACGGAATACAATTTTATGACATACATGTTCGATTTCTAGCAACAAGCTCCCATGTATGTATAGCACCCTGTCAATCGGGTCAGAATGTACAGTACACTGATTAATGTAATGATTACCGCATGGAATTCAGAAGCCAAGATGATATTGTACGTTACTAGCTAGATCAACAATTTCACTATAATATCTCTTTTAGCTAACCTGTCAAGTTCTGTTATCACTGGAAGATAATTTCAATTGGACTTTCATGAAAAACAACATAAAAGCGATAAAATGTCTTTACAATGTTCCAATGCAAACGAAATATAGGGAAATATCATAGCCCCAATTTAATAGGTACTGCCACAAACCTTCCAGAATTTGATGAACCCTGCAATCCCGCATGAACTGCTGAACAGGGTAGGATTTCAAATAACCATAGCCTCCATGCATTTGAAGAGCGCTGTTGCAAATCTGAAGGCAGATGAAAATTAACTCTATTTAACGCATTTTAACAGATTTGAATAGAAAGATTTATTGGTTTACAACACGCATACAGGCGTTGTCAGTCTCCAACAGCAAAGTGGGCCCCCTTGCATGTAAAGTCGAAAAAATAACATCGCCGAAGAAAGGTCAAAGAAAATAGTTGATATAAATTGAAGTGAAAGTGAGATCATTTACGATATTTTCATTACTTCCTCATTTATTGACAAAGAACATTCCTAATCTTGAAAAAATGTAGTTCAACATTGGTTCCCCGTGTGAGCAAACCAATGCCCTCATTCTGAAATTAGAAATAAAAATGGTTTCTACAGACCCTTATAGGGTGTTGTTATTATAAGCAAAATGGTTGCTGAAATTGCCAAAAAAGCGAGGCTGGCAGAGGCAATTTGGTGGCAGTATCGTAAGCATGGTTATTTCCTTGATGTTTTCTTATTACCAATTCAATCATGCTCAGTTTTCTGTCGTATTCAGTTAAGTTGTTTTGGCTGTGACCTCGCTTTGGCTATGACCTCGCTTTGGATATGACCTCGCTTTGGCTGTATCTTTTATGAAATTTATCGTATCGACGTACACTATAAAAAAGAAGCAAGGAGCAGGGGGAGAGGTACATTTTTCCTTTTTTCTATTTTCTTGCAAGTTTTTCCAGGCTTTGAAAATTTCGAACTGTCAATTTGAAGACGATTACTCATGTTCAAGTAGTACCAAATTCATCGGACAAGTTGAGGAAAATTACAAGAAGCAATTGGTTCACTTTATGCACTGATCTACTCTGTAAAACCCTGTAGTTGCATTCTTATAATCAATTTGATATTTCGTCCTGTCACCCACGAACAGTCCTTTCTTTTGCTGGCCATTCTGCTAATATCATACCATATCGTTCTTCTTCTATTTACAAAAGCAGTTGCTTTTCTAAACTACGGTTAATAGCATACTTTTCGCGCTGAACATTTTAGCGCTTTTTCTTGAATTTGGAGATAATATCAAAAACTGAAGTTGCTTAGGAACAAATTTCTAAACTTTTCAATATAATTCGACACTTCCTGGTGTAGAAACTGGAACACTGGATATTAAGGCATATAAGGATATGAACCATTTCAATATTCGGCTCTTCAACTTATTGTGATGAAATCGCCCCCTGCTTTCTGTAGAAAGCCCCGTTCATAACATAGCAAAGCATATATTTTTTTACTGGTATTATGATATGTCTATTACGGTCTAGGTTCTCTCTTCCTACGGTTCTAAACAATTCATTTCAAAAGAAGATCACTTGCCTCAAAACATTTATCTGTTGCTTGAAGTTTTGCCATAGCAGCGAGAGCAACTGCATTGGGCCTGTTTTCATCTAATGCCGCTGCTGCATGTCGAACAAGAAGGCGCGAAGCAACGAGGTCTGATGCCATTTCAGCAAGCTTGAATTGCAAATACTGAAGAAAAAGGAGAACAAAATTAGATATCGAAAAATAGCAAAATATGATCAAGGCAAGTTGCTACAACTTTCGTGTTTAACATTTTGCTACCAAAAGGTATAAAGCTGCATTGCTAGTAAATTTAAGTGTATCTTCAATAAAGAGGGCTTCAATAATGACGCCAAAGATGCTATTTGCTGATGAAAAAGATTCAATCTGACAACAATCAGATCAAGAATTTCACAAATATGACAAAAGGAAGTTTCACTAGGAAAGCCTTCGCAGCGAAACAATAACTCAGTAATTTATAGTATAGTTAAGTCTAGTATCGTGCCTACATTTATACAATGTTTTCAATACATCGTATTTTACAACCGGCAGATAGGACTATTAAAACTTGATTCTTATTATTTTATGATAATGTTTGGCAATTTTGACGTTGCAATTTTGATGTATAAATGATAGTTATTTTAGATTTTGAAACAAATCTTTGGCGGTATGTGCACAAAGCAAGATAATCTTAATGAAGTCATGCACATATAAGAAATTTCTTTCTAGAGTGCTAAGTTCAAATCTTTATTTGATAATGTAGCGATAGACAATTTGATAAAACTCCAAGTTATACAATTTTTGACAATTCGGTTCATCTACATCTCCATAATCAAATGTTTACAGTTTATACGTCCACAGTGATGATAAAAACTGACAAATTTTATGCTGCTAATAGAAAAAAAAGTTGAAATTAAAAATAAGAATTTGGTTGATAATTTCATCACTATGTAAATATTTCAGGACTTCAGGTAAACCGAAGCAATTATGTTTTTGCCAAACGCAATCATATTAAGGTATTTCCGTGAAGCAGAGTCTCCATGCAGCTTTTTCATGAAACGTGTCTACATTTAGACTATGTGGTCACTGAATCATATGTCATCATTGGCAGACTGGTCCACTACAACTTAATTCTTATTATTCCTCGGTAATTTTGGGAATTTTAGACCTTGCGATTTGGATGTACGAGAAACAAAGAAGCTAATAGATTGCATGACTGTCTCCTACCAACGAGCTCCAATCTACACAGCTATCACTTGCATCAAGAAATGCTTGATGAGACAAGGAGCATAGCAATGCACCGAGAGAAAACAAAAATGACCACGAACAAATGACAAAAATTACGTGTGTCGTATAATGACTGCTGGACATCTTATACTGTATAAATCCAGATTTTATTTTCGGGAGTTAGAAAATTTATAATGCGAAATTAAAGACAAATACTTGATTATTGGCCAATGGTTGTCCAAATTGTTTTCTGACACAAATGTGATCTCTAGCATGCTCTAATGCGGTCTGAGCAGCCCCAAGGGAACAAGATGCTAGGACAAAATGAAAAACACGAGCATCAAAAACAGAGACTTAAATTAAAAATTCTCCTCTGCGAATTTCGAGAATCAAAATGCAGTATATATATTATATAACTCAAAAAACTTTTGAAAAAGGTTTACTGGATAGATAGCTGGGTACACCTAAAATAAAATCCCGCCTTTAAGAAGCCAACTTGTTACCAATCTTTCACTCTAACGAATTATAAGTCTGGTCCCTTGGAATACTCCCCGGGGGTACTCCCATTATGGCCTGACAGGGGGGCCCGGTCAGGGTCAAAGAGGGCCAACGCTAAAATTTTAGAAAATTACCCTCAAATGGTAGTACTTTTTGACAAAACCCCTAAAACGGTAGCCTAAAAACCGAAACTATTTCCTTGGTAGCATCCATTTCTTTGTGCTCCACTGGTTCTTTTTTGACAAATTTCTTCATAATTGATTGTTATTATTTCGGGAAAGATAAATCTTGTCCATTATCTATAACAAATCGTAAGCTAAGCTGAGCAGTTCAGTTATTATGGAAAATTCGCCATTTTGTAGCCATTTGGTAAGACCCTCAAACGGACTTGACCCCCTTGTCAGGCCTTAGTAGGACCACCCCCCCTCCCTGGGGAATACTCCTTGTATAACGAGGCCCCGCTATTTTCGTGGTTTATTCGTAGTTTTCGCAGAATTCCCAATAGTAGAATTAAGAATACTGTAAATGCAAACAAATATTGGCTCTTCTGTAGTTAGCATTTTTTATCTTGGATTGAATGATGGAATTCTACCATTGATATGAATAAAGTTATCAGCAATTGACATGTACAGAAAAAGAGCTTTTGTTCTCTCTAAGTTACGGTAAATGAACAATAATTCAACTGCCTCATTCAATTTTTTCTTTTTACAAGTTTATTTGTCATAACTGTTCATTTCTAGACATACTTTTTCAATTCGAAATTCGCCATTCGAAAAATTTTCTTGCTGTTCCTTGAAAGTTCGTAAATCAGAATTGATTTGTATCTTGACGATGAGGCGTATCACAGCAAACTTAAAACTTGCAGAACAATGAGAGTGAAGTGTTTAGTTGGCTTAGAAGTTCAGGAATAGGATTCTGGATCAAAGTAATGAGGCATTATGGGAAGTCATTTTACCAAGGGATCACATCATACGAATGCTAATGATATGAGACAAAGTGTATTTGATTGCAACCGAAAACCATAGATACTAACAGATGCTGATCCTGCCTCCATTCAATGCTTGCATTGCGTAATTGAATCCCTGCAAAAGAGGCAAATTCTCAACGATGTAATTTTAACCTCAATGATTGATTATTCCCTGGTTTCATCATTCGAGACATGACAAACGCGTGACAAATAAGATTAGAAGGAAAATCAATAAGTTAATGACTGAGCAAGATTATCTATAGAAAAAGAAAAATATAAAAACTATAGAGTCTTTAATAAATACAGACTTTGGTAGTTATGATACAGTTAATTTCACATTGGAATGTATTGAAAAGAATTCATCATGTAAGCATTGAAAATATCATTCAGGATGTAACCTAAGCATCAGTGTGGCAATTTTTGACGAAGATTATTCAGGACTTACATATCCTTCTGTCCCAAGTAAATTTTCAGCTGGCACTTCACAGTCTTCTAAGATTACTGCACGTGTTGGCTGTGAATTCCAACCAACCTGTGATTCAAAGCACAGTGTTTCCAAAAATCTTCAATGTATATATGCATTTAAATTAACAGTTGCCTGGTGATCACATTAAGCTTGAAACTCGGAGTAGCAACTTTAAACCGTCCTGTTCTATACACCAAACATCATGTACAGCTCCGCCTATACGGTATCGAGTACTTTTTGACAGTTCAAATTGATTTTACTAAAAGTTAGGCTAGGGTGTTTCATGATTTATCTAAAGTTGGATCAAACTATAACTTCAAGGTGTTAAGGCAAGCTTATGTGAATATGATATGTAAATCCCTAACACAGACAATTTGATGAAGGTAGAATGAAGCGGTAGAATTTAGGGGTACAACCAGGCTAAAACAATAACCAAAAAAAGACTCCTCCTGCTAGTCTCGAATAATCAGAATAATTTAGCATGTCTTAAAATCTTGGCAATATGAAAATATTTACGAATCCACTAAGATGAATTACGCAATTTTTTACCTTCTTTTCCTTAGCACCAAATGCCAGGCCAGGTGAATCTTTTTCGACAAGAAAGCAGGAAATTCCTTTTGGTCCTGAAAAGTTAAAGTAAACATGGAAACAGAACACAAATGCCCTTTTATCTTACCCTCCACTTTCAAGAATTCACTCTTTTTTATTCTTTCCTCCGCTTGTAACTACTCAATTATTATTGCTATATCACATTTACTTAGTAACAATCTATAATTGCGAGTAATTTTCATGACACAAAATAGATAAAACCTATAAGCTGCCCTTTTCAAAGGTTCTGTAAATTGCCATTTCACGAGTTTTGAGTTAGAGATATCCCTATAAATACTGAAGAGCCTTCTTCTCTAACAATCGCAAGATCAGCAAATTGACAATGACACAATGGTGGATATAATCATGTTGGAACAATGGTCTTTTTAGGCTAGGCGTAAAATGCTACATAAACGAACCTGGTCCTCCACTTCTTGCCATGACAGCATACACGTCAGTATCACCACCACCACTTATAAACATCTAGATCAAACGAATTTTGTTACAAATCAATTGGTAGTTCTTAAAGCTTTTCTCAACTTTTCGTACGGCCAAGACCACTTTCCAGATTCTCCGACACGCTTTCAAAGGGTCGGTTAACATTTGGTTGCTTAATTATTGAAATTCAACGTAGATGCCAGGGGAGGGGGCTAACGCCAAATCCACCTAACCATCGTATCTATCTAAAATTCATAACATTTTGCCAATGCGTTTCATTTTCAACAAAATTTTCCAAAATTAGCACATCAGTAGCTTGACAATATTTGATAAAAATTGCATGAAAACAATCAACTTTTGTCTGTAGAAGGTAAACTTGCTGCATACTTGGTGTTTGTGCTTCATGGCTCGGTTTCTGAAGAAATCCGTGGCGAGCACATAAGATTTTTTGAATGTTTAGCTGATTGGTTCAGACAAGATTGTTCTATAAAAACGTTATATCTGAATGTACTTCCGCATAAACACCATGTATCACAATTTAACAGGAAAAAAAATTACATTGATCACAAGGACATATTCTGACAATCGATTACAATGACGATATCACTTGCAACCATGCGGCAACACCTCTGATTAAAAACCTGCTTTTACTTGACTAAACCTGCTTTAAACCAGTTTACATTGGGCATATAATTTCATTACACGATTATCATTAATTAGCCCTTTCGTTAACAAACCATGTCCAATCACACCTTCTTTTATCAGCTAAAGTCTGTTTATTCGATATCAAATTCAACATTCCTTGAAATAAAACAGAAGCCAATAATATCATGTCTCTTGATAATAATCATTTCTTGCCAAAACTCTATGTAAAATTTTCACACTATCAAATTTTTCCGATTAGGAGTTACAATATTTACTAACTAAGGAAACACCTCAAGACTAGCCTGCGCGCAGACTCTAAGTATCTTACCAAGTTCTGGTAAGATACTTAGAGTCTACGCGCAGGCTACTCATAACTGGTAGAATGAATTCTTGGGCAGAGAAAGAACCATTAAAGCGTGCATATTTCCAAGCCTACGTAATACGTTCATAGCTTTTGGGGTGCAATTGTTTGCCATATGCATGCCTGAGGCAATGCCAAAAGTATGTGTCTTAAAAATAAACGCCATATCAAGCCAAACCCTTAAGCCACCGGGTTCACGCGCATGCTTACCTTGCTTCCGTTAAGAATGTAGCGATCACCTTCCTTTTTGGCAGTTGTAAGTAAAGATGCTGCATCACTACCACTTCCTAAAGGAATTAAATCATCACCTCCATTATCCTCAAAGAAAAAGATGGCACCATCAGGTGAATCGAGCTATGAAGGAACAAGGGGCTTTCATACAAAAATTCCAAAAAAACATAGCAAGAAGTCAAATCACGTAGGCGTCTTTGCCTCTTTTCCTTGCAAGTACTAAGATTCTTGTTAAAAGAGACTCGATATGAATTTATATGTATTATCAAACAGTGAGGTGTCCACACGACAAATTACAACTAACTTCACATGAAATATATACAGTGAAGCCTCAATAGCACGGACACCTATTGCGGGATAATGTCCGCTGTTCGGAGACTATTTCTGCAGTGTCTTCACCGCAGAAAATTTATTGTGGGACAAAGATGCTTGTTATTTGAGGAACTCTGTTGACGGGAAGTGTCTGTTAATTAAGGTTTTACTGTTTCCAACAAGGAAGATAATCGATCCAAGCAAATGATAAATGTAACAAAGAACGTTGTGGGAGTAACAGGTCCTCCTTTCTATAAACGGTGCCTCGATAAGATCTCATATTTCAACTATTACATCATATTCAAATACAGTTATAAAAACCAATTAACTGAGGATATGACTAGTGCAGGATGCATTTATCGTGAATGGCAAATATTACATTAAACATACAATGGACAAAGTGATAGTTCACTTGGCTATATAAAATGGGTTTGATTGAATGGTTTACGTCGGAGATTGCCAACGAAGCATTTTCAAGATAGAGCATGTGACATAAACAAGAAGAAATCGGATGCTAATTTGTACTTTGTTAGTAAAAATGAAATCAAACCCACCTGGCTCTGTTAAACAGTACGATGCAAATTTCTGAAAGACAAATTTAAAACATAAACACATGAACAAGCTTTGAATATATTAAATTCATTTCATTTCAATACAATTTTATTCGTATACTACAGAAGAAGAACACTATATTAATACTGTAATATACAGGACCCAAGAAAAGTATGTACTTATCTATCTCGAGCCGTAAACAAATTGTTTAATTAAAAACAGAACAGTAATAAACAATAACAAAAACAATGTTGGCTATATCAGCTGAAACAAGATAATATAGCATGCTGATTAAATTTAATTTTTCTCTCATTTCATAATTCTAATACTTTGACAGCATTCGTTCCTTAATTGATAAGATATTTCATTTCTTTCTTTTTTAAATCTTTCATGGACTTTGGGAGATTATCTCTTAGTTGTGATCCTTTAATTTGAAGCATAAAATGAAATACGAGAAAAGCTTTTATATGAATATGAAAAAAACTTTTTAGCTATTGTTCAATGGAGTTAGGAAAAAATGCGAAATTACGTTGAAAGTAGGTTTAATATTTTATAAAATATTTTACTTGATTTTACAAACATTAAAGGCAAACAATTAGGATACAGCACAGCTAGCAACACGAAAATAGTTCTTCGTTGATAAAAACTGAAGACGGTTTGCGAAATTAGTCCACTAAGATGAACAGAATATGATTGTAAAAAGGAAAAAGTATACAAAATTTATGATGATGAAACTTGAATTCTTTGAAATTAATGGCTACAACAATAGGAAAGTAAAGACTTTGCTGAACCTCGCAAGATGTCAATGATGTTAAGAATTTCTCCTTCTGAGCCTTTGTTCCAGCTTTATCAATCAAAGATGCAACCATACTAAAATTCATAAAACGAGGATTAGGAATCCACTAAAATAAAATTATTATATAGCAAAGATGAAATGATGTTGATTGCCAAATGATATGGCTACCTCAACATTGAGCTGTATCAGGAGGTCGCCACGAGTTGGATTGGATTTTAAAACCATTTTACTTACAGGACTTTCCTGAAAGTCATATAATAGTCATAGAATAGCCCATGTAAAGTCATACAATAGGGAAATATCTATTCTGTCATTAAGTGCAGTGTTGAAAGAACTTTGGATTCGGCCTTAACTTTAAAAAAGCTTTCCATGAATAGCCTGCGTACAGACTGTACGGAGAAAGGCGGAAGGGAATTCGCTTTCTGTCCTTCTCCTTAATTAATCTGCAAGCAGGTTAGGTAGAAAAAATTAAGCATGCTCTTCATTCCATTCCGTTTAATTCTATCCTTAATTCGTACGGTTTATCACGAAAGAGTCATGCAAAATTAACTTACTTGTGTATACTCAAATAAGCCGTAGTGCTTGTGCAGCCTGTGGAGAGTGCTTCGAAAATTACTGAGGCATCAAGCCGACCTAGGTGACTACCTCCGTATTCTTCACTGACATTGATACCTGAAAGAAAGAAAATTGCATTTGATTTCGTTCAGTGAAAAAAAAGAGGGTGCAACAGGGGGAAATTGCCCATTCCTTGGTGACCTGAATTGGCATGCCTCCCTTCACTAAATCAAGGAGTTGTACGCTTTCACTGTGGGAACATTTCAGCTGATTATAAGCGCCCATATTACCGATAGCAGCTTCAGATTCATTTTATTCCCGCCCCTGACTTTTGCAACAAGGAAAACCCACAGCGTGATACAACACCGGACCGGTTCACCTTGCGAGGAGAAAATAATACAGGGGATTTTTGGAAAAATTGCTGGAAAATTTCATGACTCTGCCCTGAGCAATGAGTCAAAGATTAAAAATTTAACAGTAAAACGACTCCTAAGCTAACATGATATTAGTAATGGGATTAATTGTTGGTTCAAGTAGCTTCTTTGCAACTTTTCGGTGGCTGTTTACATCAAACTGCACGACTTTCAGTAGACATGCTGGGACAATAGTTTTAAATAGTGTTTAATGAGAAACCCCTAGTAATGGATTAAACTTTCGAGGGTAAAGCAGTTTTAAAATACTAGAAAATGAGCCTAGATTTTCGATGAAAACTATCCAAGACTAAGGCTGCTAGCTTGCTTGAATCTTGTTTGCCAGAAATCGGCTTGATATCTTTTAGGTGTAGCTTAATTGATGCATAGCTCCCTTTATAGAAAATTGGCGTAGATAATTTCTATTTTTCCGTTCGCGTCGCACTATATCAATCCATACTGTCCAAATTAAACTGTTTTATCAAGGAGCATTGACTTAGGTCTTTGGATTTTCTGACCCGTGCTCCTCAAAATACCCGAAATTAGATATTCACTCTGCGCCAACAATATTAAGCTTTTTTGTGGAGATGTTTCTTGTGGAAGGCAATTTAAAGACAGTTTACTACAGTAAATACTGCTCTGTGTGCAAAAATCATGAACCTTCCATGCCTGAGAGGTGCTTGGCAAAATTTAAAAGCAAATAATCAGCGATTGTACTTCAAAATAGTGACACATGGATAAACTACACAAAAGTTCTAATCATCACAATGACTAACGGTCTATGCTACATTGCGTCATGGCAACGAATAAATAAACAACTTCACTTAACCTTCACATTCCCATTACGTAATTGAAGGTCAAATAACTTCAACCCTTCTATGATTTATTCATCTGGTCTGCCCTATCAGGCTCTGAGGATCTACCGCCAAATCGCACATTAAGTGTTCGCTTCCGATACTCCTTTCCAACATATGCATTTCGGTTGCACGGAGTGATGATGTAATCTAAAGATTTACAGTAGCTAAAAGCAGGTCTATAGTTTGCGTCATTAATGAAGAATTCGCCAATTGTATCCTAATTACACCTGACTAATAAAAACTAAACCAATATATAATTGAAGAAAATTCATGTAAATTATCTCTGCAAACACAAGTTCAACGCACTACGCAACAAAAGTCTCTATCATGATTTTAATTGTTCATGATTTATCAACTGCCAACATGTCAATACATAAGTATAATGTATGACAAAATTAAAGCTTGTCAATACTACAAAACACTGACAGTCAGGAGCATAGCATCTGAGGAGCCACAGGCTACCCTTTATCTTTTCAAGGGAGTCGTGGCCGGGGATAGGGGGACAGGGGCAGGGGGCCGTGGCCCCCTCTTCTTTCAAAATTTGGCAGATTTTCAGAAAAATCAATGTTATTTTGGAAAATTCTCAAACTTATGCTGTGGATAAAAAGGAGAAGTGAAACGAACCTTTTAGTGACATAATTACATAGACTAAAATACTTATCGTACTATCAAGAAGCAATTCACTTTTGTAAAGAAAATATTAGATTTCAAATACAAAAACAAAATGATTTCTCAGAAGTTTCCGATTTCTACTACAGAGTGATTTGCTGCTCGGATTTGGTCAGTTGAAATCCGAATCTTCAAGGTCCAAATTTGGTTATGGAAATTTGCAATATAGGTCATAATATATATCTTTATTTGATATTGAAGACCGTGACAGTGCCAATTTTGTACCTATCACCAGATTTGAAAAGTTTCTCCCAGATTTGAAAATTTATGCAGTTATGTTGCATAAGGTAAAACAACGAAGAAGTCGATCAATACCATCGCCTTCTGGCAAACTTAAAGCATTAAGATTATAAAAAAGATTGTGACCTCCGGTGGCAACCATGGTGCTGTTCCAGGCAGTAACTCTATTCTACCTTTGTCCTAATCTACCAATTATAGGGTTGTGAGATGGCAGGGACCTTCACAGTAAATATGAAGAAACAGAGACAAGATAAAAAGTGCAATTTAAATATCTTTTCAGCTAAGGCAAAAGTTATGTGTCTTCCCCCCCACTTACACTAACATGTAATGCTTCGATTTGATCAATATGAATCAAAGAAATTTTGCCAGAAAATTTTTCTTTCAGGCCCCCTTTAGAATTCATTTGCCACAATGCCCCTGATTTCTTTATAACAAAAGCTCTCTTTACAAGGAACTTTACAACCAAGGTTGATAAGATCACTACAAACAGAATTTGCCTTCTTTTTTTTCATGCCCATTGGCCCAACCTGGGTTGAGCCCAGGTTAAAAAGCTTGAGATTCAAGTTGAGCCAGGGATTAACTTAAGTTTGATCAGCCTTTGGCATGTAGTTTTTCTTTCTTGCAAAAATTGGCCATTAGGTGACGAATTAGGCCCCTTTTCGAAAACATGACGGACCAATAGATGACTGGTTAATAAAGATAAGTTTACCTCCAAATCCAAGTTCAGCAGCTTTTTTCAAGGTCTCCACTGGAAATGTTTCCTGCATTGCAAAAAGAGATTGACAACGATCTTAGACTTATTAAAAAATCAGTGAGGAAAAATGCTACCAAATTGTTATCCATTGCACATTGATCAAAGTTAAAAAATGGAAGGTAAGCAAAAAGTTTCTGAATCAAACTCTATGTTCTACTTCTAAAGGCTGCAGCTTATGAACAAAGCTCAAAATAGTTCACTGATATTTTTGCCTGACCCAGAGGAACAATGTAGAAACCAACAATTTCACACCTACACCATTAAAACAACAACTCTCCGTTACAATTCTACCCTAGCTTTTACATTGGCCATTAGGAATGTTCAGGATTACTAAGCATTTTACAATGTACAAGAATAAATATTACAAATGTTCTAGTTAAGAAATGAATGTTCTAGAATTCCAAACAGGATAGAAGTGAAAGATGAATATGTGTGGCAGCATGAAAATAATATAAAAAAGGAAAGGCTGCAATTTCATAAAATGACAGAATGTTTTTTTCCTTTTTTCTTGTTTTCAGCTTGCAAATACTTCAAAATTGTAAATTGACACGATGTTATTGATGATAAATAATTACGAGGTCTTTAGCATAATCAGGATTTAGAAATGGGAGTGAACACTGTCTCAGTGTGTAAACTTATAACTGGCAGAAAAAAGCTTAATTTAAAGAAATTCCAAAGATTAAAGAAATTGAAAGAATTTGAAAGAAATTGATAGGCACACTGGTTGCAAACCCCCTCTTATTCTAGCCCTGAATTACACTTACACTTAGTTGAGACTGATTTCACAGGTCAAAGACCTTCTGTTTCCTAAAGTTTCACTTCTCATAAACAAAACATACTATACTAATGACCTATACACTATATTAATTCTGCTGCCTGCATGTCAAATGCTACAGTGGAACAAAAGACTAAGTGAGTTATGAAGAAATTTGTTTGTCTATCTGAAATACCTAAGAAAATCAAAGAAAACAAAGAACTTTCTGGGGGTCAATCAAGGAAGGAAACTCAAAAATTTAAACCAAATTGATTGCTTGTTTTGAAGAAATATTTGAGATAAAATTGAATTTAAACAAAAGAGTGTAGTTTTCAATTCTTTTGTTATTGTATCCAATCCATTTCAATTTCGTCTTGAAGATACAAACGAGGTCAATTTAAATTTTGAGAGTTAACAAGCACAGCTAGCTTACTATGTAACTCCTCTTGTTCACTTGCTCAAATTCAGTCTTAGTACAGAAAAATTCTGAATAGATGTTGTGAAACCTTTCATTGAACAATCTTCACTGAATCATTTCTCAACGACAAACTCAAGAAATGAAATTAGCCAAACATTAATGAAGAAAATAAGTATATTTTACATTCCCTTACCTCTAAGTCCCATTGAATCATGTATGGTGCCATTTCTTCCTTTGCAAAATCCAGGGCAACCTGCTGGAAGTGCTTCTGATCATCATTAAGTCCATCTGAAACTAGATATTTGCATATGATAGATCAGTAAAGAGACAATTGATGGACATGGGACATCTCATACATAGTAATATAGAGCAAAAAACTCCAATCATAATTAAATCATTTGGCATATTTCACAATCATATCACCCGACTAAAGGCTAATTTTGCCAGTGACAGTCAATTTGTGCTGCAGGCACCCTTGTTTAAACCAACCAGTTTTCAGCTCAAAGCTATTTTTCAGTTGTTTTGATTAAGATCTCCGTTATCTTTGTTCTTGGGTACTTTAGCTGTGAAAAATCCTTTGAAGATGTTTGTTTCTTTTAACCAAAATCACAATAGGCTTTATTTAGTTGCTAATTATTAGTCAGATATGTTTAGAATGCTACTTGGACTTTTAGACATTATACAACAGAAACTTTCTAGCAGCTTCAAAGACCATCAGGGACCTGGTAATCTGAAGGAAACAATAGCATCATAGAAAATAACAAGACAGGAAACTCTGTATTTTCACAAATAAAATTTTTGCAAATTTATCTAAATAATCTATTATACTAAAGACGCTACAAGGGACTGATTTACTGTGATCGGTACAACATATTGTAATTGGACAAACGTATGGACTAACTTTGTTTGCTTTGGCCTAGACTAGTCGATCAGAATAACCATTTTTTGCGAATAATAATTTACTTAGCAGTTTAGACAGGCTGTCTGGTATCAAAATGCAGCTTTAAAAAAAACACTATGCTAACTAAAAATTAATTTACCAATAGCTGCCAGATTCCAGCTTACTTACGTATTATCAAATTACTCAAGGTTTCATCCTAGGGTCAACTTAATGGAAAGGCAATGGACAGAACAGAATTACAGATTGTTTGACAGAGAATCACCAGAAGTCGCCAGCGACTTGATTGATGGTACCTGAAGCTAACGCAACTCAGACAGATATTATGTAATCTATTTATTCAAATTAAACGGGAAAAGCACAAGCATCCTCTAATGTTGCTAAGAAGTACAATATGTCTAATGATATATAAAAACACACAAAGACATATGGCTCACGACAATATCAAGGATTCAGAACCTAAGCTTACAAATATATGCTTCCCTGGCTGAATGAACACTGTTCAGCTGATCAGATCAGAACTGATCAGTTCAAACATTGAGAAGATTTTTCGAATAAAGCCCTGTGGTTTCCCAAGAAAAATTTCTATTGTCACATTAGGTGAAAAATAAAAACTTACTATCAATACATGTTGAAACCGATCGCCTGTACAGCAAACCAAGGAGCGAGGTGGAATGTTTACAACTGACTCTTGAACATGTTCGTGCTAGCGCCATCTTGACACTCCACCTCCTTCTTGCCCACTAGCCTCGTTCCCATTTTGAATTTGGTCTTAGAACTTTTCCCAGCATACAATAATACAGTGCCGTAAAATAATATAACAATTTTTATGATACGAATACTAAATCGAATATGATGCTATAAAAGAGAGGGTATTACTTTTAACAATTTGTATGGAAGTAGTAACTATAATGATACAATTATTACAATGTTTATCACTATTAAAAATATAAAAGTAATAATAGAAAACAATAAATGTGTTACCAAATTAAGAGAAAATTAATGACATAGTTTTCTTCAGGCACTTTGCACAAAAAAACATTTCATTATGTACCTAAAAATATTTTGTCGTGAGACACGTTTATTTTTGTTCTCAAAAATTTCCAAAGTTTGTTACCATAATAAAGAGCATTATTTTGAAGGTGGTAGAAATTGTCTGAAGGGACAAAAAAATCCCTGTGCAGCTCGTTTGTTTTAAATATTGTTGTACAGAATCAGAGCTCTTCAAGCATGCAAAATTTGTCAAGGTTACGTGATAGAAACGTTTGGGAACCTGTCGACTAAAAGCAATATTGAGTGCAAAGGCAATCATTTTGACAGATTTACCAGAGCTACGCTTTATGCATTAAAGGCTCTAGAGTGGCTTTGTTTGCACAGCCCCAGTTTAGAATACCATGTAGTACATGAAATTGGATGTAAGGTATCACGGACGTTCGCCTCCTTCGCAGAAGACCAAAGCAAGGAAACAAATATCAATTGCCCTCTCCAGCACTAAAAAGTCATGGGACAAGTTTAACTCTCGTTAGCATGGCTTGCTGTTAACAACTTCGCTTTTGCGAGTTCTTAAGTAAATCCTTAGAGGGTTAAAAAGGTGAAAGTTAGCAACTTCTTGATTTTCTTGTAAATTTACTATTGTGTATATAAGTTAAACCGTTGGTTATGGAATATGTGGCTTAAAGTCGAATTCAGGCATTGCTCTAATTATTGGTCATTTGTTTGTTGGTATAATGGGTATAATGGGTGGTCAACATAATAGTATCAGTTCCCCTCGGGGAAACTCGCTTTGAGGATGTCTTTTTCTGGGAGGTGGCTTATTTGAGGATTTATGGTATTACAACTTACGTTAACAAGGGCCTTTAGGCAATAAATGGCATTTTAGCGCATTGTTTTCACTAACATTCCAAAAAAGGTTCAAATCTGATTGACTGAGAAAACTTTTTCGTAATTGGAACATTTTGACGATCACCCAGACAGTTTGAAATACACAGAGTTGACTGTAATCATAATTTTTCTAACAGAAATCCACTGAACGTATGAAAATGTTATATGTGCTCCAGAACTGTGGCCTAGTCCTGCTTGTGTGATAGTCCAGCTGACATCTACCCTCCTCCATCATAAATCGAAAACCTGCTTTTTCTACGTAGCACAAGGCACAAGTATATCTCAGAAACTTTGACAAAATCAATCCTTTGCAAGCCCCTCGTTCCAGCGAACGTGTTCCCAGTCTTATTATTTGAAGGGGAAAATGCATGTCACTTAGGTCAGCCTCAGTGCAAATAATCAAAGAGACAAATTCTTTTTCGGTTCTGTTGCAAGCGGGTCTTGCTTGTAGATTCTATATATCAAACTCAAAAAAATTTTGCTTAAAGTAAGTATATACACAAAACCACACGGTCGTATCTAACAAGTACAATTTTAAGGTCTACAAGCAATTGCAAACATTCGACTTAACTGACGATTTTTAATCAAATAAGGAATGCTTCAATTTTTGTGTAATATGCAACGCAGAAAGTATTCTAGGGCTTTGATTTGATTCGGACAGCAATTGCGGATGACATAACTTTTCGACAGAAGATCGATGACAATACATCTATTATTGACGAGTGCCTGCCGTATTATAAGTACCCGTAGCTGAAAAAATTTCGTTCTTCATAGTGCAGTGACAGTTTTTTTGCAACTAGTTAAAGATGTTTAAGGAAATCTAAGAAAACAACTATCCATAAACCTAAATAGACGTATGAAGCCTTCGAAAGTGGGCGGGGGGCATGTATTAAAAATAAGGGCACCTCTGTAGGCAACAAGTAGGTAATTTACCATTGTTTATGAAAAGTGGAGGTGGGGCACGTGCCCCCTGTGCCCCCTGGTTCTTAAGTCTATGCAACTATCAACATACTGAATACAACAATTTAAGGAAAGGAAACACTTAGAGGACGAAATGATGCTTCAGAAATTGCTTCTAGCTACACTGATCAAATTAATATGCTCAGTCTAGATGTTATTCATACTTTCGTGTTGTATTTAACCAAAGTTTCTTAGTCATTATTTTTTCTGTGTCCTAACCTTTCGAAAAGGTTAACGGTTTTTAATCAAAGCAGATAATACGAGGCCAAATATAAGGCGGTAATACGAGGCCAAAACATGAAGGACAAAGGAAGGTGCTGTGAATGAGCAAAAAGATCCAGTTAGAACTTAATAAGCAAATAATAATAGCTAAAAATCATGGTCAAACGGTAATTATGTAAAATGTTTATGAATTTGTTTTCCTTTTAAAGGAAATTAACACGCTTGGCCTAAAACGTGCATCTACTTCAACACAAGAAGTTGTTTATAATGTCTTAACGACATGCATACAGAACGGCCTTTGATTTCACTTTAAGACATAAATGAACCTTTATACAAATATGAATTAATAAACTGCTAACAGGTTCAAATAACATTTATTTCACAGTACTAGATTGCCACAATTTGTACGAAAACTGGCCTGAACAACTGGCCCATAAAAAATACACATATATACCAGCTAGTTCTAATTAAATACTAACATACAGGCGCGCGGATTAAACTTTAAGAATTTATTAAGACTAGTAAACAGGAAATCATTCAACGGTTTGAAGCATCTGTGATTTTGATGCTCCCATTATCAGCAAGCTGCTTTTCGTATTGAAGCAACTGGCCCATAAAGTTCAGGTTTGGTGAGATGGTTGGCCGCTTATCTTTTACAAATCTACAAAGAAGACAAAATAGCTTAATCAGACAATTTAGAAAGCAAAAACAAAAGGGCCTAAAAACCGAGGGGCAATTCACTCTAGCAAACAGCGAACCTCGAGATACATTCGTGTCTCAGAGCGGTTTCGGTAAGTTGTTGTTGAAAACCTCCTCACTTGTGTTTTATGTGTTTTTTGCTAATTTATGTAATTGTTATTTGCATTATGTAATCTTCAATACTTAGATATATAAATTAGTGTTGAGTTGTTATATTAAATGTTATAGTCGCAGGGTTGCTATCTATTTCCATGCTCCCTGCGTCATCGCCATGTCTAAAAATAATAAAACGTTCTAAAGGATTGCAAGAAATGACTGCAAGGAATATTCTGAGATGCATTTTGAGCTAATCTGAAAGGCGTGGTAGCACCGAAAATTTTGGGCCTCGTCTTTCGTTGCAGTGAAGTTTCCCATGGTTAGCACGAAATCAAATCATAAACAAAGCCCTTGCAATAAGCCCATGACAAAAACATGTGAAGTAGCTTGTAAGTAAAATCACCCACCGATACGCATTGTCAAGAGACAGCTGCATGTGTCGCATTACGTATCCTACAGCAATCGTTGCCGAGCGCGATACACCTCCTACGCAGTGGACTAGGACTTTGCCATCGCAGGTTCTAACTCGATCTGGAGAGGGAAAAATAATAAATTCTGCAATATGGCTCACAGTATCACACTGAAATGGAAAGCTCGAAATAGTTTCTACATAAATGGAAAACAACTTTTATATGTAAGATGATTACTAAGAAATGGATTTTAAAGAACTGGAAATTATTATCAAACATCTTTTGTTGCTAAAATGATGCCAGAGTTACTCGACTTATATTTTAAAGGCCCTTGTGCAACCGGCATGCTTTGCCACTATATTTTCGAAACCATCCTAATATCTTACTTCATGAAAAACTAAATACAATCAATTTTACCTCGTGTAAAACAGCTGCCGCAAAGCATGCTGGTTGCACCAGAGCCTTTAAGCATTTGCTCGATAAGTCGATAATTCGAATTCTAGATGATTACAAATTGGTCATGTGCATCGTTTATTCCAGGTTCCAAAACACTTGGTGAAATCATTCTGTATTGTCTGAGAAAATTACACCTAAAAATGACGCAACCACGAGCATCACACATACCGGTTAAGTTAACCCCCTCGCCCTGCCTCGATTCCCAGGAACAACAGAAGTAGGTCTTACCTATGAAATTAAAAGCTGATTGAAACCAATCGACAATGTTTTCGCTCGTTGAATCGCGGACGGGTATTTTCATATAATGCGTTGTGATAACGTGCGGTGAATCCGCCGCGGTCTCGCTCACGTTCATAACGAAATCAATTCCTATACTTTGCAAGGTTCCGATATCTTGAGAGTCCTCTTCGTTTCCTAAATACAGAAACGGCAGTATCTTTGTCACCGGAATGTTCCTACATGACATGCATGGCGTCGAAATTGACAATAGATTCCCAGCCTCTTCTTTTCGCTCACAGTGCTTTGGGTAAAGGTTGCCAAATTCAGCGAATCCCCCTAGAAAAGAGAGCTTGGTTTAGAAACAAGATAATTCTCCTAGAGAGAGGCTGTACTCCTTTTTATAACAGCAAGATAACATTTACCAAGGATAAATGTTTTTAATTCGTGGATAATACAAAGGTCTTATTTCAACATTGATTTTTCTACCACTATAAAACAAAAATTGCTTATATCAATACATACTAAAATTACTAACAAGCAGTTTTGCATCTCATTTTGGGTGGCACGGTTAATTAGCCGATAAAATCTGCTCTTTTTGTAGACATATTTTCAAATACTCAATCCAAATGTAACCTTACAAAAAATGTGTAAACCAGCGGTGACTTAATTATGCATTACAAACTTTATATGCAAACAGTTGTCCCAAGTTGTAGCTGTTTATCGACAAAACACCCTGAAAAAATACTTCCCGCGCAACAGTGGTGTTCTGCTGTAAGGGGGTTCTGCCAAGGGAAAATTTAACACCCATAACAAAAGATTTTGAAAAAAACTCCATTTTTTGCCAAGGCCCCCCCCCCGGCCCTCCCCCTTCGTCGGAGGTCCTGTAAAAGAAGGAATCTGAAACCTGTTTAACAAACATCGTTCAAGAATGCAGCATTAAATAACAGAAAGATTAGTCAACATTCGAATATACCATGTGTGCTTCCGTGAGAAACCTTAAGCCAGCCAGCCAAAGTGGCGAGAATCTGGACTGGACACCACATGTTTAAAGTGAATGTGAAAAACCAAGGTGAAGGCAGCAGTGACAACATTGTGGCTCAAAACAAGGTAGGAAGAAACGTACAAACGGCGCTTAACCCTTGATCCATCAATAGACAGTGGTTTAGTGATGACGCAACTTTGCGCAATAAAAGATAACAGGACGAGTCATCGTCTCGAATTACCACAGCCAGCTAAAGTTGGCCGCTGAGTCAGCATCCCCAAAAAGAGGCCGAAGCGCTTGAGACATCCTGTGACTGAAAAGCTTGCATAATGTTTACAAAAATGACGATGCTGAGTTCAGCGTCTTGGCATCCTAGAGACACTAATATAAGGTAAACTCGGATGAGTCATTCACAGCTGCACAAGTGAAAATCTAGCATTATATGTTCTATACTGGAAATGCAATACCTTGTACACTACGTTAAGATAAAACAGTATGGACACTCGAGAATCATAACTGTCTATCACTGCCCGCAAAAAAGTCGAGCCATGTTAAGAAATCTGAGCTTTATTCTCTGCTACGGGTTGGTTTATGGCAGTGTCACTGGAATAGTGGTGATGGATGCAGCCAGTCAGAAAGAGCAGCTTGCTATTTTTGTTAAAAGTTAAAAGGAATTCTTTACGGTTATCTCAAAATATCAAAGGTAGCGAACGCATACAATTAATCGATTCGTTTACAGTGGATTGAATCTAACGAAAAATGTTGCCAAGACAAAGGTAACACATGAAAACGAACAGGTTTAGCAAACCACCGGGAACTAAAGCCCGTGCAGGTGGGAAAACCCTTATTTTGGGGTGTGAATCTTTCATGTTCAACTTTTCCCCTTATAAATATGAAATAAACGAAATTGTTTTGTCTTTTACTTAAATAATGTTGATTTGGAAAGAGGAATATTCTAGCATCGAGGTCTTCTGCATACGCATTTCATTCCAAACACGGAAAATCTGTGCATTTTCTACCTGCTATGAAACAATACCACGTGACGTGTTCCTTGTATATCGACAATCAAAATGGAATACAAAATATTTCTAATTGATGGTGTCTTACAATAGAATAATAAACGATTACTAACTACTCACTATTACAATGGAATTCAACCCAAATACACACCACTGTACGATCAAACCCGTTGCAAGTGTAAAAGATCTCTATAAAGATTTCGTAAGCAAACGCCATGCAATAAAAGTTTCTTTTGAAGTAAGACCAAACAATAATCCAGCTCCGAAAAACAGATTTTCAGTTTGCAAGCTCACAAAAATGCTAATGGTGCGATTGAGTCTCTAGGGAAACTTGCCGTTCAATATCCGTATTTGCTCTACGATATGCACTTCATTTTACGCCCCCTCCTCCATAAGCCCGCATTTTCTCGTTAATTGAAAAATTGAAGCGAAAAACGCCAAAAACATCCTCTACAAGGCATACCATATACGGATCACCACGCCCCAATATTACGTAGTATTTATCTGAAAACTGTTTCCATTTTTGAAACTAAATACAGGGAAAGGGGCTGAATTGCCTTCATACAGACAAATTGAATTTACATTCTAAAAGCAGGAAAATGCAATAAGTTGAGGAAATTATCGTTGCTCCAGGGCCTAAATGCATCACTCTCTTGTGCGGATATTGCAGTTTATGTTGCATGTACACCATGCACGCAAGACACGAAACGAAAACGTGCAAATCGATAAGCAAAAAGTACCCTGTTCTTCTGCGAAATAACGAGGTCAACTGTAAAAGAGAAATTGAAGCTTGGGGAAATGATCGAAATTACCTTTCTTCTTCTTTGGCTTAAATAACCTCCTTTCGTTGGCAATCATGTCAATTGTTGCACAAAGCTGTAAAGAGCCAGGTTTTGCCCTCATAGTTCTGCAATTCGCTTCCCGGACTGGGAACTTGTCAATATTTTGGAAGCAAATACTCTAGAAACTTAGCAAAGGCGCATATTGTCCTTCCTTGTCATAAAGATGCCTCTGTTGTGATGATCAAATGCGATCAGTTCCTAATGGGATTCCCCAGATAAACAGTGCTTTGCCTCTAACTACCGTGCGTGTTTGGATGCAAATGATCTGTCTGTAGCAGGCTGCAAATATTTTAAAGCCTCTCTCATCTCCCACTCGTTATTCAACAATCCACCGTCCATTACGTCATCCGTTCAATATCTGATTCACTCTAGGTCTTGGGGAAGGCCGGACCATATTTTGAGCCGGGGGTCAACATCAAAAAACATGTCTCCTCAAAGCACGGGATTACAATTCAGCTAAAGAATCATCAATGTATCTTTAAAAATGGGCTTCAAAAAACTTTATGCCACCGAACCGAACATAAATCTATAAATTTTGCAGTGAAATCAGGGAAAACTCGCTTAAAACATTTGTTTTGTTCCCCCGTTCAAGTTCACAGTCATGGTTGGTATTTCGACATGACTGAATGACTCATATCCCATTATTATACCTCGACTGAAGCCACACAATAGACGCGCGGAGCCGCGTTTCCCTTCCTTTGTGAACGCGGCAAACACGTTAATCGCATGACGTGTACTATTTATCAAACTCGTTGTTTTCTCCTCCGCTGCTCAAAGACAGGTGATTTGTGCTCCTTCACAGGCTCCATAACTCAAACACACAAAAAGCAAAAAACTCAAATGAAAAAAGCAAAAAACTCAAATAAAAAAAGCAAAAAACCAAATGTTACATCGCATTCATTTACAAAACATTCTGCTTTTGCGAAACAAGACAAAAATAATTTTAGAGTTTCATTTCTTCTGGGGAGAGAGGAGGGGATTCCCTCCGACCTTCGGGTGACCTATCGTAGGCCCGTATCAAAAGCTGCACACAGAAGGAGGAGCAATAAACAAAATTAAAAATATTTTAAAGTCATAATTAAATTAAGACTAAATAATCTTCAAATAATTTTTCACAATAGCCTATAAAACTGTTTTGGAATGCTGTTTTAAATTCAACCCGGTAGACAATGAATCCAACAGAGAGTCTTGCTCTCCAAAATCAACAGAACTTTTACTTTCAATTTATAAAAACTGATTACATCATTCAGTTCTGTTACTGGGAAAGCTCGCATGAACAGATCAATGGAAGCAGCGAAAACGGGCAAAACTGTCTTTAAGAATTATGGAGTTAGCTAGCCTCGTATAAACAATTCGCGGAAAGAAATCAATGTGACTACTTAATGTTAGAAAAATTTGGGGGCATGCCAAAAAACAGAAGACTAAGGCTACGTTCACACTGCTCCGTATTCGTTTCGCTCCGTTTTCGTTGATGAAGACGCTGTCCGTTCACACTTATTCGTTTTCTTACTAAGAAAAGACAGATATATTAAAATCACCTTCTTGGCACAGGCGCAACATATTTGTTTACCCCTGGCTCCAGTCATAACTTCAAATATCAATAGATACCTTTCAAAAATAATGTAATTTTTGAAATCCCTTACAAGCCAACTTCCTCTATAAATTCCTGGAAGTAATCATAATCAATAGAAAAAACCCAATTAATTGAAATTTAAATCTGTGGAAAATGTGCAAGGAGGTGTACGCGTCTATGAAATGTTAAACATGTCAGACTCAAGTCTCCTCTATTTAGAAAGAAGCGAAACCACAAATACATTCTTTCTTAAACAGAACACATTTTATAAGAACACCGAGGCATGCCAAAAACACGAAGAACGTAAAAGTCAGATTTCAATATCAACTCAATGTAATACTTTGTGCAAACAAAAGTAACATGAAGAAATGTTATTTAGTGATCCTAGAATCGTTTTCTAGTACGTAGTTGTAGGAAAAATCAATGTGAGCACCCGAGCCTTAAATTAAACAAAACAAAAACAAGGCATAAATTATCTGATTCCCATAAAAGGAGTTATTGCAAATGTGAAGAATATTTTTGACACAATCGTTTTCTAAGAATTCAAAGCAGCCCGGTTCCTACATCAAAAGTCTCTTTCGTGAATATCTTGAATGAACCCAACGACATTGTTAGATCTGCCCATGAATCTTAGAAAATTTTACCCACAAAAACGTAGCTAATTTTGCACAAGGCTTGAGAAGTTGGGTTGATTGCTGAGACATTATGGAAACCTAAAATCTTGGCCACAACAGTTGCAACAAACACCTGAACATATACAGGGAGCAGGTATACACAGTCAAACATGGACCCCCTTCCAACCATTCAAAGTTCGTACTTTAATAGCAAAGATATCACAGTTGGGAAGGGGGATGTGTCTGCAAAATCTCAACACCATCTCTCCGGTATTGTAGATAAGACAAATTCTAGGGACACGTCAATAGGAAACTTTTGTGCAACCATTCCTTTTAAAGTTATGGAGTTGATGGGTTCCACCGTCCATATCAGATCCAGCCAGTCAAGTAAAAAGTCTAAGTTTAATGTCTTTGAGCGACAGGTATAAAGGGTCTTAATGAAATCATTGAAATGAGTAATATTCCAGACCAAACCAAAAATCATTGCTAGTACAAGATCACTGTAAAACAATCAGACTGGCCACAATCAACTCTGACGCGAGTACACGACAACACATGACGAATGTCTAGAAGAAAGTAGGTAAGAAGCCATAAACATATGTCAAAATGATCCCAATCTTTAGAGCCTGGTTGCAGAATTATATTCAACAGCTAGATAGCAGCGATTAGCCTGTGACAAAGAGTCTGAACATTTCAAAACAACAGCTAATTTTCTATTGAAGGGTCTGTCAAATTGGTACTTGAAATGGTTATCATGATGTTTAGAAATTGACATTACGATGTTCGATATATGACATCATACGTCAGTACCGTGTCCCTAAGTAGGTTGACCACACTGTATCCTAATTACGTCAACCTTGCTTCCATTCACTTTACTTTGTGGTGTCACTCCAAACTTTGATATTTTACAACCACAATTCAAATCTTCCTCCACTCCTCTTGCCTGCAACTTTTCCCTCAATAAGTATTACTTGTAGTGTGCTTTTACTATAAGTTGGCTAAGGTAGACTGCTTGATAATTCTCCTTTGGCACCAGCTGCTCGTACTATCTGCATTCTAATTCTCATTATCCCTCACGTGTCAATTGTTTATTCCAATGCCTTGTCTTACGTTTCTGCTTTATACAAGAGAACAGAAAACACTTAACTGTCTCTCTGCTTCGCTGTGTAACCTCCACCTACCTAACCTTATCCTTTCCTGGTATGAAATTTCCTTCGCAGTTAAAAAGCAATTCATTTGAATTAAGGCAATACGGACTGCTTTGAAACCTCTTTCCAAATTCGGCTCTCAAATCTTCAATGTTATTTAATTAGATGTGCACAAAACACAAACCTATCGACCTGTTCAAGTTATTTTGCACCCGTGCATATCTCTAAAAACATTCTATATCAAGCAAATGATAAATAAATTGTCCAAGAACTTCCTGCATTTTCTTCGAAGTCATTTTTGAATGAATTGTACAAAGTAGCGGGGCAAAACGGCACGTGTGCAAGGCGTCCCCTGGTTTCTTCGTCTCCGGGAGACGCGGCCCGGGTATACTTTCAAAGAGTGCTAGCGTTTGGGGGTGATTCTACTTAAGATACCTACTGCAGAAAAAATGACATATCGAAAGGTAGAGTACAGTCACTGGCGTGCTTTGAGTTTAGAGCAGACAGATAGTTGTGTCCCCCTTAGTGATAAAAAGCGTACCCATGGGTTGAGAAAAAGAAGGCACATTAGTTACACATAAAATGAGACACCAATATTTCAGATCTTACTATAACATATGTAGCCGTAAGATAACCATACCTTGAAGAAAAAACACTGCCTGGAATTGCTCGTATAGTTTCTTCGCAACGAGGCGCAGAAAATGCTCTTTGGGCACCGCGGCAAGATCAGTTGTACTTTGGTCATATACAACAACCTTGTCGCATGGATCACCCTTGTAGTTGGAATTTCTCAGCAAATCCAGTATGGTGAGCTTGTTCTGCTCTAGTCTCTTTCGGATAAGCTTTGAAGACTGGATATTAATGGACCCCAACACATGACAATCATTATACTCCAGGAAGGATCTACTGTCAACAAGAAGAAGCTTTTCCAATTTACCATCAAGCAGGCTGGCCAGCTCTGAAGCCTGGAGGCCGGAGACCTGCAGAAGGAATGTAATTTCAGTCAGAAAATGGCACGACTAGCATTCCCAGAAGGGCATGACTATCTAGATTATCGAGTGTCTATCTAAATACTGAGTTGAGCTGTTTGTTGTTAAAAAAAGTTGAGAATGACAAAGATAGTAACATAACAAATATAACAATTTTGATAAAAAATCCAAACGCAAAATTTTATCGATGTGAAGTAGGACGAGAATTGCATTTTGATATTTTGTCTTTGACAGTCAACTTGCTTTAAAATTGTATTAAAAATTCGCACATGAAAACCTCTATTATTTAGAACCTACAGCCTGAAATTTTTTCCTCAATAAAGAAGAATCATTTATGACTGATACCGTGATACCCTTATCAGGTTCTTATAAAGTGCTTCGTTAATTAATTTGGAAATAAATTCAAACTGTGCATCCATAAACCTTAATTCTTGGATTCCAAAACCAATGCATATGGAACTATGGTAGGTGTTAAAAATCTTTCTGTTGTTCTAGCTTGTGTTATCAATGGGTTGTTTCTCATATCGCATGATTCATTTTACCAAATTCAGATGACAACAGAAAGACGAGACGTTTTTCGGTTGCCAGAGGGCTGTAGTCAATTTAAAAAACGTAACATAACTTAAAAAAGTGGTTAACTTGGTATGCGATAAAAAAGTGTCATTTAGTTCTATAGATGTAAAGTCCTGTTCAACAATAAAAACTGATAGTAACAAAAGCATAATAATGATAATTTTACAGACAGTTATTCCAAATTCTTCAAAATAGGTTCGTACATACATACATACATACATAAATACGTCATTAACTTTGTAAAGCAGGTTAAAAAATGGCATAAATAAATTGACAGGGAGACGCAAGAGGAAGATCTGCAGGAGACGAAAATTCTCCATCGAACATTTTGAAAAGACCTGAAAAACCGGTTTGCTGATGACTATGGACAACCTAGGAGAAGAGAATAAATCCACCCCAAAAGACATAAACACTTTGTTGATTAAAAAAAACTTGTGTTATCGGCTACATTTGTCTTATTAAAATCTTTAGGCCTCAAATATCCACTGCTTTGTGGTATTTGCTTTAAAATTTTGATAACTGGATGGAGCTAAAATAACCAGGTTCACATGTGCGAGTTTTAACTACATTAAACAAACAATGAAAAGCTGAAAGGGTTTTCTGTAATTTTTTCCCTGGGTTGACAGGAACTTTGCTTAATCTTCTAGCTGTGCTGTTCAAAAAATATTCCTAAAATGGTACTTGAATCTCACTTTAAAATAATAGTGGTTAGGTCACATGCGTGAGAATATTTAACAGGCACATTATCATTCTCAAGAAATTGTTTTTATACTACGTAATTTGTATGGACGCTACTGCTGTAAAGTTGAATAAATCCACATGTTGATGCCTCGTTTTCAATTGCAACTTAAATCAAGTCACGGAAAGAAGTGGGTCAGGTTCTCACTATGCAAATCTAAATCGCTATTGTTATTGCAATAGCTGCCATAGAGCCTAAAACATTTATCAGCTGACATTTTTGCTAAAACATGAACCATTTTTTGCTTATGAACAAATTTCATTCGTGTAAAGTTTCTAGCTTCTTTTCAAAACAAAATCAGCAATAACGAATTTTTGCGTAGCTCTGCATGATGCCCTATCAGTCATTTTTTCACAAGGCATGCTCAAACCTACCAAGTCACGCGCATTTTGCGTGAGACACAAGAACTTCGGTCCTTTCTCACGCTCACACGCATCAAAACAGAACTCTCACGCATTTTGCAACAAACTTCTTGGTTCATTTAAATTTTCAATTTTATTCCAAATCCTAGCAAACAAGATATGTTAGCACGATAACAGTGACTAGATGATTAGATGACTAGATAACAAAAATCCATAGTAGGTTAAGTGTTCTTACATTTATTGGCAAGCCTACACAAATAGCAGGTTAGCTTTTTTGCGACTATGACACATTGTGAATTGATTGCAAATGTAAAAGAGGAGCATAATATCCCTGAAGTTAGAGTTTCAATTCAGAAGATCGGAATCGGAGCGGTCAGAGCGGATTTGGGGTTGCAGTTACACTACGATGCTCCGCTTGCTTGAACTTGGAAAAATTTTCAAAAATTAATTTGCGCGGGGGGGGGGGGCGGCAATTAGGCACCTAAGAGTACTTTTTCTTGTGTGGGTGGCAGTCAGGATTCGTTCTGGACCAAACATTTTCCTTTCCTTCTAAAAAATCTCACTCATTCTCAAATTGAAACTTGACAGGTCTGCATTCTTCAAACGCACGTGAATTCATACTATACTAATTTTTGATTATCTATTTCAGTAGATCTATGAAAGGTCACAGTTTGCATGCACATGAAAATGATATTTTTTGTGCGTAACTTCATGACGATAAACAACTGTGCTCGAACGTGTGAAACGTTGCCCCTATGGGGGCCACACCACAAATCTACAGGCACACCGGAGCCGGGGAAGACTGGGGGCTATAGCCCCGTCACTTTTTCCTGAACTGTGAATATCCAGATAGTGGCATCAAAGATTATGGGGAAAAACTACCATAAAACTTTGCAAGTCTAGAGCCCACCCCCCTCCAAATTTGCTCCGGCGTCCCTGATATAAGGCTACATTCAAAAATTCATACATAACATTACAACATTCATACAGCTAGAATTATTAATTAATGTGACAGACAGTTGTTTTCACTGACAGAAACCAGAATTCATGTAAAAAGCATTTTACGGTCGAACCTTCTGGAACATCGATTTCCTGCTTTCATATTAATGGAAAAAAACCTGCCCATAACATATCTTAAATAACATATTGGGTCCCTATGGTTCGAATATAAATAAATCATTTTATTTAAAAGATGAAAACTGTGCATGAAGATTTTCAAAATGAATAGATGTGGAGAAAAGACGCCTTTGAGAGCCTCAAGCATTTAATTCGTATGTCGTTTTCTTTAGACAGACAGAAATAGCTTCGTTAGTTTCGATATGGTGAGTACGGTTTTATAAAATAGATAGGGTTCAAGCAATTATTCCCATAACAAAGGGGTGGTTGTATCTTGCTTTCAACAAAGAAATGTAACCGGTGCTAAATAGGAGGCCATTTGACCCAGCTCCTACGTAGTACGTTAAAAAGGCTCTTCTATCTATTTCTTTGATAACCTCTTCATTGATGAATATATCAGCTTGGAAAAACGCGGTCCCCTTTCCCTCCGTTAAGGTCATCATAAATACGAAGGTGCAATGTGTCTTGCATAAATGCATTATTTTCAAAGAATTTAAGATAAGATCTTTGCAAAAAGTTGTTTTTTATAAATCTCTAACTATTGCCAAATTCCCAAAGTGTGTTTCCAGCATTAAGAAGACAATTCTCTTTAAAAAAATATCGGGAGACCTCGCTAGAAGACCATAACAAAATTCAACACGGATCTCAAAAACTGGAGGCAGCAAAAACGACCGCCACGGCCAAAGGTAACATTCATGGGGCATTGATTAAGAATTGGATATTAAAGGTTAGTATCGTACCTCACTGTTCATGTTCATCGAGATGCAGTCTTTCAAAACTGATTCACCAGTCCACCTAGACTGCCAACGTCTCTTCAAGAGGCCATCACAACCACTGGCCGAGGCACTTCACCTGTCGTCAAAATATACAAGTTCAAAGATCTTGCGAAACCCCAAAAAAGCTGAAAACTTGCTCTACAGTCAGTTGTAGGTTTACATTAAAACAGCGTTATACAATTACAAAGGAATTAAGTCCTGTCCCAAGCAGCTTTTAGGCAGGAGGCTCTTCTACAGCGTGTGATTTTTTCCCACTTTGTACACACATTTTAGAATAATTGCGAGAGATCTTCATAAAACAGCGAAGAGAGGTGAACAAATATGGGAGAAGGCCAGTTGGTTACGCAGGTGAATAGCTGACCTCATTCTGGAGCACAACAAAATTGCTGCAATCAGTTTCAGTTCAATCTTTTCGCATAATACAAAACACCAAAAACGAAAAATGGGTCGACAAATGGGTTTCATCACAAGCTTATCAATTTAAGTGAAAGCTAACTTTAAGTTTAGAGTTCATAACATATTCTTTTAACTATAGATATTTACAAATAAATAACATAAAACGATATATATTTTAAGTTATACTATATATTTATAATATAATATATAACCCTGACCTACTGAAATCTGAATAAATATATATGGTGATATGGCTCTGATGACGATTTATAAAGCCGAAACAGAAGAAATAACTGCCTTGGCTACAATGAAGATCTCCTGGGGAGGCTTGAAAATTCAAAAGTAACCAACAATTTCATTGAGTCGTTTGGCTCAATGATCGTTGTTTTCAGGTAGTAAACTGTAGTCGGGTTACGACCAAGTGCTGTATCAGCAGTTGGACAGCATCCTTATGACATTGATTTCCTCCAGTCAAAGCCTTGGCATACCTAATATATATCAATCTTGAGCTAAACATCCGATTGCCTCCACTTCCTATCGCACAGAAATTCTGCCGGCTGCAAAATTTTCCTAGAACAAGGCCGTTAGACCTGGTCTCACAACTCTGTCTTAAACTTTCTTGCTACTTCCCATAGAGTCATAGATGATTCCTTTCTCTTTGCCGATTTACCTTGATTTCCTATATCATCATATATAACTGGCGACAAACTTCGCCCTGACCTACTCTTAAAAACGAGCGAAAATACCCTATATATCTTAGAATTGCCTAGCAGCATATTATATTATTATCTGGATTCGGAAAGGGTTCACATTTTTTTCATTGCATTCTTTTCAATGGCCATACTTTTCTAGTTTTAGCAAGCTAAATCGCACACACAGGTTTCAGTGTGCACACTGGTATGAAATCGCTCATAGTTGGTTTAGCCATCCCTCATCAGATGGCTTGCAATATCATAATATGAAGAACAAAATGAATCCGAGTTTAAGAAAAACGTATATTGTCAGCAAGCAAAGAAACTGCCTACAATAATTCTGCATTTGTTTATGATAATTATCAAGAAGCAAGGGGGACAACCAGGTACCGCGCAGCCATTGGGCTAGCAGTGGCTATAGCCCCGACCCCACTTTTTTGCAATTAAAGGTCAGATAATTCTTTAGAATATTTACTCTAACTCAAGTTTGGATAGTTTACTCTAACGGATCCTAAGAAGTAACAGTTCTTAATGTCAAAGAGCCCTTTTTGTTCCTTTTCTTGGTGTTTTATCTTGTTTAATTATATGATGTATTTTCTAACTTGGTTAGCTTGGTATTTCATTGTCCACAAGCTGATTTTATCTTATTTTACAGTCATTTATATCTTCTCTGAACCAGACTGTTTATAAAAATTCAGTAAATATTAGGAAGTATTCTCCAAAAGGGGCAATTTGCGGCTTTCTAGAGGGCATGTCCTCAGAAATTTTTTTGTCACACCATTTTCAGCCCCCCATCACTTTAAGACTGGTGCACAGTCCCTGGGGACAACTTGCTATTGACAAAAAGATGTTGCAAGAAACATTTGTAGGCTACCCACCCTTAAAAATTTTCATAAATAAAATTTAATCAGAGTCCATTTCACAAGGGGTGTTTGTCCTTAACTTGATTCTCTTCAAGTTGATATTAGTTTGCTAATTGTTATGGTCTCTTGTGAGGTGCTCCTTTGTGATTTTCTTGTACCTATTCTACAAGAATCTGTGCAATGCTGTGGAGCGATTTGCCCCTCTGGGGTTTTTGGGTTTATGTAAGGTGTGTGGTTTCTATTTCCGTGGTTGAACTAGGGGTGCTGGGCGAAGCCTTATTATAAGAGTGTTGTTCACTTTTTTCCATCCCACACACCCACATTTTGTTTTTTTCAGTATGACTCTAACAGTTTTTTTAATGCAGCATAAAAACTTCTTATACCTTTGGGTATCTTTTTTGCTATTGTTGTTGTGGAGCTTTTAGGTGGGACTGGTGTAACATCTTATAGTGCATAGTAGGGAAAAGCTACTTTTCTTGTCCATTCCCTCCTCACTATCATTTGAATTTTGGGTGTTCGTGTAATTTCCTTTAGTAACTACTTCTTGTTGGAGGTTTATGGCATATTGAGCAAATTTCGTCAATGCAGCTATGATCTAACTTGCTTACGATGATGTGGAAAAGAAGCCTCACAACTTACTTCCATATGGCATTTTTCCCTGCAAATTGCATTGTAACTTCTGTCACGGGTTAAAAAACTAAACTACCTAAAAGTGTCTATACGATGAGGCTATAGATATGTTTGGTTAAAATGAGATAACTTCTTGTAGTCTCTATTTGAATCTATTTTTTGCAAGTTTTTATTTATTTATACAAGATTTCAGGATGTATGGCTATCTCATTGTTACTTTAAACAACAATTATAACAGTTCAAATCAATTACCAATGTTATCAGGGATGGGTTAACCAGGGGTGCAGGGGTGTGGGGGTGTAACACTCCTCCAATATTTTCTTGTTCTTCTGCAAATATTTCTTTGATCCAGTAAAAAACATTGTTTGGTATTCAGTAGAAAAAAATGATGCAAAAAAGGTGCTTTATTTATCTTATTATCTTTTTTATCTAAAAATTTATAACTGAATTTTAAAAATAGGCGTCTCCATCAGTTTTGTGTCACAGCTAAGGTGTAGCACTAAATCCAATTTTTATCTAACACCTACCCCCTTATCTATGCCAATTGTCCCTGAATATTATTATAAAAGTGCAATTGATAGCCTTTGGCAGCACCAGCTACAGTGCTGCAGGGATGGGGATAAAATAAAAAAATTTAGGCCACACCCATCTTACTTTAAGTAGACAATCTTTTACAATCAGAGAATGCCAATTTTGCCAATAGGGAATGCCAATAATCATAGAATCACACCGCAAAAAATATTATGCCCATTTCCTTGTCGAATCTAGGCCAAATACATAACTAATCCTGTTTGTGATTATATCCTCTCCCCACTTGCCCCATGATACAATCATTGGTCTATCAGCCAGCTGAAAAAAGCTACAGGTACCAACAAATGCATAGCCTTAAATTATGACTTTATGTTTGTCTCACTTCTACAGACTGGTAGTTGGAAACAGGTAAATCTTCTGCACATACATTTTCCTTTTTTCCCTGAATAGAAACACAAACACTTTTTCATGATGACCTTCTATCAAATTGTCATCTTGCTCATCCTGGGGGAGTGGTGACAAAATTTTGCTTGCTCTTCAATGTATTCCCTGAACCCCTTTCCTGGACACCAGGGATGCCTGCACAAGAGTAGGGCAGGAGGGGCAGTGTTGGTGCTGAGGGCAAATCGTTGAATTTTTCTGTTAACATAATTGAGCATTCCTAGGTGAGACAGGGGCGAGGGTGGGGTAATATAATAAAATATTAACTTGAAAATGTGCCACCCATACAGAAACATAAAGAAAATTATCCATAAATGAAAATGGTTATTAAATGGCCTTATTGCTATTCACAATAATTGGTTTTACAAAAATCATGGCTGTTATAAATGGACTGGTTGTAAAATTTTGATTGCCGATTTATCCTCCTTAGGTTCCTGGAGTACTTTTGAGGGTGCACATCTTTTTTTATCATATATTATATTTGCCGCTCTCCCTCTTGTGGCTGACCTTGTCACAGACAATCTTTTCATTCTCTGCATTTTTGTGCTGGTGTTATCATTTTTCTAGTATTTTCTAATAAATATTAACACAACGAGAGTAGTCAAAGTGGTCATCATATTTCAGGGCACTTCTTGCCCCCTTTGCCCCCTTTGCCCCTCTTTGAAGAGGGCAGGAGGGGCAGCTGCCCCTCCACCCCCCCCCCCTGTGTAGGCGCCCCTGCTGGACACCCAGGAGAAAACAGCCCCCTCCACATCTGCACCTTTCACTGACCTTAGAGATGTCAACTTGGCCACTATCAATAAATTATTTGAGTTGCAATTTCCATGTTTTGTTACCACAGAAGCACTGGCATGGTTTTTAGGTTTACCAGTCAATAGTGCATGTAAAATAAATTCATAATTATTTTTAAATGGGGGACTGTGTGGAAAAAACCTTGTTTTTTGAAGAGAGCCTTTGCATGCAAAGAGGTTCTACAGTTCTCTTAAAGCATACAATCTTGCATTTTTATCAAAAATTAGAGTCTGCAAGGCAATACTTAAATGTACCGGCTTGGCAGGGCAGGGCCATGTGACACTGCCAGGGGGAGTTAAATTCCAGAGGATAGCGATCACATGTTAATTCTATCGGCTTTTTCCTAATTTGAGTTAGGTGTTGCATGGGTTTGGCCTTCCGAAGTCACATTTATCATTTTTTAGAGATAATTTTGTGTTGTCGGAGGCTGCCTGCGTGGGGAAACACCAATCAACATTCGTTCTTTGATAAGCAAACTTTGAAATTAGAGAAAGAGTTGGAGAAAAATCCCTTGAAATTAGGCACAGGGTACAAGTACATAGTAACTATCAATGAAAAAATTAATTAGCTCTTTGTCTTAATATATATCTCTTAATTTTCCATTCATTGGGGGAGTTTACTTAGGCCCTCTAAGCTGAACGCGCTCTTACAAGGAACTTATACGTCGAGGTCAAAGCAAAAACGTAGTAATACGCCCTATGCAAAAACTAGGGCAAATAATACCTTTTCATGCATTGTTTGAGGCCAGTCATACAGGAAATATGCACTCTAGCAACAAGCATCGTAAACTATACTCAAAACATTTCAAGGTTTTACGGCGGTTGTACTGCCCTCCTTTTGAGAAGCCGGTTCTAAATTTAGAGATGATGTAATGGAGCTATTTTCGTGTCCAATTGTCTTTGGTGGCTTCTGGCTGTCGACTTTTTGAATAAAACAGTGATGTGTAAATATTGTATATACTGCAGGAGATGATTGCAGAAATACAGCAGGATTGCGCAAATTGTTATACAAGTACCAAAATTTCCGAAAACGAATTTGATACCCTGAACAACATATGATTCTCCGTTTATGGCTAATGCTTTGTTTAAAATATTTACGTTGGTAAGTTCTCTTTAACTTTCATGAGAATGCTGAACAGATTTCAGATTGCTACCAACGTACGTTGGCTCGCATATGTTCAATATATCAGTCAACTTTTCCAAAATTCACTTTATCTGCCCCTTTGCAGTTCGCTGAGTGGCCCTTTTTGTAAACTGCATAACCAAAAAGTGCCCTTGAATTGCTTAGGTGCCTATACGAAATGAGCAAATGGATTACCTTTTGTGGGACGATGATCTAAAATGTTTCTTTTCGCTCTGCTTTTAAAAACATCAAAAACAAGCTCACAACAAGGGTTACCGAAAGGATGTGGCGTCGGATAATTGGCCATGGGCCTTGAGATTAAGGCAGGAGCGTCGAGAAGGGGGTTAGGAGGGGCAAAAGGTCCGGGGCAAAAGATCTATTTACAATGCAAAAAGCTATCCTTGATTCATGTAAAATGATTTTGCACATTCTTGTAAAAATCCTTGAAAAACTTGTTCAACAATTGTACCTAAAAAGGCTTTTCCCTTGTTCTCCGTGAGACTGAAGGGCGTTGCCACAGGAAATTTTCTCTAAGAAGGTCCAGTTTTGTGAACCACCCCTGGGCCCGAGCTGCCTCTCGACGGCCCTAGGTTTAGGGCGCTCTCGGTGTTTCCAGTTTGTGAAAGCAATTAGTAAGACATAGCAAAATTTTAAAATTTTTAGACAATTGCAAGAAGGTGAGATGAATTTTTAGGTAATCTAAAGGGCATGGTCCCAAAAAATTTTCTGCTCGTTTACCTCGCAAAGGGCCTTCTCTTTCGATTCTGCCGCAAGGCCTCCGAAACCTCTCGGCGCGCACTGCACACAACTAAGCCAGAATATGATACCTATATCATTATAGCCAGGCTTTAGCCTCCCTTGATGGTTGATGTGGGGGTGAAAAGAATTTCGAGAATGAAGTTTGACTGTAGTCTTGATTCAAATGTATTTGCCTTCATTTCCGAGAGTCCTTAGGACGTAGCAACGCAAATTTCCCTTGGGTCTATGCCCATAGAACACCGACCCTCTCTCCCTTGAGCGGGTCTTCACCTTCAACCAGGCTTCGTCATTGGCTAAACGACAATTCCCGATCTATTTCATCAGCAAACTTTGACACCCCAAGGTGCCCTTTCTGCATCTCCAGCCCCTGCCGCATCATGAAGCTTGCGGCGCTTCTGATGAGCAGCAGAAGACCAAGACTACCCCCATGACGTTCAAAAGAAAAGTTAAAGCTAAATACAATTTTATAAATTACTACTATAAAAAAGTGAAACTTTACTTGGCTTTAAGAGATTTTGTGGTGGTTGCATGCATATGGCTAGATTTCGAAAATACATCAGTCAAATCGACCAGTTGAGCTGATGAAACGTACGGTAAATTAGAATATGTTCGAGTTCAAGTCATCAGTATTCATCACCGTATAAAAGTAGCTGTGTCAGGGCATTGTTTGAAAAATTGGTAACTTGGACAAATGGCCGTAATAATTCAACAATTCAAGTGAGAAGATCTCTTCACTAAACGTGAAAAGAAGGGCAGAGCAACAAAAAGTACTCAGTATCCTAAATGCAATCGCTCGTTGGGCACATTGGGTTCACCGTACCCTGGGTACCAGAGCCGCAAAAATTTAACGGCAGAAAAAATAATGAGAGCTGCGGAGGCGAATGAGAGAGAAGAGGGTAGGAACTTCCCTCTTCTTCCTCCTTCGTCTCCGCAGTTGCTGCCGTTTTGCTGCCGTTAAATTTTTGCGGCTCTGGTACCCAGGGTAGGTTCACCGTATCCTTAACATTGTGCTTGAATTTGTTGAGGTTCAACTTGCTGAGACCAACCTTAGTTGAATAAGATATAATAATCCCATTGGGTCGTGAATTCTAAAGACAGATTTTGCAGGGGGGCAGATTTTAGATAAAAAGATTTTTTTAAAACAGAAACAGAAGGTGCAAGTCTCAATTCTTGGTCAAGCTTGTTCCATTCGGATAAACAATTGGGATAGAAACTAGATTTGAATTTTTCTGTCCTTGCCTTTAATGGTACAATTAAGGGTCTGGACCAGAGTACACAAGGCAAATTATGAATTGGGTATATATTACGTCGTTTTCAGCGTACCAAACTGCTTTTATATTGTGAATCTCAGCTTTCTATGAATATCAACGTTCTCCGTTTATGACCAATAATACAATTAGGGATCTGGACCAGTATGCCTCTGTCTAAAAATGAAACTCAGGGGCTAGATATGAATTGGGTTTATATCACATGTTTTACAGCATATCACAGTTTGGTCCATGTATCACAATTTGCACTTTTCTTCTGCTTATCTTCCTCACTTTTGGCCCAGGAGAGCAGGGAAAGTCTTGCCCTGGTCACTGCGTGCTAGTGGCAAAGCAACATTCGCAATTTGGAGTCTCTCATATTGAACGTTAAAATATTTTAGAACAAGTATACTTTCCTAGAAATAATATCATGTACTCCTTTTTTGGCCCAATATACACAAGCAAAAAGACCGGGTCAAACAAAAATTTTATATGAAAAACAGCTGAAACTTAGTACTATGCTTTACTGTAAAAGTTCTAAGACCGTATATCCTCAAAATAACCGGGCGCTTAGCTGATCAGCTGATCACAAACTATGATAAACTCAATATTTTCATTAAAATAATTCGCTTAGATTTGAAAATTTTGTAAATTAAATCTGGTGTACATGGAGAGCTGACTTAAGTTATCTAAAGTTTTAGATCTTTCAAATTCTAACAAATAGATCGATTGAACATGGTTCGTAGGGGATCTAGTCATTATTAATATGTGATCATACAATGATGATAAAGCCAAAGGTAAGTTTCTTTATTTTTTACTTTAATTGTTGAAAAAGCATGGAAGAATGCAATAGTAAAGTAGACAAGGATGTAGGACTTTGTAATGGGTTGTCACCCTAGTCTTATCAAAAAGTTAAATTGCAATGTAGCCGTTTCAACACAAGGCTCCGATCTTGCACCGTTTTTATTCCTGATCCTTATCAGTAAAATCAGCCACAAATCTAAGTGTGGCATCAAATCATTAGCTTAAATAATAGCCTATTATGTTTTGATCTTTGTTGATAATTTACAAAGATAATTTTACCAGCTGATCAACCTGTCACTGTTTAATTCTTGAACTTGTGTTCTGTGGTGTAGCCAGGATTGGAAGATTGGAGAGGCAAAGAGGAGTTCTACAGCAGAGGGTCCGGGGGTCCGGGGATTTACCCCCGGCAAAAGTTTTGCTAACTACACCCATAAGAATCGGGGAAAACGCCCCATTTTGTAAGTGTGGTTGGAAAAGCTATGGCTATTCTACATGGCAAAGGTTGACAAATCAAACACAATAACCGTCATATGTAGCTTTTCTACAACTGTCTATTTCCTCCACCATTCCTCTAACATTTATACTCTGAATTGTGTAGGGCGAGGAAGCTCTACGTGTAAAAACTACGTGTAGCAAATGCCTAAAAATAATAAACAGTGTTCAACAATTTTAAACTTAGTCCGATCTCCTTGGAGCAAAATCTGTAAAGCCCCCGACAAGCATTTCAGAATCCAATTTTTCAAGGATTGAAGCGCTCTAACTTCTATTTTATAGGGAATGTCTAAAGAACGTAAATTACTTTTTATATAAAAACTAAAATGAGGGGAAATTGTAAAACATTCTGTATGGGTACAGAAGAGGGTCCTCGGTGAGGGAAGCAAGCACAAATGCTTTGTGAATATTTTTTCGTATAAATACATTTCAAAATATTTCTTACAGTGGTTTACTTACAGTCTTTTAAAACAATTTAATTTTGTCTGAAATATTAACTCCCGCCTCCTAAAGTACTATTTCTATGGCAGATTTGCACTTTCTAAGACATCAACTTTCTGAGCATCGAGGGGCGGAGAATTATTCTGCTAGAAATCATGCATTTTGAACACTGAAATAGAATACATCATTTGCGAGATCGCCGCTAGCATACTTGGCCCAACACCTAAAAACATCTTCACGCTTTTGGCGCCAAATTTTTTTTTCTTTCAACCTAAAGTAAAATGCTGTATGAGAGTGTCGTTGAAATATTTTTCCTTTCTGATTTCATTTTCCTACTCAAAAACCCTTTTCAAATTATGGCGGGAAATGAATCATGTGACACCGTGACGTAGATTGTGATAATTTGTTATTGCTGCTACTGGTATACAGTGCAATATTAGCGTTTACAACACGTTTCTAAACGAATTCAGTTCGTCTGGACCTGTCGCGTCGTGTTCTTGGAATCAGTGGCGCGGGCCCTTATGAACATTCAGTAGAAGTACTTTTTCAGTTTTATAATTGTGACCGTTTATAAATCAACCGTTTTCAATTTTGACTGACATTTTTCATGCCCGCTCTTACTTTCAGTTTACCTGGCCCCTCTTAAAGGGTAGAAAAATTATTGATGGCCCCACCTCAATATATTCCGCCCTACCCCCCGCCATTACTAATGACTGGTTCCTTAGTCCCCTAAAAACTTTTTAGCCCTCTTCATAACGTAATATCGTGGCCCTTGATACAATGATACATATGGTATACTAAAAATGGAAACACATTCCTTATATGTAGCAAGATAAATATCATCTTGTCATATCCTGCTTATAGTGATGAGAAAAAACCCATCAAACAATAAATTGCTTATATTTCCATATAAGTCAAAGTTCGAGAGCTCGAAAGAGCTCGAATGTTCACAAACTTGCTGAAACGAGGTTTCTTGCGAAATGTTTGTCTTTTGTCTTCTCGCCCACACGTAAAACTCGTTTCATCAAGATTCAGAGTTAACCTTTGTTCGAGTGTACTGTTTATAGCAACGGAGGGCAAACCCGAACGTACGAGAAAATTCACGTCATAGACGAATATAATCGAATAGGACTCATATATATAAACGAGCAACGAACACACAGACTAGAAGTCCAATCGGAATCTACGAGAAAGTCTTTATCGGTACTCTACAACTTTTTCGAGGTACACTTTCTAACACGACTAGAATGGAGAAAATGGGAACTACTGCGATCTTAGCAGAAGAAGAATTTTTGGAAAAGTATCATGAGCAGAGGAGAGTTAACCTTAGACTGCTCTCTGAGAAGCGGGAGCTCCTAATGCAGCTGCAGAAAGCGACTGGAGCTCAGGAGACGAAACAAATTCGTTCTTCGGAAGACTACGAGAAATTGAAACAAAAGGTCGAAGAGCTTGAGAAACAGCTAAAAGAACGCAAGGAAAATTTTACGGTAAGCACATGATATTATTTTTTTGTCACGGATAATGTTTTCTATATCATATAGTATATTTTCTGGCATTTTACCCCCTAGTTTACTGTTCGTGGCGACTAGGCCTAAGTAACTATGACCTTATCACCAAGTCGCGCTGTGCTGCATCGTCTTTCTACCAGACCATTAAAAAGAGATATTGTAAACCTAAATCATGAAGTTTTTGCATTTATTTTCTTAACCAATTTTAGGGTAAATCGAGTAAAATTGCAAAACATTTATTCAATTCGGGCCGCATGGCACTACTACTGTTATCGGTATGAGTTCGGGGCCCATCGTCATCGTTTGACTTCAAACGAAGTTCTCACGCCGATTGCGCAATTGCACTATTGTCCGGTTTCAAAGTACGTACACAATGTGGACGGTAGACACTTGAGACAAAAATGGCGACAGTAATTGCATATTTCCAGTTTTGAAATCCATTGGCGTTGCAAGGGGGATGTGTAAGCAAAACATGACCCCTACCTCAATTCGCATTGTCTGCCCCTCCCCCTTCGTTGACATTATTCAATAAATTTTCACCATAATATGATTTTACAAGAAAAACTCTAAAAGCAGCATACTGAACAACGAAGGCTGAGACTTTTTAGGACTGGTCTTTTAATATTGGATAGGCCATCGCTGCAACACAATATAATCTAACATTCATGCCAAAGTTGGAAAATTTCGCAAAATGTCTCAAAAAGTTGAAACCTGTCTCAAATTATATCCACTTTGCAGAGTAAAGCCATTTTGACAAGATCATGGGTGGGCCAACAGCCAGTCACCCATACACCTCAGGTATGGGTATGCAAAAATCATCCAGACACACCAGTTGTGCCAGAACTGTCACTTTTCCTGGACTCAATTTGAATAAAGCTAGCTGCTGAGTGTGTCATCTCATAAACAATGCCTGCACCTAGGGTGTGATTGTAAATAGTTTTTGCTGCTAATGCTAATGATAAGTGATATTCTGCAACCCTGAAATTCAGTGGCTATTTTGCTTTCTTTTCTTCATATCTTTCATTGCACATTTTCAGATAACACCCAGTGAGACATCACCAGGAGCTGAATTGATTCAATCAAGCTCAACCATCTCAAAACCTCCAGAATCAGAATGCAATTGTACATGTGCTGATAAGCTTCAAGAGGTAAGGACACATTTCTTTTGTTTCTACCTGATCAATGTCAAAAGGGTGAAAACATCCTTTTTCCTAAAAATAAATTCTTTAGTCTTTTTTTAAAGTTACAAATAGTTGTTAAGATACAAAAATAGATCAATTCCTCTTTAGGCTTTTTTTAAGCTCAAATCGTTCCTTACTGCTTTGGGTATAATTCTGTATTTTTGTCTTAAAATCAAGCTACTTTGTTGAATGTCTTCTTGCTCCCATTCATAGAAAGTCTGAATTGAAATGAAAAATCACTAGTGACAGAACTTGAGCTATATAAGCTGTTGGGCAGTTTCAGTGATTTTCTTGGTCTCTTTGTTAGTTAGCTGTTTCTGCATGTGTTTCTCAGTTTTATGTATAATTGGGGGAGTTGAAAATTGACTCCCAAAGCCTATGTTTTATCCTAGCAAAGACAATAATATATTACTTAGTTTCAGACTAGCTAAACAAAAGCTAAATTAAACTCTTTGTTTTTGAGAAAAGTTATATTTTTCATTGAAAAAGTTTAATTACATTTCAATTCAAAAGTTGTAGATTCTTTGGTAAATAGAAATGAGAGTATAGAATTAATGGTTCTAAGGGTTTGAATATAATCTGCTCTGATCAAAGTGCAATGTGATGATATAAATGGTGTGCTTTTTATAGGCAATTGCAGTGAACCACCAATGGAACAGTTCATATCAAAGACTACTGAAAAGATTCACTGAAATGGATAGAAAAGTAAAGAAGTTAGAGGAACAGCTAAAAGTAGAAACTGAAGAAAATAACCAGCTGAAAGATTTAGTGAATAAACTTGAAAATGATTTTGGGGATTATAGTAGACAATATGCCAGGCTATCCAGTTTGGAAGAAGTGTGTAGCAAGGATGATGTGGAAGCATTGAAAATTCAGGTCAGTTTGGGACTAAACATGTTTTTATATCCACAATCTTGTTTGGAAATTGAGAATGAATACATCAAAGAAGCAAATATTAGAATTCAAGACTTAAAAAGTGTTTTAGCTATTTTTATCCTTACCAGCTATTTAAATTTTATTCATTTTGCAAGTATTTATGTAGATATTACATAATAACACTCTGATAATGTTTAACATTAACACTAGTCTGCAAAACAAATCTTGTTCTCTTGATGTTTAACTGTTGTTTTTGCTCTGCCTTTAGCTGTTGGCTTACAAAGAAGACTTTTTCACAGAAAAAGAAGAAAAAGAGAAAATAATCTATGAAGATACAAAACTGAAAAAAGATCTAGAAGAAGCCAACCGAATAATAAAAATTTTGTCTGAACAAGTTGGACAGTACAAAAGCTTTGCTACTAAAATTTCAAAAGCAGAGGATTCATTAGAGAGAGATAATCAATGGAATTTTAGTGAATATAGTTACCCAGCACCAATATACCGCAGGCAATTGTCACCAAGCTATTCCTTGCCAATGACCAGAGAGGTAACTTGATTTATAATTTTCAATAGGTATGACTTTGTAACATTGCACAATCATGGATCACTTCACCTTGCTATCCTCGTCATTTTCAAGTTTCATTCATGGATGTGTTAGTATGTGCAGGAAAGGCTCATCAAGAACATAACTCATCTTTCAAAAAGAATTGATAACTAGCAACAGAACTTGATTCATTTAAAAATATATATTTTGCTCATTGCTTTCCAAAAGCGGTCAAGCCATTTCTTGTTAAATAATTATTATATTATCTGAGTTCCATTTGTGTTTGATGCAATTATCAAGTTAAAAACAGCATATTATGTATAGCCTTCAATATATATTTAATGATGCTTAATTTTTTTCTAGGTGCCATTGCCCAGGGGTGCAGAAAGATCAACCAATTTTGAATTTAGAAGATCAGACCCCGATTTATTCAGGGGAGGTAAGGTTGTGAGGGACTAATGAATCAACATCATTAGCTAATATAAAGAAAAATTTAAAAACGAAAAGTTGCTTATTTAACTTGAATGAATATTTTTTTGTAAGTTGAATATTTTTTTGTAAGTTGAATATTTTTTTGTAAGTTGAATATTTTTTTGTAAGTTGAATATTTTTTTTACTTATTTCTATTAAAATTTTGTACAAATAGAATTATAAAGTTGGTTGAAAAATTATTCAAAAATAAGTTTCATCCAAAATAAGTTCCAGAAACTAATTTTTGTAAATATTTGGTAATTCTGTGAATTTATAATCTAGTAATTTTTAATGATTATTTTAACCAAGATCTTTTCAAAAGCAACAAAAGTTTTGGATTTTACTAATATAAGTTCTTTCTTAGAATGATATTTTCCACAAGAAAATAGTCAGTTTCAGAATTTTTCACTAATTGACGGGGCTCTTTACATTAAGACAGAACTTTAACTTCTGTGTTTGGGTCATACATAGACTACCATTTTCATGTAATCAGAGGGTTGTCGTTAAAGTACTCATGATTTGTAAGATAAGGAGACAGTAATTTTGAACATTTTTCCGGAATTAATAACTTTACAAAAGTGCTAGAAATTAGCCAATTGTAACGACTGTAAGTTTTTTAACTTTTTGCTAAATTAAGTAGAAAATATAGTTATTTATCTTATATATTGTGTTTTTAATGATTCGCTATCCACATTCAAAATTGTGTTTTTATTCCCTGCCTGAATTTCCTGCTACAACAAAGAGTTGTCATTCAAATACAGTTTTTGGATCAGCAATACCAAACTTTATATACAACAGCATGGTTTCACAGCCTTTTTCTCTTTACAAAACAGATAATAAAAAATAAAGCTATATTCTACAGTCTAACAAAAGGTTTCATACCCCCAAAAATACCACATTGTCTCATTCACAAAATATCATGAATGCTTTGAAAAATTTGCTAGATTGTGAAATTACTTTTTAAAAGCTCTGCAAGGTCCATTGAGCTCCCCATATCATCTGTACAAGTTCTCATCGAAATTTCAGACATAACAGATAGGCAATCATCATGTGTAGGTTCAGGTTCTGTTCTGCTTGGTGAAAAGCAAGTTACTATAACATTCAGTTCATCGTTATCGCCTTCATTGAGCCTTGCATTGCCAAACTGCTCTTTCAGCTTTTTTCCCACATCCATAGTGATTTCTTTGTCACGGCAAACCAAGTTCACGATAAATATTCCTATAAAAGAAGATAAAAATATATACAGTAAAAAACTTGTTAAATCAAAAAAAATTACTCATTTTTTTCCCAAAAAGCCAAGGGCACAGAGATATCAAGATGAAATCAAGAGCAAACAGCAAGACTTGCCTGGAAAGGTGCTTGACAAAGATTACAAGATTACAAGATTAAAAAAAATTACTAAGCTGGGGAAACTCTCAATGGACAAACTCTAGCTCTTTACTCCTTTACCCAAAGTATTGTCAGAAATGTGATTGCTGGCAGAATAAGGTGAATGTTAATAGCTCAAAACAGAGATCTATGGCAAGTCACTTGATAGATAGGCAGGAACTTAGACCCTGTTTACACTGTGTCTGATGAATTGAATACGCATCGAAATCAGTTCAGATTAGGTGTCACATCTACATTAGAACCACGCTATCCACACAACTTTGAGAGCAGCTATCCAAACAAAATTAGTTCACCTAGAAGAGCTTCTTTTGATTTATGTACATTCAAGCTACATAATAACTTACCAGAAGAATGCAAAAGTGCAGATACGTTTTCAAGCACTTTGTGATCTAAGAAACTTGGTGGTGGTGCTGTTAAGGCTGAAGATTCATCATCTGTATTGACATCAAATATTACTGCGTGAAAGCAACCATGATTACCTAAAGGGCAAGCAGGTATCTTTAGAGAACACATAAAGTAACAAATTTCCAACAGGATTAAAAAAATGATATCTAACTTTATGATAGTTTTGGATTTTGGTATTGGTGTGATATACCTCTAATGACAAAAAAAAATATTAATTTTCGAGAATTGCCTTCCGTAATACAAGCAGTGGCATATGCAAAGGGGGAATGAGGCCTCTAGACTCAACACTTCTAGGAAAAAATGCACTTAAGATTTTTGGAAAAGCAAAGAAGTTGCTGGGGTGGTGATAAATAACAATTCATTTCATTGAAAGATTTTTTATCAGAGCTTAATAGATGTGTTTGATTCCTATATATAAAAAATTAAGCAAATTTTGGAAATGGTCTCAAATAATTTCCCGTAGCTATGTCAGTTTCCAGGAGCTACCGTAATGCTTCGATTAAATACCTGGGGTGTTTATTAAATTTTTTTATATGTTAGGGGCGTCTATTTGAAGGGGCGTTTAAAAGAGGGGGAGTTTATTGAATTTGTTCACTCTTCCTAGGCAATATGTTTAAAAAAACATCTAATGATGATCGCACTCAATGTGAAACTCTGAGTAACAACTAAATAAGTCTGGTTCCAGAAGTAATAAACACTACTCTGAAGTTTTAGAGAAGGAATTCTTCAAAAGAAAGGCAAAATTTCCCACTGTAATGTTGAAATTTAGAAAGAGGGGCATATATCGTAAATTTCCTTATTATGTATTTCACGAAATAAAGCATGGTAGTATATTGTTAATTACTTTTCTGTGTATTTCGAATATGTTTAGAGGGGGCGTTTCGAGGGGTCTATTCGAGGGGGCGTTTAATAGAGGGAGCGTTTATTGAAAAAAATTTAAAATAGGGGGATTTTAATCGAGGGGGCGTTTAATCGAAGCATTACGGTATGTATATATCTGGATACAAGTAAGGCCAAAATCATCAACAAGCTGTATTGGTACCATGTTTTGACAGTTAAATGAGGTTAGAGGCAAGCAACTTGTCATTAATCATTGTAAACCCTGTCAAAATAAAACTAAATGAACATTGGATGCCTTTTTCCACCTCCAGCTCCATGAACTTCAAACCATCATCTATGATTGATTGAGTTTTTTCATTGTTGCTAAATCCAAACCATTTTTCTGCTAACTCCACAACAATTGGATTCAATTCAACACAAACAATTGTTGCCTAAAATTGCAATGGAAAATTGCACTGAATTGAATGCTGTTTCTAATTTGTTAGGGTTTGTTAAAGGTTGCTAGGGATATTGTAGCATTTCAAAGTTAAAGGGTCACATGTAAGAAAGGGGATCATTTCAGAGAGAAAAAGGCACTTGTCAAAGAGGTATAAAAAGGCCATTTTTCTAAAGGTTAAGGGGGCATGCTCCTAGGGCAACCCAGTTCTGAAATCCCTCATAAACAGAAGTTATAATTTTAACTAAATAAACACTTAATGTTACAAAATAAAAGCTTATAAATATAATACGTTTTCAACCCCTATACTTAAAAACGCAATTGAAAGACATTTGTATATTGTGCAACCAAAAAAAAGAAAATGACACTCAAAACTAAGCTGCAACATATGACATTGGCTCATACCTTGGGAAAGGCTACCGAAACAAAGTTAGGCAACGCAGCTCCACCAAGGCCAATTAATAATATCTTTAAATCGCCTAAAGAAATAATTTTGAATTTGTTTATCTTTTATGCAAAGCAATATAAAAAACAAAGCAGACACTGTTGAACCTAGTTTGTAAATAAATGAAAGGCCATGGTATCAGCCCGGTAAACAGACTCAAATGGAATGCTTGCGGCGGATAGTCAATAAAATTGTAGAAAATAAGAAACACCACAAAAGAGAACAAAGAACAATAAACACAAGCAAATTAATGATAGTTAATATATTGCCCTGGCATACAGGGCCACATCAGAGCAAAAATGATATAAAACTTGTATTATTGATCTTCTATCAACAATAAAATTTATTATATAAATTAATCCATCTAGATACAGGATATATTGATAAAGCTTTTGAATAAGGTGATAAAAATCACAAGAAAGAACTTACTATCAAGGCTCCTGCTTCCAAGCAAAGTCAACGCTGCTATGATTTGGCGGTGGAAGGAAAAAACAAGAAAACCCTTATCAACTTGAAAGTTTCTTGTGGATTCGCCTGTAACATCATGTTCTGAAGCTGCAACAGAAATTGAAAGCTTTGAAGAATGCAGGCCTCCAGCCATGAGAAGTATTTAAGCCATCAAACAAAGAGACACACACATAGTCCAACAAGGGGTTTGATAGGATGTTGGTCAAGAGAATTCAAAGAATAGAACTCATTTGACATGACATGGATTAAAGTAAATTAATAATGAAATACTAAGCAACTTATTACTTACTGCAGAAACTTATTAAAAAAATATTGTTATAAAAGCAATTTGGAAACACTTTCCCTGACTCAGCAGACCAGACCTCTAGTACCAAGGGACCTTACCAAACTGGCAATGCTGCATTTGTAATACCAATGCAGCAGGGGGCAGGGGGAACATGGTATTTTAGGCATGGAAATTAGCACCCAACCACAAAAGAGATAAAATTCAATCCACAAGTTTTCTATTAAGCCCAAGGCGTGACATGACAAGTAACAAATGATTCAATATATACCACTATGAAGCCGGTATTCTGTCTGTATTATGCCAGGGTTTCTGTGAAATATAAGACGGCGGTGAAAAGTATCATCTTCAGCTTTGAAGTCCTCTACAATACACCCATTTTGTCCAGAACCTGAGTCACAGAGAGTATACCTCTGACCAATATCCTCTCCAACTGTTACAAATGGAACCTTTATAAAGACAAAAAAGTTTTGTTGCATTCAAATACTATTAAGAGAATCTGTCATATATGTTTTGTAGTTCTTAGTTTTTCAGCATTTTCAAAAATTGCTTGAGCAATTAAGAATGGCCAATCTGCCATTACATAGTCTTAACAATCAGAAGTGCAACATTCTACAATGACAGTTGACTGATATCAATAAAAATAAGTAGCTTTGAAGCTGACTTAAGGGGATTTTTTGGCAAATTTAGACCTGAGATGACACCATTTCAACAAGGAATATCCTCTTTCAGTCAGTCTTATTGACAAAATAAATTTTTGTATGTCTTCACTGTCATCAGAATGGCTACATAACCAATACAAATGCTGCACAGAGGAGAAAAGGAAACTATGGTTTATTATGAATTAAAAGTAAGCATGAAATGAGTAACTTTAGCTGATGAATCATAGCTTGACATAGAGTTTAAAAGGACCATGAAGTTTTCATTACCTTAGCTGACTCATTCAAGCCTGGAGGAGCAAGCTGAAGTACCCTGGTTGATAGTTCACTCTTTATTTCATCAAGACTTTCATATAAATGCCCTCTGTGTGTCAATGTTATTGCAATACGCTCAAAACCTGACATTGAAGCAAGCTGCCTTCTGCCTTTGTTTGTGGAGAAGAGCCAAGCAATTTCCCTTCCTAAAAATAAAGCCTTTAACATAAGTAAAGAGCAAAAACCTACTGATGACTAGAAATATTTGAATTGGTCTTCAACTGAGACAGTTTAAAGACCCCTTAGTAAAACAATCTTCCTTGCTTGTGCTCTACCAAGAAGACTTTTTACATATGTTTTCAGACTTGGATTGATCTTTATCATTTTCTCCAATTATTTCAAGATATCAAATGACAATACAAACTTATGGTGGACAGTAGAAACAAAAAAAATCATATTTGAAACAGCACCAGACATGCATTCAAACTGTTTTGAAACTTTTGCAATGGAAGGAAGATTAACCTATAGTTTATCATATTAGATTATATGTAGATTATATATAATCTAATAAATAGATTAAAGTTAGGTTTGCATATAATCAAGGAATTCTAAGTTAGAATATAAGCAATTACTTCATTCCTGTTTTTCTGCGTCTCCTTTGGAGTCTTGCATCTCTCACTTTTGTATTATTTCTCAACCTGCCTCGATTGTTTTATAACATTTTTATATACTTTGAACTTCAAAGAATCACAAATTAGCAAAGTTAAGGCAAATACCTTGTGGAACAATAAATACACCATACTTCCCAGCATAGCTTCGCAGCATCTCTTTTGCAGAGTCAACTATTACCACAGTGTACCGAGGTGACTGAGAATTCGTTTTTGGACACCAAAAGTTGATTGTATAGCTGTTGTTGAAGTCAAACTCACTTCCTACAAGAGATATTATCCCTTTCATATGAAATATGTACTCCAGGGGGGTTAAATAAATTCAAGAATATAGAGAATACCAAAAAATATTCCAACCCAAATTTTATGAGATCATAATCATCATTTCACATGCTCTTTTTCTTGTTTGAAGAAACATATTTTGAAATTTTTTATTCTAGCTACTGGTATGTTTCTTGGTAATATGGGGGGAGCTTATTTATTTGTTTAAAACCTAGAGGAGGCTTTAAAAGGAGGGGGCTTATTAGATAGGGGGAGCTTATTAATAATACAATGTAATAATGTTATAAAAATGCCCTTATGCATTTTTTGTTATGAAAATGTCATACAAATGTTCTAAAACACTTTATTAGCAGCTTCAAAAGTTTCTAAAAATTAATCAGTTATAATGTGACGTCTTCTTCAGAGTTACCAGGATCAACTGATATTCCCTGGGACATCTTTTAAACAATTTTCTTCTAAGGCGCACAAGTAATTATTCACATAAGGCCATATCTAATACACACAATCTTATTGTCATCACATCCATCAAGAGACCAACTCAATGCACATGTTATCTTTGTTTGACATTGGGGGCTTAACAGGGGCCTTGATAGAGAGGGGGCTTATTTCAACTTTTGCTTGATAAAAGGGGCTTGATGTAGAGGGGGGCTTTATAGACCTTTTATGGTATTTCAAGTGTAGTTGAATCAAAACTGAACTGAATATATAATCTACGTCACCAAGATAAATTGTTTCTTTATTAGAAGATATAACAATTTGTTTTTTTAGACACAACTTCAAGTTTAATTTGTGTGTCTAATTAGTTGTTTCTATTATCTAGATTTGATTTATGAAGCAATTAAAGTCACTTGGGCCTTGCAGGACCCCAATTCCATGCATGACCAGTGATTAAGATTCTTTGAGATTATTCTTAATTCTACATCAAAATACTGAAAGCATTTTCTTTATCAAAACAAATGGTCTTCATACAGGGTAAATGCTCTTAACCTCAACAGCTTAGTTGTTGTAAGTTGGAGCATAAAAAGTATGATATAAATCTTTTAGATTCCCCACTTATGAATAGATGACTTCACTAAAATTGAATGCAAGGGTTGGAGCACTTGGCTGCAGTACCAAAGGTTGTATGTTTTATTCCAGGTTCAACTAATGATTTAAGCAACCAATCTCTTTCCATAACCTGGTAAATGAATCTGCAAAGGCTAAAAGCAGTGACTAAACAAACTGGCCACCCAACCTAACAATGTGGTTGAAAAAGTGCCTTCTCTATCAGGCTTCCCTGTTTACAGATCATATATCAGACTCACAGTAACCATTTAATGAGTTTGCTAGATACTGATTAAACAATAACAAGATAAGCCTGGTGAAATAAATTAAAAGCAGCATTCACAAGAAATACTACTCACTTAGCTTGTACTGCAGAAATGTGAAATCCCAAAGTTGGGAAACTGCTTTTCTTATGTCTTCCTCACTGTCAACTTTTATTGCCTTTTCTGTTTTCATACAAACTTCCATAACTGCTTTGGGTACTAAAACAATTCAAAACTATAAAAATTCACTGGAATAACAACAAATAGCAACAAAAACAAATGCACAAACATTGTTTTGAAGTTCATGTACTCTCTGGCGCTTAATACAAGGAGGGGGGGGGGCGCTTATTAATTTTCAAAAATATTTCCAACCCCACTGCAGGCTCTGGATGAATGACTCTTAGTGAAGAGACTTAGTGACTAAAAAATAAGCTTTTTGGACATGTTATAGGAAGTTAGAACTTAAAAGAAATTTGATGAATATCCAGCAGGGGGAGGGGGGGGGTAAGGCAGAGAGGCAGACAATCAATACCTTAACATCTTTGGCATTGGATAGAAGCAGGTGTCAGGGTCTTGTGGCAACCACAGTAGTACAAATGGCAAGTCTAAAGGAAGCACATATTGCAAATATACTTGCAGTGATGAAAAGGGTTAACATTGATGTACAGCAAATAAGATGTTTATACTCACATTTCAACTTCAATTTGGTTAATATGAATAAAGTCAGTGGTGCACTGTTTTTGTTTCCAGAACAAGCAGTTAACTGAACACTCTGCAGCCTAATAAACCAATTATCTTTGAAGTAGCCTAAGATACATTCTACCACTTCCTTGCAAGAATTTGTTAAACATAGGTATCTCCCGCCATTTTTTAGTGTCTTTGATATGCTTTCAAAGATTCTACAGCATATGACATTGAACATGGAACCAGCACATTTTTCTACAAGGTTGCTTGTTGAGCAAAGATCAAGAACCACATTGAGTGAATCAGGATTCAAAGACATCTGGAATGAAAATCATACCCTGTAGAATATTTTGAATGAATCAATTAAACTTTAAAAATTATTATTTTTGATTTTGTAGATCTTTTTCTAATATACTTAAACCTAACAGGGAAACCCAATAACCCCCTAATTATAAATTTTGAAAAAAGGATGATCAAACAATGGATTTCTTACTTTTTTAAAGGTGATCTCATTGAATCTCTACAGTACAGCAGTAGCCTATCAAATGACACTCAAGTCAAAATTCTAGCCATTAAGCATTCAAATCCAAAGTGTTTAAGGTGTTTTCAAATTTCAACTCTATTTCTAAGACAACATTACAACTTTAGAAACAGTTATCAATATAGAATGGTATCAAATGCTCACTTCACAAGTTCAAATTATTTGAAAATACAGAGGAAATTTATGCAATGGACTTAACAGCAAATTCTACAGAATTATGGAAGCCACCACTGTTGAATATTATAACAGTGTAAGAACTCTATTCATCAAGTTCTTATTGACTAAGACAGCTCTTGAAGAACTTCAGCCTATACTTGAGAAAACAATTGGTGCTTATGCCTAATTAGAAAATTTGAGTAACTTTTCCACTGTGAGGTTAATGTGTATTTTGGAAAATACAAAATTTTTCAAGCAACATTTGGAGAGACTATAACAGGTGATTTCTGTATCAAAGTTTGCAATCTAGATATAAGAAATATAGATATAAGAAGTCACAGAAAAATATGGAAGACACTTATCATTTTAGCACTCCTTTTAGGTAGATTTCCACTTCATGAAATGGACAGAAAACGGAAAATAGTAAGCCAAAAACGGTACAGAATATTTCCGCCTATCAATTTGCACTTCCTTTGGTGCCTCTCTTTCAAAGAA